AACTGAGGTATTTCATGTCTTTGTCACGACAGAGATCTGCCTTTGTTCTGCGTATCTGCACGTTCGCTGTGGATGAAGTTGAGCTGCACACAGAAAGCCCTCGCTTATCTCTGACCTCCATTGGCCTAAAGGCTGCTGTTGGGGACCTATTCCCAACTTCTTTCGGGTTGAAGGCACTCGTCCTCCCGAGAGAAACTTTAAAAGCGTCAGAATGGGTCTATCATTTGGAAGCACCAACAAAAGATCTCAATCATCCTCGCCTTCGCCAAGCACTCCTATCAAGATTGATCGCACAAGTCTTGCTGATCGCCCTTTTGCGGCGTTGGTCCTTGCTCACTTCTCTTGGGTGATAAAATCACCGGTATTACCCCAGGCCCTACCCGACCCTTGTCATGTTGTTGCTTCCCCCTTCAGGTAATGTCGTGTAGTGCAGTTGGGCTTTCCATGATAATTACCTGTGCGTGCCGCTCGAGGATCAACCCACTGCGTCTTCCTGTGTTCGCCCCTGTCTGGTGCCGGCACTCCCCGTCGCATTTGAAAACATTCAGCACCTTCGGAGCTTGTGCACTCACTTCCACTCCCCCTTGTGCTTGTGATAGAAAATGTGAGCTGTCGCTGGAATCGAGACCATATCTCTCTGTTGCTAGGGTTATAATTATTATGCAAACGTGAACCCGCCCGTGCGCAAGCACAAAAAGAAGAAAATGATGTTCGAGAAGAGGCTAGCTCTTTGGTGCCCCCTGCTGGTTGATCTCTTGCAAGCAACCGCGATCATTGATGTTACAGATTGTGAGCAACTTCGAGGACCGCCACCGGCCCCATACCGTCAAACCTCGTCAGCTGTCGATATCAATTGACATGTTCCTTTCAAGCCGGCCCGACCTTTTCCACTCATTCGCAAGATCGATAGTATTATTACACCCACAAGTGCACTGCCTTTTTCATTCGCGTCGTCCCGTGTCGCGGCCCCGCTGCCAGAACCTGGACGTCCTCCCGCCCGTTTGCTTCTTCCAGGATTTCATTTCATCGCCCGAGCCCCACCATGTAGCTCTTTCAGCAGACAGCTCCTCTCCCGGGCTAAAGCTCGCCAACTAGGTGGGTAGGGAGACCTGCACATGCCCTAGCGAGGTGGTGCCCCCGAGGACACGCAAGGAATAAGCGAGGGAAACCTGTGCTCGTTTTATGAAGGGGGAGGAGGGTGACTGCTCGATGCCTCGTCTCCCACGCGGCGGGCTTGACAGTGAGCGCAGCATCTCACCAGAGACGAGATAACAGCATGCACATTGCTCGCTTAAAGGGTCCAGGCCAGGTCCAGCTTGACGAGAATAGCACACTCTTCTGCCACATACCTTTCCCGCCCTTTTCCTCCACCTCCCTTGCCCATTCTCCCGAGTATTTTCCTACGCACGCGTATCGCTCTTCTTTCTCTCCTCTTGTAATGCCGCGCGGTCCTGTTCTACTCCCGATTCCTGCCGGAGTGCCTCCCTCTTTGAGGCTTCACGTCCAGCATTTCAGCACAAAAGATCCATTCCATCTTTGTCGATCCACAGACGGGTTCCATTGATGTCAGCATTGCGTCCTTGCTTAGCAGCGTCGGTACCAGGGTTACTTTGCGAAAAAATCGTAGTGCCAATGTCCAGCGCAGGTGAACTCCACTTTGCAGCTCCTCATATCCTTTGAGGGGGTTACATCTCACCAGGGTTCGGTCGCACCTGGTCCGGGGAGATGGCAAGAACCACACAAACGTTATGAAAAAAGAAGACGCGAGGCCGGGTCCCAACAGACCCACCATTGAGATGAGGAAGGAAGAAGCCGCTGCAAAATATCAGGCTGGCAAGAGCACGAGAGAAATACTTGTGGTAGGAGAAAGAAAAGTATAATACAAAAAAGGGCGGGAGAGCCTTCGCAGAACGCGTAATTGCGATCTTCTCTTCTTCCACGGCGTTCTCCGTCCTGTTCTTGCCCGACTGTTCCATCTCTGATGAGGATGAAATTGCGACTCTCGATGCGAAACCGCGCTTCATCGCAGACATGATTATACCGTCATAATCTCCCGAATCTAACGATGCATACATAGAGACTCCCTTCGGTTCTACCGAGGTAGACAGCCCGCGATTGTCTGTTGGTTCGGTGTTGTTTGCGCTGGCACCTCGCCTGTCGCTGATTGATATTAGTGAGATGAGATCAGGGCGGGCCAGGGTCGCTTTCGAGGCTGTTCAGTTCTCTGGGTGTGGCTTGTTTCGAAGACTCGCCCCTCGCTATCCCACTGCCTTCACCATCCTTCCAATAGCCGAGATTTAACTTTTCAATCTTTTGCCCACGACATGGTGTGTTGATGGTAACTCGGGGTTTCATTTGCCTTCATTCGTTCCTTGGGTACTCCAGTCTTCCCACCTCCTGATTCCCGTCAATCCAAGCAAGGCACAATACCACCTAGAGGGGAGACAGACAAACCGTTTTGAGGATAGAACTGCAAGTCATGTAATGTACACAACCGTGGACTTTCAGCATCTGCTCCACACCTCCTTCTGCGTCTCCCTCCCTTCATCCCGTCCCTCCAAGTCATGACGACCAACACCTACGCGTGCACCCAGCTCTCTCCAAACATATCTGTGCCTCAGTTACTTCTGCTTGACCCAACACTCATCCGCCCTCCATCCGCTTTCACTCCTCCGATACAAACCAACCGTGGCTGATGAGGTGACATTAGAGCCATCCGGCCTTGCCACCGGGCCTCGCTTCGCCCAAACTATTGATTGGCGATATTCGCTTTCCCCTGACGTAGAGATGCAAGATTTTGGCCCTAACGCTTCTTCTTTTTCCACCACCCCGAGCCTTGAGGGGAGATCCTCCTTGTTGTCAGGGCCTGCCTCCGGGCGTGTATTCGTCACTCTGGTCTCTTGGACAAACCAATCAGTTCGTCCCTTGAGACGGCTCTTGTTCTTTTGACCTTGTCCAACACCAAAGACGGCCGACGGAACAGTAGCTTTTGTTTCCCGCAATACCCGCGAAAAGGGACTGTGGATGTCCAACTTGAAATTAGAATGCGGCACGATGTAACGGGGTTCTTCGACAGCGTTAGTATCACCCAACCTCTTTTCGTAGCCCTGCAGCTAGGGGTAGCTTCGTAGGAAGGTGATGTCGGACAGGCAGGACAAAAGGGAAACTCTGGAAATCCTGCCCGAGACTGCCATCGCCGAAATAGTACTATTTGGTGGAGCCTGTTTGCACGGCCTGGCTTGCGTGATAAGCCAAGCCATCTTCCTGGGAGTCTAACTTCAGTATCACCAGGACGCTTCCTTATGCTAACAACGCCCGCCTCCGGAGCAGTGTTCCGCCGGTGAGTCTTTGCTAGTAGCCTGCCACGCTCATCAAAGAAAAAGGGAACTGCAAGTGTGGTCTCTTTTTGTTTCCTTGCGCGATACTGTGAGTGTGAAGCCGACGGATGAGGGATGCAATGCAACCGTCTTCCATCTGGGGGCCTCGTGGCCACCTCTGTCCGTCGCCCATGATCTCGGTTGCTTCGCGCGAGGTCCGGCGAGGAGAGCCGATCTTGGGACATGCACGTCTTACTCGCCTCGCGTCGACCAGGCTTGCCCTTTCTCACTTCGCTTTCTTTCTTTCTTCCTTTGGCTTTTTCCCCATCTAATCTCATAGGTTCCGGTTTCCCTCCTCCTCCGGCCTCCCAGCCTCGCCTGCCCCTCATCTCCCATCCTGACGTGCAGGAGGGGAACGCGAACGGGGATTGACCCGTCCGGGGACAGGGGGTCCATAGTTCTATGATGTTCCGCAGGAAGTTCTCCCTTTTCCTTTGTTTTTGGTCCGGTTTCCCCTTGAGTGGTAGGGTTGGATTGTTTGAGTAGTAACGGGCAAGAACAAAGAGCAGAGGGGCAGCCGAAGCTATTGGAGCTGCATACCGGAAGAATGGGACTGTCCAAGGAGAAACTTCCAAAGATCTTCGTTGTGCTCTGCCTGGAAGAAAAGGGTTTGAAATAACGCAGGAACTACCGTCTCTTCCTTCAAGAGAAGTGGGAGGTTGGGGAGGAATGAGATGGCTTAGCCAAGTGCTTGACGGCGATGATCCCCGTTGCCGGGCCTTGCCGCTCCGTGGAGTTCGCGTCTCTCTCCACCGTCGCCTTTCCGCTTCCTCTTCTAAATCGCTCGCCTCTCGATCCTCTTTCCGGGTTCTCTTCTAGCTCGCTCTATTGCTCTGTCCTGTCTTGATTTACACATGCAGGGACATTAGGATGGAGGGCTCGCATGCCTCTCTCCGACCCCCGCCCGATTCCGCATGCGGAGGAAACATGAGGAGGGGAGCTGCGACCTGCGATCCAAGGGTTTCGCCGTGCCATAAAGGGCCTTGAGTGTTACGCGCAGCTCCGCCCAAAAGAGACCCAAAATCAAGAAAGGCCCGACGAGAGTCCTCGTCACAGGAAGCTCGAGAAACCAGAGCGTGTGTTGTTGAGGAGAAACACGAGGGAATGGAAAAAAAAAAAACCAAGATGCCGAGGACCGGTTGGTTGGGCGAGAAGGCTTGCAATCACATGGTGCCGAAGAAACACGGACAAGAGGAGGTGCACTACGGAAAACACGGCGGAGCGAGATCCAAACTGGTTGGCGCTTCATGCAAAAGCTTCTCAGTTTGGAAAGGAATTCTGTTGAGACGCTTACCTGTCCAAGATGCATCCTCACCAGAGGGGGTGGAAGGGAACAACAGGCTTTTAGCTCAAGAGGCAGAAACGGAAATGGTGCGAGTGTTTGGAAAGATTAAAGTCTAAAGTTCTTCTAGAAAAGACCGGCGTTTCGCGGTGTAGAATAAAGTGAATAAACGTGACGCCTGCCAACCATGATCCAAGAGAAAATGTAAGATGAGAACCACCGCCCGAATGAGAAATAAAAACTTGGAAAGGGGAAACAAGCAAAAGAAAAGAAACCCCCATGAGAGAACATCAGAAGTTGGAGATATATATCACTGGAAGACACGGCGGGCGCAACGGCGTTCACCTGTGTCCCCCAACACCGTGGTCGCCACCATCTTCTTCCTCCTCATCGTCACCCCCTTGCTCCTCATCCCTCTTCTTCTTGATGTTGAAAAGCTCATTCAGGGTATCACTTAAGCTCCGGGATCTCCTCTTCGGATCATCGCTGGCATGGCGCTCTCCAGCCAGAGATGAGCCGCCCTCTTCAACATCGGTAAGGTCGCCAAACAGCGGCTCCCTCCTCGTCCCGCTAGCCCGGCCGTGTTCATCCCCTTCTTCATCAGTGTCAGAAATGTATAAGCTTGCCCGGATGCTTGACCGTATACGGCTCAAGGACGTCTTGTGCAACATCGGGCTCTCCCGTGTCGTCTCAGCGTATCTTTTACTACGGCGGATACGGTCGAAGAAAGAGGTGACGGCGAGATGAGCGGTCCGTTTAGGTGTCGGCTATGGAGCTTGGACGTTGACGGTCGCGCCGTTGGGGTTGTGGATTGGGGGAGTAGCGGTTGCTGCTGCTCGCTACCCGTATACTGTAGCAACGGACCCGCGGCGGCGCTACGAGGCGTTGACGGCTCCATGAGGGCCCTCTCTGAAGTCGCCGAATTTTCTCTCGATAGTCGCGGCATGATGGGATCCTCTCGTATGGATTGGGAGTGCAGGCCAGGAAGTGTGTCGTCGGGTTCTAGTGCGGCCCAGAGGTGAGACGCTGCGTTTTCGGCGTCGTTTGACGAGGACAGCTTAGGTCCTCCTGTCGGAGCTCGAAGGCTAGGTATGCCGGAGTCCCGCTGGATAGTAAAAGGCTTAGCAAAAACATCGGTGATGCTGATCCGCCGAGACTGGGAAGACCGCGTGGACGATCGCCGAGAGCGAACAGAGTCCCCAGAGGTGGGATGCCCTCCATTTCCAGGAATCGACTGATCTTGGTGTAGTAGGCCAATAGCCTCTTCCGAATCGTCTAGGTCTTGGTAAAACTCCTCTTCGGGTTCGTCTCGCGGAGGGCGCCCACTGGTGATCAAAAACACTCCAAAGAACGTAAGTAGACAGCCGCCGACAAAGTGGAACGTCTGGTTAAGTGTCGTGTTCTCAAAATCCCGATATAGCACGGCGCTCCCAATAATCACACAAAGAGTAAACATGACGAACTGGATGGGGATTACTTCGGTCGAGTCGTATCGTTGCAGTGCTTTGTTCAGATAGCGGATTTGCATGATTGCTGTTACAAGAAGAATAAAAACAAGGGCGTAGGTGACGGGGGTCGTAAATGCTCTCCATAGGGTTGACGAGAGCATCGACGAAACACCCTTGGTTGCCAGTGCAGTGTATCCGCCTAAATAACGGGCTTGTTAGCATTTGATGAAGCTTCACAAACGATGCATCCCTCCGTCTGTCAAGGGGAACACCCCGAACGGCAACTTACCGAACAAGCCAACCAATCCAAGATCGACGAGGATCGTTCGGTTGGCACATGTCGAGCTCATCCACATCAGGAAGACGATGAGGAAGACGGTTACGGCGAGATAGATTTCGAACTCGAGGGTGGTGATTGCATCCCATACGTCATGAGGGTCGAGCTTGGCCTCCTGCTGGTTCGCGCTAAACACCACCACAACCACCCCGCCAACAGCTATCACAACTCCCCAGAAATCTCGCTGCCTGAACTTTTCTTTGAAAAGCATAGGGGCTATGATGCAGTTGGAAACCAGGGCGACCACGCCTAGCGGGGAAACGATGGAGGCGGGTGCGAACCCGTAAGCCAGAAAATTTCCCATTTCGCCCAGCGTGATAAGAACCTGTCCTAACCACCAGTAGGGCGATCTAAGGTAAGAAGATGGCGCCGCTTCCGACTCCTCCGAGCTGGAACGGGAGAGGGGGCCAGGCCGTGCCTCCGACCCTCGGCGGGTGCCAGACCCTGCCGTGTTGCCGTTAGCATCGTGATGCCTGGTTTGGCTATTCTTGGATAGAGGCTCGACCGGTGAGCCGTTACTGGTATCGTCGAGGGCGCCGTAGAGCGAAGTATTCGGAGCCGCTTGCTTCGCTTGTCGTTCTGCTTGCCTCACCCGCTCTTTTATCCTGTGGCGCTCACGGTGTAGCCTGATATGCGCATATCTCTGGACGTTTAGGGCAAGGGCGATGAGGACATTTCCGACAATCGCCGTGACGATTCCGATCAGGGACGACCAATTACGCAACTCGTCATCGGAATGGCCGGGAGGCTTCGTCAAGGTGGTATTCGAGGCATACTGGCCGAGCGAGAGGTCGAGCGTTGGCGAAAAGGCTGCCATGGTAGGCGCTGACATCATCGGTGAGCCGAGCACCCGGCGGCGCGGGAATCACAGGCGATTGAGAAAGAGAAATTGGGCGAGCGAGGCTCCCGCCGAATGGCCGGATGCGGCGCGATGGTAGAGAGTCCCGCCTCCCGCGCGCAGCTCGATGAGGGTAAATCGTTTCGCGACGTTGTGTGTAGCATCTGGAAGGGCAGAGCGGGCTGCCTTTGGGCGTGGTTGGCGCGCCCGCAGCCAAGCAAAAGCAAAAGCAAGGGGAGAGCGAGAGCGAGAGGCGACGTCAAACGAACAGAAATTACGGGTGGAGCGGAATATTCGCGCGCCTCTTCGAGAAGGCGTTAATTATCCTCGACGGCGGAGGTAATGGATTGTTGCTGCTGGGTTGTGGATGCGGGATAGCAATTACCGCGGTGTTGGCGAAATAGGGCAGGCAGCCTTTCAGGAGGATAACAAGGAAGAAAGTCGCAGCAGTCTTGGCGCTCACAAGATTTCATGATCGGCCAGCCTAGCTTGCATGAAGGGATTTGCCGTGGTGCCGTAATATCTCGTACTTCGTAATCAAATTGTGCTCCTAGGCCTATTACCAGTCTACGCCGAATTGGGGTCAAATCAATCGATTCCAGTCCAAATCAGTGCCACCACCCTGCCTTAACGGGGAAGCTCATGAACAAGGGTCTTCCTGAGGGGCGCTACGAAGACTTGCGAAAATCGCTTGTGATAATGGATTATATTTTGTTCAAAGCCTCCATTGAGTTCAGTGGCATTATTTACCAACAAACTTCCATACCACAATCCCGACAGCCGAAGGCGAAACGTTATCAGCGCTCCTCCAATCGGCAAACTTGTGTGGCTTGGAAAGGAGTTCAAGGTTCGATCAATGAGTGAAAGCCACAGAGATGGCCACTTGCTCAGGCAAAGTCCACCCAGCGACGCAAGCCCATTATTAACCCATCAATCAACGATGCTCCGCAACAAGCCGAGTCTCCGAAGTGCCTGCCTGGGATGGGAAAGGCTGGGCTGGATGACGAGCTTTGTGCTGTTTCCACCGAAATCAATGGAAGTAGACCATATCACGTGCAACGTCCTGTCAGCTCACCCCACTACGTACACTGTGAGCTCTTGCGCCCGATGGAATATATCTTATGACGATGAAACCGGCCTTACTCGTCCCTCATTCTGCGAAGTCATACCCATCAAATTCATCGTGCTGTCTCAAACTTATATCCAGGGCCTCACCTTTTCCGTAACCTATTGCTGATTTGCTCAAATTTCTAATTTTATCAATACCCTTTGTCCCGGGTATGCCCACCTTCCCGTGAGACATCGTCTAAGCCCGTGATTCGAACCCTTGTGTCTCTCTCTCCGCATCTCTTTTCTACAAACGTCATCGGGGTCCTTCTTCGCCTCTCTCATAATAAACCCACCTTTGTGCACCCCTCCGCTCTAAACCCAAGAAGGGGACCATCAATCCTTCGCAGTTAGCAAGCCATGGATGCCCCAGACCAGCTCGCTTGGCTTGTCTGGGCTACTGCTTCACCCTACTCCCCCTCAATCTGCACCACCTACCCCAGCCCATTCCAAACGACGCCCCTCTAGAGCTTCAAGATGGGACATTCACCTTTGAGGACGCTTTTGAGGATCTCCTCCACGTTGTCTCCGGAAGGCGGCTCATGGACATCAACAGCCGCTACCAGATGCGCAAGATGCTCCGAGAAATGTACCCTTACGGCGAGGATGCCTCCTTTTGGGTCCGTAGGCTACATTCGCAGAGGCTCCTAGACAACAGCAATTTTGTTCCATTCTCCGCCCGCCCCTTGTGGCCGCAGGACGTCTGGGACACGATTCACCGGGAATTCGCCCGCACAGCTCGCGACGCGAAGAAGTCGGATGACCCGTGGTTCTCCTTTGGATCCTCGGACAAGGAGGAACAACAAGATCCCAAGGGCAGGCCTCGCCACAGCCTTTTCGAAGACCTTGACCGCCTATTCCGCTCCCTCGAGAGCCACTTCCCGGGAAAGCATAAGAACGACAAGAATGACAAGGATAGCAAGGACAACAAGGATAATAGGGATTGCAAGGATAGCAAGAACAGCGACGAGGGACGAGACGGTGAGGCGGAGAACTATGATGATCTCTACTCGTCGCTCCACTCTGCCTTTTCGACAGGCGCAAAGTCCCTGAACACCTTTATAAAGCTCGCCCGTGATGGCGTATCCGAGATCCACAAGAATGGTTCGCTCTCTTCCTCTACTTCAACCTCATGGTCAAGCTACGGCTCAGCCAACGAGGATCAAAAGCCCCACAAGGTTGAAGAAGAGAAGGAAGAGTACACCGACGAGCACGGTAATCACCACATTAAGAGCATCATCCGTACCCTCGATCAAGACGGGCATGAGATCCGTAGAGAGGTTAGGCACCGTATACAAAGCTCATCCTCGTCTTCCTCGTCAGGCAACGGTGACTCTCAACCCCGCTTGGAAACAGCGAGGCGTGAGACTAACGAACGAGATAACACAAGGGACAGCAAGAATGGTCCGGATAGTAACTCTGGGTGGTTCTGGAAATGACGCGCGGTTAGACTACTCACACATCTCCTCTCTCCCCTTCTCTGAGCTTCTTCTCTTCTTCTCATAAATACTTCTTTTCGCTTGGTCTGGTGGCTAAAGGTTGGCCGTCCTTCGCGGACTTTTTAACCTCTTATTTCTCGGATCTCGGCGGCGTACCTGGTGATTGCTTCCCTTCTTTCCTGTATAATTTCTTTTACAACTGTAGTTATCACCATAGCTAGGAAGGCCCAAAAATTGTTTACAAGGATGACGATTTTAAATATTGCCCGTGACGGCCTGGAACCGCGGAGGACTTCGTTCTATAGTATAGAAAAAAGATCACAACCAAGATCATACTCGCAGAGGGTATACATCACTTCGCCCGCGTCCCGTCCCATGGCCCCCTCAGCTCAACCTCGGGAGCCAGCCTTCTTTTTCGTATCATTCTCTTTCGCCCAATCAACTGCTGCTTCACATTATCCTTGCGATTTTCGACCCTCTCCTCTTTGCTTCGGCCAGCCCTATCCTTGAATTCCCTCACGTCCTGCTTCCCCTCCGCTTATCAGCCCCGCGGAAGTTATTCCTGCCTTTGTCCTTGTCCCTGCCATTGTCTCGCCCGCGTCCAGCGGAATCGTTGAACCTTCCAGGTGCGGGCTGCTCGCGCGGTTCGGGCCTGTCCCGACTCTTGGCCTCCATTGCCTTTCGTCGATTAACGACCTGGGCGTTCTCGATAGAAAATTCAACAATTAGGCGCTGTTTCCTTCCCTTCTCGTCCTCTACCTGGTGGCCGTTAAGATAACGTAGGGCCATAAGAGCACAACGGTGCGACCAATACTCGATGAAACCGTAGCCGCGGCTTCGGCCACCTTCTTGGGCAGGCGCTTTGGAGCCGTCTTTAGTCTCAAAGATGAGCTTCGCTTGCTTGACGACACCCTTATTCTTGAGTTTCCTCTGGTGCTCGGCCTCCCTCTCTTCCTCACCTCCGCGTGCAATTTCTTCTTTGGACAAGGGCTGCCTGCGGCCTTCCTTGACGTCGACGGCAAAACCGACGATAGCCTTCCTAGCAAGTTCCTTGAGCTCCTTGGCGCCAATGTCTCGGGGTATGTTTCGAACAGCCAGGCGCGTAAGGCTCAAGTGAAGCGTGGGATTTCCCTGAACGAGCTTTTTGCGTTGTGCCAAACTTGAGTCCCGCATAGAGACCTCAGCAGGGGTCAGAAGGTTGTAAAGCGGCGATCTTGTGTCGAGCTGGCCCTCAGATAACAGGAAGAGACGACGCTTGTCCTTGTTTGCTTTATCCTGGCCCTCGGTAAATTTGGCTACTTCGTCTTTGTTGACGGCCTGTGCAACTTGGAGCAGCCTGCCCTCAAAAGTGTATTTGCCGGATGGATCAGCGGAGTCGTCGTGAAGAATGGAATGCTTCAAGCCCCCATGTTGATCTTATTTGGCTCGTGGCGGGGGCTTCCCTGACGCACGCCTTGCAATCGTCTTGTTTGAAGAAGCACACGAAGCCGGTACCGGCTGCTCGTCCAGTTGACTTCTCCATTACCACACGGGCGTAGCGAATTAAGCCAAATGAGGAGAAGAATTCTTTGAGCTGTTCATCAGTGGCTGTATAGGGTAGGTTTCGCACAAACACCGTTGAGGAGTTGTCTGTGATGAGTGACTTTTTGTTGACGGTAGCCGCCGAAGTAGGCTTTTCCGCTGTATCTCCATTGTCTTTGCCACCTTGATTTTGGGCACCTTCCATGTCCTCGTCCTCATCATCATCAACCTCGGGGTCTGAGTCAATGTCGAGTTCGTCTTCATCAAGGTCATCTAGATCAGACTCGGATTCTAGATCGTGAACATGGTTGATCAAGAAATTTCTGAGATCGTCATCTGCAGTCGGCGTCTTCTCCCTTTCAGAAGGGTTACCGCTCCGATTTTCCTTAGCTGCCTCCGGTTTCCTCTCGCCCTTCTTTTTCTCGTTGTTCACGTTGGACTGCTCAGCCTCGCCTTGTTGGTCATAAACCCGTTTGTCGATGGCCCAGTCAACCTCCAGTTTTCTTCCGTCGACTTCCTTTCCATTGATCTTTTCCCTTGCCTTCTCAGCATGTTCTCTTCTTCGGAAGGTAATAAAACCAAATCCTTTGAGCTTTCCATCTGTGTTGGGAAGATCCGTGAACTTGATCTTGCCGAAACTCATGAAGATGCGGGACAGTTGCTCTGGCTTCTTGACAGACCACGGCAAGTTTCTGATGATGAGTTTAGCCGGGCGTCGAATCTCCTCGAGCAGAGCTTGTCGCTTGGCTTTTTCCGTATCCACGACTGGCTGCCCACCAGGGCCCTTTTCGCGGTTTCTGGGCTCGGCAACCTCAAGTCGTAACCTTCTTCCATCCCATTCGACCTTGTCTAACTTTTCCTTTGCCTCTTTAGCATCGTCTGGGTCCGCAAAAGTGACGAAACCGTAGCCTCTGGACTCTTTCGTCTTCTGATCAATGACGACAGTAGAGTGTTTCACGGGAAAGTGTTGAGAAAAGAATTCGGTCAGAGATTCGTTGGTGGCGCTTGGTGGTAGAGACCTCACAAAGAGCGAGCGACGTCCCTCAACCCGTTGTTTCTTAGAGACTCGGGCGTCGGTTTCGGGGATCGTATCAGCCTTGATCAACGCCTGCAAATCGGCATCCTCCACGACAGGCTGGCTCCGCTGCCGTTTTTGGAATTGGGTGAAGGGGCCATGATCTTTTGAAGCCACCGATGGTGTGCGGGTATGGTAGCTTTATGAGAAAGAAAGGAAGGGGGAACTAGAGAGAGCAGAAACTCGACGTCCTTCACTTTGTGCAGGTCGTCTAAAAATTCCCCACATTTTTCTCTAGAAAAAAAAACTTGGGAAGCGGCCGATAAGAAGATCAGATTTCTTATCGGGGTATTACCGGAGATTTTCCACGCAAACTGACAAGATGGACCTGACAGGAGCCAGGGCGGGGTATATTCGTTTAAAGAGGCTTTATGCCTAATTCGGAAGTTTATTGACAAAGAGCGCGAACAACAATCTCGCGTTCTTACTGGCGACCAAATGTTGATGTGTGTATTGTTTCGTCTCCACGCAGATTACAGATACATAGTAGCCCCTCTTCAATCACAACTCTCACACATACTTGTTTTAGAGGATCGCCAGCAACGGCTCTCCAACCACTAACCCTGAGGTCTAATCAGAAGCTCTCCTGGAGTTGGTTGAACCTGAAAGTTTAACTTTGTAGTCATTCATACAACACATCACGATGCCCACACGAGTCTCTCGGTCTACGAGGACATCGACCGCGGCCTCGCGCAAACCTTCGGGCGTCGAGCCGCGAGCCTCGACCGCATCCAGGGCTTCTTCCGCCGCCATCGATATCCCTTCAGAAACACCGGACAACGGATTGCGGCCTAAAGTTGCCGCTATCTTCCGCGATGCGCAAAAAACTACGGCGTCGCACAGGAAATTAGTCGTTAACTTGCGCAAACTGCAGGAGGCTTGCTGTTACGAGCCCGCTAGCTCTACAAAGCAGTCCCCGGGAGACTTTAACGAAAATGAATTCAACATTGAGTTTGTGCGCTGCGTCCTAAGGATCATGCCGGTCAAGAAGACTGAAGCAGTGGGGGAGAAGACCGTTCGATTTATCGGCCTCTTCCTGCGACACGCCAGCGACAAGGACAACGAGCTCCTGGGCGAGGTCGACCACGATGCGAGCGTCATGCCAGAGACGCCTAGCACTAAACTTACCACCCTTCTGCTCGATACGGTGCTTCCCCTCCTCACAAGCAAGGACAAATTTGTGCGATACCGATCTACGCAGCTGATCTCCCATGTCGTCAACTCGCTCGATGCCATCGATGACGAGCTCTTCCAGAGGTTAAGGCACGGCCTCCTTCGCAGGATCCGGGACAAGGAGGCTATGGTACGAGCCCAGGCCGTCCTAGGTCTTGGCCGCCTTGCTGGACAGGGCGATGACGGCGCGAATTCAGATGAAAGTGACGACGACGGCAGCGCCGGTCTCCTTGAGAAACTCCTTGAGGTTCTCCAGAACGACCCAAGTGCAGATGTCAGGAGGTCGCTGCTTGTGAACCTCCCAATTCTACCCTCCACCCTCCCCTACCTCCTGGAGCGAGCCAGGGACCAAGACGCGGCCACGCGAAGGGCTGTCTATTCCCGACTACTCCCCGCTCTCGGCGATTTCCGCCACCTCTCGCTTTCCATGAGAGAAAAGTTGCTTCGGTGGGGCCTTCGCGACCGAGATGAGAACGTGCGCAAAGCGGCCGCTAGACTTTTAGGGAGAGGTGGATTGAAGACTGCGCCGGAATCTCACCCACCGAAAGCGGTCTGCAGGAGCCTGCTCCACCTAGCTTCGACGGCTTGCTAGAGCTGCTAGAACGTATCGATGTGGTTAATTCAGGTGTGGAGAATGGCGTTGCTCTAGAGGCTATGAAGGGATTTTGGGAGGGACGACCTGATTACCGCGAAGCCGTCATCTTCGATGATACATTTTGGGAGACCCTGTCTGCCGAGTCGGTTTTCATGGCGCGCAGTTTCAATGATTTCTGCCGCAACGAAGGCAACGGAAAGTACGAGAGCCTCGTCGAGGAGAAGCTGCCCGAGGTCACAAAGCTTGCCTTCTACCTCGAGCGTTATATTAACGCTCTCCTCGAGGCACTTCGCCGTATAGCCAATGCTGAGGATGTCGAGGAAGAGGAGGAGGAGGATACGGTAGACCAAGAGTTCATCGTCGAACAGCTCTTGCACGTTGCCCTTACGCTTGACTACTCGGATGAGGTGGGCCGTAGGAAGATGTTCGCCCTTCTTCGTCAAACGTTGTCGGTACCCGAGCTACCTGATGAGATCACCAAGTTGATTGTGGAGGTCCTCAGGGACATATGCGCCCCAGACACCTCTGGAGAGAGGGAGTTTTGCAGCGTCGTCCTCGAGGCGGTTGCCGATGTGCACGATACCATCGTCGATGATCCCCCGGCGGATGTGGATGACAGCTTCCACTCTGCAAAGTCAGAAGTCAGCAGCGCTAGCACAGTTAACAACGGAAGCCGCGCTAAGAGCGCTGATCTGAGCGAGGAGGAGACCCGTGCGAAGGCTATCAAGGAAATTGTCATCAACATGAAGTGCCTCCACATCGTGCAATGCATGCTCACCAACGTCGGTGGCAACCTTCAGCAAAACGACCATCTCGTGGCCATGCTCAACAACCTAGTTGTGCCCGCAGTCAGGAGTCACGAGGCGCCAGTGCGTGAGCGCGGTCTCGTTTGTCTCGGCCTCTGCTCGCTCCTAGACAAGTCTCTTGCCGAGGAGAATCTGACTCTCTTCATGCACTTCTTTTCCAAGGGCCACGCAGCGCTACAAATTACCGCCCTCCATATCCTTACTGATATCCTTAATGTGCATGGCGCACAGCTCCTCACCACAAACCCCACGCTCCTCAAGGTATACGTCCGCGCCCTCAAATCTGGAACTAAGGCGCCCGAAGTCCAGGCCGCGGCGACGCTAGCGGCATCCAAGCTTCTGCTGGGCCGTGTCGTCACCGAGCCCGAGGCTTCCGCCGAACTCCTAAAGACCCTCGTCGTCGCCTACTTTGAGCCATCCACTGCCAACAACCAGTCGGTCAGGCAAGCGCTCAACTACTTCTTGCCCGTCTTTTGTTACTCGCGGCGCGAGAACCAGGATCTCATGGGCAGCGTGGCCCTCGATGCCATCCACTCCCTCTTTAACGTACGTGAAGGCCTTGAAGATGACGATGCCGACGTGGACGAAGAGATGGCTAGCTTGACAACAATTGGTGCCTGCCTGGTCGATTGGACGGATCCCCGCAAATGCTATTCCTCCGACCTCTCCCTCGATGGCGAGAAGAAGAATGTGAACGGCGACGTGCATCTCGACTTCGCCAAGGCTATTTTGGAGAAGCTCAATGGCAACATGAGCAGTAAGTTAAATTTTTTCCCTTTTCTTCCTCTTCTTCCTTTTCATGGCCGCTTGTCTCTGCTCTACTAGTCCCCATTTTTCTTCTTCTTTCTTGGCGTCAGAAAGTCCGATGAAGCAGTGCTAACCTTGCATTTTGCAATACCGAACAGAGGACGAGAAGAAGGTCATTGCCCCACTACTTGGCAAGCTCTACGTCTCTCCCGCCTCGTCAGAGGACAAGATTCGCGATCTTTACGAAGAGGTTGACGCCGCCGTGGACTCCAAGCTCCTCACCGACGCCACAAGCCGCAACGCCCTCTACAAGATCCACGTTAGCTTAGGCAAGATTGTCAACGCCCTCTCCGAGCAGCAGGACGCCGCCGCCGCCGCGGGCAGGCGCCTGAGCCGCAGCACCTCGGTCGCTACGTCCTCCGTCTACGACGGCACCGTGCTCTCTGAGGAGAAGACCATTGTGGCATACGAGCCCACAATCAAGGAGGAGGACGTTAGTGGGGAGGGTACAGTCCTCCATCACCCAGAAAATGATTCCTTGGTTGATGATTTGCTCACGGATGAGGGCGGTGCTTGATGTGAACCGAGGCCTAGGCTTTTCCCTCTTGTATTTTTCTTTTTCCACTTTCTGTTTGTTCTTGATTCGAATTGACGAAAGTCTGGTTCGCGCCGTCTCTCGTGCCGTAGAAACGTATACGGAAATATTCATGTCCTTCCAGGTTGTTGGTAGAATGGGTTTATGGGGGCATATAGCGATGATAATAGGGGACTAGGCTGGTTGATCAAAGGGGCATGGCGGTGATTATTTCCCAATGTTTTCAATTCACGAGCTTTATGAATTTACTATGCGTTCTGGCACTTCTCCTTGTTCTTGGTTTCTTCTTTTTTTCTTCCTCTGGGTGGCCTTTTAAGTACAACATATGTTTAAGAATTCACCTGAGGGGCTTGATCCCTATCTACTATTCTAGAGGGGCACTGGAAGATGAAGAGTCTATTTGCGGAGTTAAGGAAAGCAGACGTGTAAAGACACATTAGTGGCCTCGGCTGCGAGTGCCAAGCCAGAAGAGCAGGCTTCCCAAAGTGACATTGACACCGAGATGTTGGCCTAGTCCCCACGCGATGCAATACAAGTATTTTGGCGAGAACACGGTCCATATGAACAAGTGCGTCCTCAGGACTGTGCACGCGACCATGACGAAAAGCACGCTCCAGGATACGAAGGCAGTGAGGAAAGCGAGGTATCTCGTTAACGGACTAATCGTCTCATCCTCATCCTCTACTTCGTCTACGCCCTTCTTTTGCAGCTCACCTACCCGCTTCTTGAGAGGGGCTCGAGACTTGTCTCCATTCTGGAGAAGCAGCCGGGCTGTTGCGAAGCTCCAGTAAATGGGAGCAGCCCAGTTGCTCACAAAGGTGAGGACGCCAACGGCAACGGCGTTGAAATCGCTCACTCCATTATAGGCGCTCGAGAGGTCTACAGAGGACATGGCGTTGGTGCCACCAAAGGCAAAGTAGGACATGTGCTGAAGGAGAAGCGAGGAGACGGCAATGTCTGCGACGGAGAGGGGCGTGGATTGGAGAAAGCGGAATTGCACGCCGTGGAGGAGGAAAAGCGGAATGTTAGTTACACGGGACTGCGTGAGGGCAATGACGGTATAGAGATAGTGAAGAAGTTCTGGTTGGGGATTGATTGCGTTAGAGAGAGATGATAAATGGCAAGGGACCGTTTGTGAGCGGGAAAGACTTGATTCACGTACCAAAGCCAGGTTTAGCCCCACGACCGCCCCGAAGGTTGATGAACAGGGCATAAGCTGTGATCGCCGTAGCGCTGGCGAAGACAAGACGAGCGCGGGTGATGAGGGCAAGGCCAGGCATGATGGCATGGAGGTCCGACATGGGGCTGACGACCAACTCGGGCGAGTCTTCGTTCGTGAACGCAAGCTTGAAGCTAAATGCGGCCCACATCAGGGCGACCACGGATGGGACAGAAACCCAGATGGGCGCAATCTGGTTCAGACGGCGCATTAACCGCCCTTGCAGCCAGATATACGATATCATGACAATAAGCCAAAGGAACCTAGGATATGTTGTCATGAAAGACTTGACTATGTCTGGCTCGCCCGCGAATTTTTGGCCGGTCTGGTTCCAGCCTCGCACCAGCCTCGTAGCCGCCATAGCCGTCAAAAATCGGGCGCAGTTCTCAAGGGTAGTATGCCTAAAGAAAATCGCAATGTTAACCGCCGCAAGCTTGTACGATGCCGGGGTCGAAGGGAATTGGTAGGAACGCTGGCGCATGAGGCCCCTTACCTGTTCCAATATTTAACAACCAAGAAGCCGATCCACGCAGTGGTAGACCAATACCAAAAATGGTGTTCCTCTTCAACATAGCTACTTGCGAACATCATGATACCGTACACTGTCGTTACGAACATGAATGGCAGCAGGGACACTCCTTTGGGTCCTCCCAATCGTGCCAGGGCAACCGTCGAGAGGAGACACGCGACAGCAAGAATGACCTGAGCAAGAACTAAGTCTCTCATGTCGTAGTTGCTTGCCATGTTACTCATCAACCCCTGCGCTGACCGAAGCCACTGGACGAAGAAAAGAAAGACGGTGAGCGTAGGGCTTTTATTACATGGTGTCGAAGTCTTACCTCGGTAATCTTGTCAATCCATTGAGGACTGATGTCTTCGTACGTCGAAACAGAAGCCAGCTCCGCACTAATTGAGCGCCAGTCACAAGCAAGGCGATGAGTATCACTAGATACATCTACGCAAGGGTCAAAGGCTGATTTATCGTCGAACAACTCTCCTCCAAACGCAGCTGCAGCAACGCCAATAATTTGTCTAGCGTTGCGCACAAGAAGCTGGACCTGATCAGATTCTTCAGAGCATCCATCAGCAAAAGAGATTACGTGGAGGGAATCGGAAGTTAAAGAGACCTACTCTTGTCCCAGAGGGGAAGGAAATCTGGGATGAAAGCCCCAAGGTTGTTTTGGGGTACAGGGAATCCCAGTAAGCCCGCAAGGGTAGGGGCAAGATCAGACTGTTCCACCGTAGAGTAGTAGCGAAAATCGTCTTTGAAGGGCACCGGCGAAAGGGGATGGGCAGAAATTGACTGAAGTTTGGGAGAAATAAACAAGAGAGCTGGTGACGTCTCTCCTGCGGACGAGGCCCCATGGTTTCCGGCATCGTTCATGCCGTGGTCGCCGCACAAGACGAGAAGCGTAGATGAGAGGTGCTTTTCGGTTTGTATCGATTCGTACAAGGTCTCGACAATGCCATCCATCTCCTGCTGCTTGGGGAACATATTGGAGCTAGATTATAGGATTAGTTTTCAGCTACTAAGCCCAAGCGGCAAGGGGCACGCACCTTCGGGGTCCAGATTTGTGCCCAATGTGGTCCAGGCCGAGATAGTGTAGGATCATCGTGTTCCAGTCCACGTTCTTGAGCTCACCCGCGACATTTCGGGTCACGTTATGGTCAACCTCGGTAAAGTCCTATCTTGAGTCAGAAGCCGCGACCATGGCATACTTGCAAGGGATGTCGAAGTAGGAAAACTTACAGCGACGAAGAAGCTTGAAGTCCCATCGTGGCGGTCAAAGGTCTCGGGAAACAGTTTCAGCCAGGTGTCGTCTCCGTAAAGAACAAGATTCCCAGTGCCTTTGGCCTTCATTTGGGCAAGCCAGGTGTCTTGCGCCGCCAGACTAGACGTAGTGTCCCCTTCATCAACGTTAAGAATAGCATCAAGAAAGGAAGGGATCGACCCGGTGGTGATTGCCTTGAGTCGAGGCATAGTGACCGTGGGTGACCTAGCGTACGCCGTAAATGGGATCGCAGATCCGGTTCTTATCAAGCTGTAGAGTGGGCGTGAGTGTCTCTAGATCCCTCCCGCTCATTTTCATGAAGGGCGCAGGCGATCTTACCTCTGTGTGTACTTGAAGCCGGACTCTTCTGCAAAAACAAAATCGCTAAGGAGATAATCCCAGTAAGTTCCACGTTTCGGTATTTTCAGAGGAGGGGTATGTAGCTCGCTCACCTCCTCAGCGCATCCACGACCATGAAGATGAGCCGGTCAAACGGCGCGCTCGGCACCTCGTCAAACTCGAGCTTCTCATACTGTGCCAGTCCTGGGATGAACGGCTTGTATGGAAAGAACCCACGAGCAAAGATGAGAATTGCAATCGGGATTATGACGTTGGCGCACAGCACAAGGCCCGCGACGGGGAAGCGTGTCATCATGGCCTTCGAAGCAATGTTCGCGGAGACAAGCCAGGTCCCAGATAGCGAGGCCAGCGGTTAGCAGGACAAAGGAGCAAGAACAGGCAATCAGTCTCGCACGCTTCCCATAGCTCGACTTCACTCAATGACCGTGTGACGAGCGCGTCTTCTACCTGGGCCGTTTTTCCTGTGCCGAGGAAAATGTGAAGGGCAGCCTGTGGGTTGCAAAGAGAGCTGAATTGGGGTTTAAAGCTGTCAAATGAGTATTAGTGAGACGCGTCCCTCTCGGCAGCTTGAGGCGCGCAGAAATTAAATCACACTGCAACTTACGAGTCCTCCGTCCACTATCCCTTTCATTATGCAAAATATTGTCCAAAGTCACGGCGCGTGAAGGGAAAAAAAGATGAAGAAAAGGGGGTGGGGACCTGTATGTGCTTCAATTTACACAACCTTGAGGGATCGATCGATGGGTTGAACGACATGACACCTATGAGGGGAAATCCAAGCTGAAATTGGTGAGCTTACATCAATTGATCTAGCTTTCAGTGCCTGACCTTGGCTTGCACCCGCCTTTGGCACTTAATAGATCAACCAATCTCGATGTCCTTAAAATGGAGCCAGATCCGTCTGGTGTGACTTTTAATTCGGCTGTGAGACCAAACGATGTATTATTAGTTAATCCACCCAATAATAATACTAGCAATCCAGGGCGGGAAGAACCGCCTTGCTTCTCTCCCTTGTGTCAACCAGGCCAAGGGCTCCTGGATTATGTCACGTGATGTTATAGACTGCGGGCTGCAGTGCCAGCGGTAGGCCCGTCCAGATGGACAAAAACCATCGACCAAACGGGAACGTGCTAAGCAGCTTGTTTCATTGCGGAGCCTCTACGCTGACAAGTGGAGGGATCGCTTTTCTATTGAACTCCTAAATACAATGCCATCTTCTATTTCCGTGATAACCATGTGCGCCTAAAAATGTAATTGGGGTATCTACAAACTGTTCGAGTACGCCGACCAGGCTCATACCCAACATCTCTGGCAACCAGGTGGCTCCAGCCTTCTCTCCGCGCCAGCCCCGGCGCTCCCTATCCCTGGCATAAATAGAAACATCAAGAAAAAGGGTGTTCATTTTCCAGCCGAACCGCCAAAAACTCCAGTCCATCTTTAGTAATGGCCATTGGAACGGTAGTCGCCGAAACCTCCAAAACTCAGCTGCTGCCTCTTCTGAGGTGGGGGTGCCGCATCTTCATCATCAGAAGACAATGTGAGGTCTATGACTGCTGGGGCCGGCCGCTTCGTGCTCGTTCCACCGGATGGTCGCGGGGCAGTGCTCTCCCGTGAATCGACCATCGACGGTGTCCCAATACTCGGGGCAATTGACCGATTTGGGGTTGCAGAGTTTTTCATCGTCCTCGCGCCATTGGGAATGGATATCTCCAAATCCTCAATAATGTCAAAGCTTGCAGACACGCCCTTCCTTGGCGTTGATCCTTCAGTACCAGGAATTCTCCATTGACCATCCGGCTCGAGGGTAACCTGCTCCAGGTCCCTCGGTGTTCTTGAGAGAATATCGAGCACATACCTACGCTCACCACATTAGCAAGGTTCTATTGTCCATGACGGCCAGCTTGAACGCTAGTAGAAAACCATTCAAGGAGGTGGATAAGCGACTCACTCGTCTACGGCCAACTGGTCGAAAGTCACGGATCGACTACAAATGGGACAAATCCATTGTGGCCCCTGCTCCTGCAGCTGTAGATATGATGTCGCATCAAAGCATTGCATGTGAGAACAGCCAAGTCCTCGTACGGGAAGGTCTAGCCGCATATATGATAGAGGACACTTCAGGGACATTACTTGCGAAGTTGTCTCTATTTCGGTATCTTTCGATTTCTCCGCCACTACAAGGACGATACCATGAGAATTAGTAAAATCTGCTGAATGCATGACATAGGTAACGTGACCAGGGACAAAGTAAGTGGCTTACTCTCACGAAGGGTAGTAGACTTTGATATCTTCTGACCGGTCCTTATCCGAGCAACGAGATCCTCAGTTCGAACCGATTTGCATAGGTAGATTGCCAGGTAGTACACCTAGAGAGCAAATGGGCGCGTTAGTACAACATGTGCTTGTCATAAATTCATTCTCTTCGAGTTACCTTGGTCGTTAACGCGTAAATCAATTCCACGTTATTTATATAATTGGGAAGCAGGCGTAAATGGTCGCTGATGTCGACAGGTCGAGTAGAGCCAGGCTTCTTTTAAGGCCACGCAAGTTCGCCTTGACTTCATCTCCGTTTACCTTTATCTCCGATTGATGCGGGAAGGAGATATCCTGGACTCCGTGGTTATCTCCAGCGCAGAAGACCATGACCCGATACTTCTTATCGTCGAGGTGCTGGCGAAGTTCTGGGTGATCGGCGATCTTAAGGGGGACAGTGACAGAATTTCTATGCTGGCTCATAACTAACGCGGCCAGGGAAACATCTCGTCAAAAATGGAGTGCAAAGATGGGGACACAGCTGAGCGTGATCTTACCAGGACAGTGCTTGACCCCACCAATCAGGCTTTTGATCTCATAAAACGGACTGCGGTGGAATGAAAGCTCTGGCGGTGGGTACGAACCCGTCGACTGCGCCGGTCGCGACATGTATGGACTGTGAAACGGCTGTTGATATTGATGCATGGTCTGAGGCTCCCGATAGCCTGATTGCCGAATCGTGGAGCTTGCCGTTTGTGTAGGGCGAAGGCCCGCGGTTTCTTCTACCCTTTGTCGTAGCTCCCGAAAGAGAGGCGCGTCCTGCTTATTGTACGCATCCATTGCCACTAAATCAAGTCGGGTACATGTGAGAAGGGGGCGGAACCCATAACACATAAGGCGTGATCAAACTTACAGTTGACAAGCCGGTTGCGCAATTCGGCTTTGACACCTCCTCGAGAAAGACCAAAAGTCCCACATATTGCCTGGAGTTGGCGATTGAGGAGAGTGTTGGAATTAATCACCTTGATGAGGGAGGCAAGCTCGCTATTTGAAACAGTAACCTGTGACATCTTGAGATATCTCGTCCTCGGGCCTTGGCACGTTTCCCACCGAGCTCCTTCGAGAGGCAGACGGTTTAGCAGGCGCAACAAAGGACGAGTCGGGCCAAGAGAGAGGCTTCCTTTTCTTTCTCTCGATCTCCTTAAGCGGAAAGTGCGTGTGGGGATAGGGCCAGTATTGAGAGGGAAGGCGAATCCCAAAGTCCCTACCAGATGATCCGAGCCCTCCCGATAGTCGAGGAAAGCTCAAAGGAAATCAAGGCAGCGAAGGTGCGACCATGCCAATACTCCTGCCTAAAACCCCCTCTCAACTCCACAATGCTATAAGACGCGACCCGTACGGAGTTGATGTTGTGCGAGAGAAGCGCCTGGCGTGGTAAAACGGTTCAGCAGGCGTCGGGTATCCGTTGAGTGTTTTATCCCTTCAGTAAAGGCAAGCCGCTCGCCAGCTCTTAGACCGATTGCGAACTGCTTTAGCGCCTTATATTCGAATTTGAGCCTGGTAAAAATGGCGAAAAGGGATTGCTTGATGTCGGGTCACTTGCAGAGGCGCTCAGCTAGAGGCTCAGTAAAGACATAGTCGCGCGTGAATCACGTCCTGGGAGAGGCTCGAGGTTAGTCAGATAGCCCGCCGTCCGGACCACGCCAAGACATGGAACGTTGGCTCACAAACCCGTTCGACGGTTGCAAATGATGAATTTGTGCGGGTTTCCTGGTTGCAGATACAGGAAATTGGGCCGACTGATGCTGGGGATCTTGGAATCACTCGTCGTCTTTATCGAGGCTGGAGTAAGCCTCATCGTCGCTTGATGTCACTAGAACTTGGGCGGTGGGACATGGCAGAAAATAGTGAGAACCTCTAAAAAGCGACAAAATGTATCAGTGACGGGGCTGTGTCCAGCGCCACTAGAGAGCCTAGTTCAACCTTTCAGCACAAAATGTCTTTCGCAGAAGCGCCCATGGGTACTTGGTACCTCGAAGGGCAAAATTTCTTTGCCCCACCATCACTTCTCAAGACCCTCGACGTTGAATTCTGAAGTTCTACAACCATTCTAGAAATTCTTCCGGATCACTGCCAGCTTCATTAACCTGTCGCAATCTCTCTCTGTCCTCACGATCGCCTCGAACTAAGTCATAATCCTCATTCGCGCCGATACGAGCAACCATGGCGAAGAGCGCAAGAGCCAGTTCCAGGAAGGTGAACAACCAACGGTTGAAGACCAATGTCTTCGGCCCTGTCGAGTCGGCGAGGGCAGAGCGTCTGTCCGCAAAACTCATGGAACTTGCCAATCAACCGAAGCCTCAGAGGGATACGGAAATGAAGGCGGATGATCTAGAATCCAATGGTATGTGTTCGCCCCCGGAGACCAACGGCTTCCCAATCGACTAGGCACTGATTCGCATGCAGCTGGCGAAGACACCGCGAAAGAGACTGCAGAAAGCACAGGTATGTTCTCCAGGTCTTGGGGGCCCTTAGGAAAGCTAGCCTAATGGCAGTATGGAGTCATTAATTCTTATAAACTCGTTTGCAGAAATGGATGTCGACTCTGCTGCAAACAAGGCCGAAGTCCGACGCACATCGAAGAAGCTCCTCATGTTGAAGAAGCGGCGCAAGTCCAACATCGTCTTCCCCAAATACGGCGATAGGAAAATCAAGGGTCGGAAATAGGCGTTTTACTGAATTTCTTTCGTTTTCTTTTTTCTTCGGGCGTTGGATCAAATATCATAGGCTTCCTTCTTCGTACAATTCTCTATCTTATCCACCACTGCTGTCGACTACCAGTCACGGCTGGGCGTTTGCAAGGTATTTAGAGCTTCAACTGGAGATTTTCCAGGTTCTCATGATAATAAAATATATCTTTATGGATGAACGAAATTAGAGTCTCTTTTCTCATAAGACGAGCACCTTCGGCGCACTACCCATAAGTTGGTCCGCAGGCCATTTCTACCACTCAGAAAAAATCTCACCAGCACCTTAAAAATGGATCAATGCAAATTAGCGTTGGATTAATCCATTGGGACATGAAGGCGGTGGCCCCGGAGCGTATGGCTGGCCAATGGTTCATCCACCCAGCGCGCCCCGCACTCCCCCATCCTCTAATAATGAACCGTGTCAAGGATGTTGCTTCAACATCGAGAGCTTGCTCTATGCACACATCAAAATCATTGAAGCTCTCTTAACCGCAGATACGACCGACTCCCACCAACTCAATAGACCGAACCCGCATAAACCTGCCAACCCAGCGCAAGCTCCGACCTCAAATTCGGCGTCGCCCGTCACTCGCCAACCAGGCCCCCTTAACACCCTTCCTAAAACTAGGCGTCGTGGCGTCCACGCTCCCTAATTTGGTACCCTCGCCTGGCCTAGAGACGACCCTTTCTTACCCCCATCCGAGGCATTGTCGCGGTCGGCAAACTTCGAAGAGGGCCTACCCCTCCTAATTGTCACAAGCAGGCCTATCCCCTAGTCTAGGCGCATATCACCAAGGGCCGCTCAGCCTCTTTTCTTCCGCCCTTCGAGACCGCTCGCGGCCTGGACAAATGTCCTTTGGCACGACTGTCATGCCGCCCTACAACTCGACCGACCCATCCGCGACCTTTCTCAATGCTTCCTGTTTCGATTTTTACTCATAGAGCTCGTTCCCCTCGCATACCGTGTCACAAATGAGCTAGAGCCGCCCTCCGATCCCGTTCCCGTGGGCGACACGTCAAGTAGCGCCCCGAGGGCTCAAGAAGATTAGATGAAGAGGAGGAAAGGGAGGCAGCGGCGTACAGGCTCGAGATGCTGGGCTATCGCGTAGGCCAGGGAATAGTAGAGAAGTAAGTCGCACCCGAGGCAAGGGCGTGAACGTCGAGAGCTAGGACACCAGGAGGGGCAACGAACTTCGAAGCAAGATAAAGAGAGCATGCCCTCTCGTGATATCGTTGATTCAAGCGCTCACGCCTCTTTCTTATCTAGGTTCTCTCGGGAGCGGCCTCGCTTCAACGACACTCTCGATGTCATCAAATTCGTGTGCAAAGATCTATGGTCCCTTGTCTTTCGAAAACAGGTTGATAATCTCAAGACGAATCATTGCGTACGTACTTATCGCTCCGAACCTTCACGATCAGAACCAGGCGCCAATTTTACTAACCGCTAACCTATAGGGCGTCTACGTACTAACCGATAACGCCTTTCGTCCCCTCTCGCGGATGAGCACCGAAGCAGGTGGTCAGGCCGTCGTCAGAGCCGCGCCCGTGGGTTCACCCCTTTTTGGCCCTCATATATGTTTCTCTCGCGCTGACGAACCACAATCCTGCAGTTTCTCCTCGTACCCTGCGGCATAATTCGAGGTGCCTTAGCTGCCATGGGAACGAACGCGACGGTACAAGCAGACGCAAGCAAACTACCTGCGGCCGTCTTCCGAATAAGGACAATACCACAAAAGTCTTAGCATAGAAGAGTCTTGATAGTCGTGCCGAATCCTAATTTTTCTTGACGAGTGCTTTGGAGGCCAAACCGGGTATATCCCCGATGTAATCCCACCTAGCACGCAGTAGACTTGCCGAGTGCCCCAAATAGATAGGGCGTTCTCTGCAAATGATTACATGATGTCTGATTAACAATTGATATACTATTCAACCTTTCTAAGTAAACCCAGGACCGCTTTTTCATTACCAGAGGCCCAGTGCTGCCCTTTATCCATCCTCCTAACCAGTCTCGGGGCTTCCGCCTCCGCAACTCCAGCATCACGGCTAGGGAGCATTCGAACCAACCTTAATTCACAGCCTATGACGAAGAGGAAAACAGATCAGCTATTCAGTCACTTAGAGTTCAAGGTTTCATGTTTGTTTTTCTTTTGGGGTCCGTCTACTACCCCACGGCTATATCTATCCGCTCGACAACCGCAGGCCGCAGATGATTGCCATTTATCAAATCACTTTTTAGGTTAGGGAGTATTCACTTTTGGGGGTTCTTGACAAAGTTGACACCCTTCTCGATGCCGCCCTTGAGTTCGCCAATGCAAGCATCCAACAGCTTCTTCTCCTTATCGGTGAGGTCGCCAAGGGCATCGACAGCCTTCTCAACACCGTTGGGCTATATCCATGTTAGCTAGATCAGACACATGCAGCTGCCTCTAGTGAGGAGACAAATGATAACTTACGCCGAGCTCGACGGGGACGGAGAAGAACTCGCAGCCAGTCTTCTCAGCAATGCGGCGCCGCCGGGGACACCGGGGAGATAGACGAAGCTGGGCTCAACGAGGCCCTTCTCGCCCTTGATGGCCTTGAGGACCTTCTCGGCGAAGCTAGGTGAAACGGGTTAGTTCGGGTGCCTGGAGAATTTGCAAGTACACAGGTGTGCAGCTTACCGGAAGCCAGCGAAGGCCATGGAGAGAGTGGCAGAGCCAAGGCCATCCTTGGCCTTGACTACTTCGTCACCGCCAAACTGGACGCGGTTGACAAGAGCGTCATACTTGTCGTCGGGGATGGTTACAGAGGGAGTGACCTTGCTGAAGAGAGGAACAATGGTGCCACCGGAGTGACCACCAATGACAGGGACAGTAAGCTCGGAGGTAGCCTTGCCGGTGATCTCAGAGACGAAGGTCTCGGCACGGACGATATCAAGGGTGGTGACACCGAAGAGGCGCTGGGGGTTGAAGACGCCCTTGGCCTTGAGGACCTCAGCAGAGATAGGGACGGTAGAGTTGACGGGGTTGGAGATGACAAGGATGAAAGCGTTGGGGGCAACCTCGGCAGCAACCTCAATGAGTCCCTTGACGATTCCAGCGTTGATGTTGAACAGGTCGTCCCGGGTCATGCCGGGCTTGCCTACCAGTCAATCGGTTAGTGGAACCGGCCGGCCAACCGACACATGCTGGGTTCTCCACCACATGCGCGCTAAGAAGATATGTAGCCCAACTTACGGGGAATACCGGCGGGAATGACAATGATGTCAGCATCCTTGAAGGCGGCCTTGGCACCATCGTCGGGGGAAGGAAGCCAGTGACCTTGGCGTTGGAGGAGATGTGAGAAAGATCGGCAGCAACACCGGGAGTGTTGACAACATCGTAGAGGAGAGCTCGTCAACGAGGGGCAAAGCTTAAGAAGAAGGGAGAGGGGCTAAATGTAGATTCGAGTAAGCACCCCATCTACGTTGGCAACATCAAGGCTTGTTCTGCCATTTGTTCAGAAGAGGAAAGCATACCTGACCAATGCCACCGGAGGCACCGGCGACGACTTCACGAGTTGGGTTAGCACAAATCAGCGGAGGGGTGGGCTGGGACCAATCGAGGAGAGAACTCACCAGCCTTGATCTTCTTGTCAGACATGGTGGCAGGTGGTAGACTTAGAGGGCGTGTATGGGTTTTGATGGTGTTTAAACAGAAAGAGGCCGCGGTCACAAGAAATTGACTGCGATCAGGTTATTTATAGGGTGATGGAAGGAGAGAGAGAAAGAGGTATGGGGAGGAAGGTAAGGTGTGCAACGAGGGGTTACAAGGTTTCAAATGGGACCTGGCAACTAGCCCGGAGGTACTCAGGTACACAAAGACCATGGTGGGGGAGGGGTTGATTGGCCATAGTTGAAGTGGGTGGCAGGAGAAATGTCGCGAGGAAGGTGTAACTAAGATGTTTCCGACGACCGGTGGGGGAGAAGACTGGGCTTGGTGCGGAAATTCTGCGAGGGGCTGTACCTAGCTCGAAATTCTTATCACACACTCGTGGGAGTCGACTTGACATCAAGGTTGAGGCTTGAGGTGTACTCTCGATGATCCGAGAGATTCCAAAAGCCATTGGCCAGACCCAGGCCGGCGCCAGATATCATAGCCCAGTTTCTAGGTGCGGGCAGGGCAGCGCCACTGATTCACGCCGAGGATGTTGATGGCTGAAGCTCGCAGGTGTTGTTGCGATTGCCCCTCCATCAACCCCTCCAACACGGGTCATAGCTCCCATCAAGACGCCGTAACCCGCCATAACCTCGGAAACAGCTGAAGACAAAAGTCTTTCAATCCCGAATACACCCTTTAGAGACCTCATTCGATCAATTTCCTGGCATTCTGTGGGTACGCATCTGCCTGCGACGGGGGAGTCCTTCTCCTCTCTCAATCTACGTATATTTTCCATTGCACTTGGGCCTTTTTTTCTTCGACTTTTTCCGAAGGTTCAATTTCCAATGTCGCGACCTTGAAGTGGGGTCAAACGAGCTACACCGGAAACAACTCAAAGAGTACCGTAATACACTTGATATTACCCAGCTGTGAATGGTTCAGCTCAAACACCTCATACGTAAGAAAAATACATAACTGTCTGCGAGGCCGGAGTACGACACACTCACGATAGAAGATCCTTCGCGTCGTGTCCCAAACTTGCCTTTTACTGTTCATCCAGCCCTCACATTCACCCCTCCCTCTCTACAAGGGGCGGACCGTGGGTGACAAGGGGAGGACATAAATCGCGACGACCTGTTATGCATCCACGCTGCCGGTACTAGCGCACTCCTTCTCACCTGACTACCAGATTTTTCCGCCTCTGCTTATGGGGGTCAATTGGGATTGGGGAGGCTCATCAGTAACGTGGGCGAGGGGTTGGCTGCTGTCCCTATTCCTATCTAGATTTCAAGACAGTAACCTTTTGCCATCAAGGGATGATAAAAAAAAAAAAAAAAAAAGAACAATTATTAATACCCCAATTATTGATGAGTGTTGATCCTGTAAATCAGACGCGATGTCAACCCCATTCTCAGTTATCTGCCCGTGAAACAGCCTAGGAGAAGGCCTTCGGTGTGAATCTATTGGGGTCCTTTTTTCTTCTCTTTTCTTTCCCTTTTTTCTTTTTCTAAATTTTTTTTTATATATATTCGACTTTTTCAATCGAAAGGAGAAGAAAATCGTTATCCCTGAGCGGTTTCAAATGTCTGACCTCCACGCCCACTCTCCACTTGTGGATGAAGGACTCACTAGCCGTGGGCTTCGATTGATTGATCGATGGCTCTGCGGTGTGAGGTTTCGCTTTCCGTCTTACGTCCCCGAGTCGGATCCCGAGATGGTTCCCGGGTGGTGAGGCCGGGTGAGGAGACGGCTTTGAATAGCCCAGCTTAACCGATGAAGCGCCGGATCTTTTCAATAGAGCACTGTACAGCCGGGAAGGAGAGCGTACGACGTGCGCTAAAAACAAAGATGATCACATCCTAACCGCTCAGTTCTCACTGCGAATGCCTCAAATTGGAAAATCTTCAGAACTTTGTCTGCTAGCCAGCCTATGTGGTCATAACTAGAGCCCAGAAAGAGCATCTCGATGGCGAGGTTTACGAATATCCCAAGAGCCAGCAGCTTGCCGTTCTGGTCAGCTGAGGCTACGCATGATTACATGTGGACGTTGATGGGTCATGAACTTGGTATTGTTCGTCTTAAACGCCGCCTTCTACATCGTGCTTCAACAGCCCTCCCATCCGGGGCACATGCGAAACAGCTTGTTTTTCCGTCCCTATATTGTCCCATGCAAATCATTTCAGAACGACACACCCTTACGCAGACTGGGCCTGCTGCGCCTTCTTTCCCTAAGCTTCTGCTCCGGGTCGGCCTTGACGGGAAGCTGGGATCGTCGGACAGCGCTCACGCGCTGGACGGCAGCCTCGCGGAGATCGACACGGTAACCCCTCTTGGAAGAGAGAGCGGCGGCGGACTTGTAAGCCCTGTGACGAAAATTGAATTAGCATTCGTCCTTCTTTAGAACCGTAGCATTTCATCACCCTAGGAGAGCACGGGTTCAGTGTAGCGCATACTTTCGGTTGGACCTAGCATCACCGACGGCGGTGGAAGTGTAGGAGGTGGAGGGCTTGCTGGAGTTCTTGGAGTTCTTGCTGACGATGGTTACGCCACGCTTGCCGCTGCCGCTGACACCGATGGCCTAGGAAAGTCAGTTAGTATCTTCAATTTTCGTATTATCCCCCATCTTGGGTTCGATTGTTTGGGCGTTAGAAGGTCGCGGTACCTTGTCGTTCACGAAACCGGCATACTATCATTGCAAAGCCCATTGTTAGTAAGTTCCCGAGTCTCAATCGTAGCCGCAGTCAAGCTGCGTCGCATAAGCCTTCCTACCTTGCGCGCGTGGAGGTTCGTGAGGTTAAGGGGTCGCGGGAGAACTGAGGAGAGCCGTTGGTCTTCCTCTTGACGAGGTACTTGTTCTGGTTGCCTGTGTGGGATCAATTCACATTAGTTTTTCGATTTCGAAGTAAATTCATCATCTCCAGGAAAACCTATGGTTGGCGGTTTCACTCACGAACAACCTCCCAGATGAGATCAGCAGATACGTTGGACGACATTTTGCCGGTGTTGTGTATTGATATCTGCTCAAATCGTTGAACTTTGGGGAGAGAAGGGAGAATATCTTGAAATTTTGATGCCAAATTCAAAGTGTGGGCTTGCCTCTGTGGTAGTTTCGGGCTATAGTGGGGCACACTTGCATCTGTGTGTGCGCATTTGTGGCGCTGCACCATACAGGACCTGTGGCGAACATAGGCAAATCAGCCACCCCAGTTTCTCTCTACCTTATGTAATCTATTGAATCCTGCAACACCTGATTTCGTGCTCCAGCAAGTCTCCGTGATTACGTGGTTTAGGATATGAACAGATGACATTGCCTAGCGGAGTGGCTTGGCGTTCTGGACCAGACCAGAGTCAGCTTGCCACTAGGGGTTCACTTCCCACTCAGCCCGACACAGCAACGCTGCTTGCAAACCCACTCTTCTCTATCGCTCTCGATCGTCGACTTCATTACTCTCGCTGAAAGAGCCACCTACAGAGCCCAAGGAAGATGTCATAGCCGATTGCGACGTATCCGGAAGTCTTCTCACGCTCGCTCTTCCACTTCGACCCCGCCGCTTTCTTCCTCGTTCCAAATCGCGCCCGGCGGTCATCATGCTTCTCTTATTCTCCGTCTCTGTCTTCTTTCTACTCCTCGCCACCGCTCTCTACTTCACGCGCTCTCTGTGGATACCCCATGTATCCGAGTTAAATATACCCGGGCGCGACTACCTTTATGCGAGATTACCAGACAGCTTCCACGGTGACGTAGAGGCCGGCCTCTCAAGCAGCACCTTTGATCTCAGTAGCAACATCGAAGCAGGCGACTCGCGTGCTGGTCTTGATGATCAAAGCAAAGCCGAAATTCTCAAAATCATGAAGAAGCGCCGTCTCAAGTTTGACGACGCCAGGAAAGTCTACATGGAAAATCGGTTCAAGGCGAACGGGATCGGACCCGATGGGAGGCCGAGGGATCCGAAATTCGTCAGCTTCTCGTAAAGGACCGCGTCCGTTCTCGACAACTGTTATCGCACAAGAAAACCATACTCTGCGTCAACAAGAGCCCGATTTAACAATTCTCTCCCTTCGTCTAACGCCCTGTTCGATGCCGCCGACTGCATCGTCGTTACTGCGAAAAATGATTCAGCAAGCCCACACCTGCAGCGAATCTGCATAACCCACAACATGTCTACATCCCATATCAGACCTTCCTTTGTACCGTAGAAACTCGACTTGCGATCTCCTTTTTTTTCTGTTTTACTTGGCCGATTACCGCTTGTATCTATTCACTCAAACATCGCTTGTTTCCTTTGTCGTCGGTAATTTCACGCCCGGTGGGAGCGGTATGCGCTTCACAGCTAATACATGGCCATATTTGGAAATGGGCTACATGTACTCTTTGTTATTTTGTTACGAACCCGTTTACTATAATTTTAAGCAATACGTTTATGGATCCATATTCCCATCGTGTGGTGTTAAAACCCATGGGCGCCATACCCCTGCGTCACTACTTCACGATTCCGACGCGCGGCCCTCCCTTTGCCCTCAGCACTAGAAAGGCTATCACAATGTCTTGGCCTTCCAGCCAAATGTAATCGGTTACCGCACCTTTTCTACCTGATAACAGGGGATTCTCGCTCATCTATTGCACCTTATTACCCATGACACACATTGTGCTAAGTGAAAGCTCGGGGAGCAAGCGCATCATCTTCGAGAGAATAGGATGTAGACCTTAAAAAGAGGCACCCAAAATAAAGGAAGACTGTAGCTTGCCTGTCATCATACCGAGGTAGACACGGTGTGTTCTCGTAGAAAGTAGGTATCATAATCTCAAAGGTTCCGGCGTGTCCTTGCAATAAGGGCTAGCTTAGCCCAGGCCACGGTAGTTGTGCCGTTCTTACATTGAAGTCCCGTAGCTAACAAGCACCTTCTAAATGATCACATCAAGAACATGAACTTAAGTTATGATATCTCAGGCCATGGCGTAGCCTTCTACACCTATGCTATAGGCCCAAAAAGATGAGCATTTTGGCAATAATGAAGTGGTGTTGATGTCTAGACCAAGCAGATGACCCCCTTCGGACACAATACGCATCACGTCGTCAGCACGTCCTCAGTCCTCAGTTATAAAGTACATCAACGTACGTGACGAACACCTACATTGTAAGGAGTAGAAAACTTCAAAGTCCGCCTAGGCCTCTACAACAAGATTCTCCGGGTCAATAATGTCATGGGTGCTTTTAAGGCGATCTCTCTTCTTTGGCTCAGTACACACGCTAGTCAGCTAGGTCTCGGAGGGGATAAGGTCGCCTATCACCATTCCAGTTACACCACTGAACTATCAATATTGATATAATCCATTGCACTAAAGACTGCGCCTTAACTAACTACGTCTTTTTAGTAATCCAGATCCTTTACCTTGCCTTTCTCGGCCGGCCTTATGCGCTGCTCTGCATGGTAAGAGGAGCGGCTAGGATAGTCATGATGAAAGATTACCTGTCGATGAAGCGGCAAATTCCGCGAGCGTCGCCGATTGCTAAAGCCCCGAGAATGATCTTGAGCAGTGTACCGAGGTAGGCTTCTTGAGTTTACCGAACTGACTGGTAATATAGCAATCGATGCTCCCTTCTCACACGTTTCGACAGCTGAATAATCTGGGGTTAAAGTGATCCAGCCCAGTGTGACAGGGATTGCTGGGTTTCGAGCTAGGTCCAATTTGGAGACCTGTAAGTCAAGGTCTTCTTCACCGAGGTAGCGCCTGGCTGACACTGCAAACAACCTTCCTTGCAAGTTCACATTCTTGCGAAAATTGGAGACACCCATTGATTTTTGGGGGCGGGAACGACAACAACAAAACAAAAAGAACCATGCGGAGATATGGCGACGGCCCCGCCTCTAGTTAATGTATTTCTGCCCCTCCTCCTATGCTAGCTTGAGCATAGGAGCGAGAAGGCATGCTCACTATCGCGGCCGTAGTGGCTGCTGGAGGAGGCCTTCGGGGAAGCTCATAAGGATGAGGGTCGAGAAAGGGTGTTCATTTTGATTTATTCAATTTGCTCATCTTCTAAGATTATGTGATGCCCAGGAACCGGGAGGGAGAAGAAAAGAGGAGAGAAGAGGGACGGGAGGCTAGATATATAATTCCGATTCGGAAAAAATAGCAGTATACGAAGTCTTGCTTTCCCGACAGACATAAAGAAGGCCATCATGTGTAATGCCACAACATCTCACATACGGAAACTACTGCTGGCCCCCATCACACCTGAGGTGATGAAATAATATTCCACTCTCTGATATAAGTGGAGCCCGCTCATTCTGTGGAGACCCCAGGCAGAGACGAGACTCAAAATCATCGGCGGAGGGAGGTTTTAGATGTGACCTTGTACTCAGAGATTGGTATTCTGTATGTCGGTCCCTTTCGTCAGGCCCTAGAGGCGGCGTGACTCTCCTGTGGGGGTGGTCCTGCCTAGAATCCCGGGATCAATCAATTTTTGGTTCAGCGACAAGTACAAGCACCAGAGAGGGTTTGAGCCTGCCCTGCTCTGCCCGGGCAGGGAGATGTGCGGCGTTCTGCGTGCTGAATCACCTTCCCCTTGCGCTACTTGCGCAGTCCACTGTAGAGCTGGGGTCGCCGTCCTGGGTAACACCGCTTGTCCATCTCCGACAATGGTGTTCAGCGACACCCACACCAACACCCGCCGCTCCCGCACGCCCCCACCCCTTGTTTTTTTCGGATGGAGTGGGTGTGTGTGGACAGAAGGAATCCAGTCAGTTAACCCTGCCGTCCAGATGTCGGAGACGTGCACAGACCACAGACCAGCCACACACCACGCCCCCTAGCAACTAACCGTGCCTGTCGTGTACCTCGCTGAGACCCAGCGGCCGAGTTTTGGAGAGAAGGGAAGTACATGCCAGGCACCCTCCCCCGGGCTAGCCTAAGGATACATGGCCCGAGGCGACTGGTACTTCATCTGTCGAATTGAGCCCCACATAGAGGTCCCCGAACATCTGTGTACCCTTAACGGAGGAGAGCAAGAAGGGGGGCGTGTACGGGCCACGGTTGTGCACAGAAATTGGTCTAGCTTAGTGGACACCCACAATATGTACATCCTGCTCCATCTGCAGAGGTCGCACCCATGCCACTAGAACAAAGTTCGGCTCACGTTGCTGGTTGCGCCCCCGACTGCTTGTTTCTTCGCTTGCCTCATCCCAAAGCGTCCGGCCAACACACACGCACCCTCTCTTCTCCTCCTCTCTCAACTTCCACCATCTCCTTTCCTAACATTACAAACAAACCGCATCGCACACCATTCCATCACGAGCCATCGGCCTCGCAACTTCCTCTCCCGCCCTTGAGCTGCCCGAGAGCTAGACGGCATCCTAGCGAGCGATCGAGAAACACACGGCTTGCCTTGCGCGCAAGGAGGCTGCAAGCTGGTTCAGGTTCGGCTGACGACGATTTTTTTGCTGTTGCAGCCGCCCTGATTATTCGGCGAAACCTCCAACCACCTCGCCTTCATCTGGCCTCATCGAACCTTTTTAGCGCAACCATCCGTCTATCTCGTCGCGTCATCGATATTTTCAATTACGCATCATCGATTTTTATCTCTCTGTCCATCGCGGACGGGAAGAAAATAATTTCTCTTCTCGATTCACACTTTTTTCAACCTCCCTTTGCACGAGCCGTTTGGCGCGCGGTAACCGCCAGCCCGTTCCGCCATGGCAATGTATCCGCATAACCCCCGAATGGGGCCTCCCAACGCCCGTCTGAATGAGCTTCTCGACCAGATCCGCTCCGAGTTCGACACTCATATCCGGGCTAGTGAGACCTATGAGCATCAGAGTACGCGCCTGCCTTGACTTGACCGTCTAGCCATTCGCTATCACAGCGTTGCCCAATTGCTAACTTTCTATCCCTTGCGTAGTCAATGCCCAGGTCAATGAGATGCAATTAGTTCGCGAGAAGGTCTATGCGATGGAGCAGACTCATATGACTCTCAAGCAGAAGTGGGTGATGATCAATTCCTCGTTTTGTCGCGTTCCCTCTGCCCTTGACTTTCCCGACACACACGGGATTGCCTATTCTTGCGTAGTCACCGCCGGTCCACAATCTTTATTTTTCTAACGCATTGATATCCACATAGGTATGAGGAAGAGATTCAGATGCTTCGTCGTCAGCTCGATGCTGCTCGTGGCGGTGCTCCCCAAGGCGGGATGAGTGCCCACCCCCAACACCCCGGCCCGAGCCAGCAGCCTCCCGCCATTGCTCCCGGAAACGGTCTTTTTAACGGCATCATGACCGGAGCCGGACAGGCTGGCCTAGCCCCCCTCCAGCCCCAGCACAGCCTGAGCAGATGGGGCCCCATGGCCAGATTGGACAGGGCCCGCCTCCCCCAAGCGGCCTGCCCGTACCCCCTCCCCCTCCTGGTCCTCCTCAGCAACCTCCGTTCCAGCAGGGTTACCCCCAAGGCCCTGGGCCTAATGGCATCGGCCCTCAACCTCCCCAAAGCACCGCATCCCCTGGACCTCGTGGCGGTCGCATTGGGCGACCCCCGCCGCCGTCGGCCCCGCCACCCTCAAATCAACACGCCCATCCCCTACCCGGGAGCCACTCAGTCTCCTCAGGTTAGCCACCATACGCCTGCGGACAGGCCTCAGAGCATGAACCATCATGCCCAGCCTGGCAGTGTTCTCAGCGAGCTCAACATCGATCAGATCCCCGCCCATTATAAGAAGGCCGGCGATGATTGGATTTGCGTGTTCAACCAGCACGTCCCCCGCGTTTTGGACATTGACCTTGTCCACACCCTTCAACACCAGAGCGTTGTTTGCTGCGTCCGTTTCAGCCATGACGGAAAGTACGTTGCTACGGGATGCAACCGATCGGCCCAAATCTACGATGTGCAGACTGGCGAGAAGCTCTGCGTTCTTCAAGATGACTCGGCCGATATGGGTGGTGATTTGTATATCCGCAGCGTTTGCTTTAGCCCTGACGGCAGGTACCTTGCCACCGGTGCCGAAGACAAGCTCATTAGGGTGAGTATTTTCTCGTCTGGCCCCAAGATATTCAAACCAAAACAAATTGGTAAGACGCAACCGAGCTGAAGCTAATCAATATCTTTTCTTTTTATAGGTTTGGGATATCCACCAGAAGCAAATCCGCAACACGTTCTCCGGTCACGAGCAGGATATCTATTCGCTTGACTTTGCCCGCGATGGCCGTACCATTGCTTCCGGCAGTGGCGACCGTACTGTTCGGCTTTGGGATATCGAGCAGGAACTCATATTCTTACCCTCACAATCGAGGATGGGGTTACAACCGTCGCCATCTCTCCCGACACGAAATATGTCGCCGCTGGCTCACTCGACAAGAGCGTTAGGGTCTGGGATCTTCACCAGGGCTACCTTCTCGAGCGTCTTGAGGGACCTGATGGACACAAGGACAGCGTCTATTCGGTTGCCTTTTCGCCCAACGGCAAGGATCTCGTCAGTGGCTCACTGGACAAGACTATCAAGATGTGGGAGCTCAGCACACCCCGAGGCTTGCCCAATGGCCCCAAGGGCGGAAGGTGTGTCAAGACGTTTGAGGGGCACAAGGACTTTGTCCTCTCGGTGGCCCTCACGCCGGACAACCAATGGGTCATGTCTGGTTCGAAGGATCGCGGTGTGCAGTTCTGGGACCCCAGGACTGGTGCGACGCAGCTCATGCTTCAGGGCCATAAGAACTCTGTCATCTCGGTCGCGCCCAGCCCCACTGTCGGCTACTTTGCCACCGGCTCTGGCGACATGAAGGCTCGCATCTGGTCATACCGTCCCCTCCCTTAGGGAATGGCGATAGGACTGCTCGTTCTTCAATTGAAGTAACCTCGAAAATATTGTGGGATGAAGGGGAATTGAAAACACTGAGGGGGCCGGATCACGCAATTGATATGGGTCTTGTTCTGGAAAGCAGGGCAGAGAGGCAAAGAGACTCTGTCTCTCTCTCTCTCTATCTGCCTCTTTTTTTCTTTCTCCCTTTGTCTCTTTTCTCTTTTTTCCCTCTCTCTCTCTCTTACTCTTTCTCCCTCTCTCTCTCTCTCTCTCCCTCTCTCTATCTCTCTGTCTCTGTCTCCCTGTTCCTCTCTGCCCCCATCTATCGATACCAATCTCTAACCCCTCTTCGACGCGTGGGTTCTGGAAAGGGAGCGTAGCGGCAGCGTAAATAGTGCGAAGTTTATGTTCAAGGGTGTCCTGTCTTGCTTGGGTGTTGAAATGTCTGTCTGGCGGCGCATGGAAGGAGATCAAGATATTAGGTAGGAAACCAAGGGGAGGAATTGTTCTTGTACGGTAAAGTCTCTGTTGTTCGCCCTCTCTTTTTTCTCCCTCTCTTTCCACTTCCCTGCCGTGCCTGTCGTCATCTGTTTGTTTACTCGCGGTTCTCCTTTCTTTTTTTTTTCCCCGACCACCCTTTCCGCCATCTTTCTTCGCAGTTGTTCCTCTTTTATTCCAAGTACGATTTTACTTTGCGCTCTTGTATTCATCTCTCTCTCTCTCTCTTTCCCCCGCCTTGATTGACATGACTCCAAGTTGAGAAAACTAAAATATGCGATATCATCAATTCATCTGATCATTACTACTATCTAGAGGATATTGGGCCTTCATTAACAGGAGGAAAGTGAATAAGACGCCATGATTCGAGAATGCGTGGGCTTCTTTCCGTATCCACAAGTGTATGCGCATGCGTACATATATCTATATAAGGGGATCCATCCGTTCGTGCAGCCTGTATTACGCGATGGATGAGAAAAGGTCGTCAAGACTAGTACCTGAACCGGCCTTCTTCTTCTTTTTCTTCACCTTCTTGATCTCCCCTGGGCGGGACCGGGAACGAACTCCTTCGGAGGTTTTCGGGGCGCCTGAGCAAGAGGCTCATCACGACCACGCCGTTGTGGTGCCACTTTTCTAGCCGTCTCTTCTGGGAGCATGAGGTCAGAGGTAAGCTCGGACCGCGATATCGCTACACCCATATCCTGGGCGATGGAAGGATGACGGGGAGCTGGGGCGAAGGTGGTGCATCGGATATGCGATCATTGTTTGTCGTAGTGGGTCGTACGGAGGATTTGGGGGAAAGATTCTGTTGGATAAATGGGGTCGTACGAAAGGGTGAGATGATGGAGCTGACGCGGGCGAGAACTCAAGCAGGACGAGACCCAAAGGGGCATACTGGTTGTCGGCGGCAAGCTGAGTGAAGGCACTAAAGATGGTGGGCAATGGCACCTCTGTTAGCAGGGCGCTCGGTTGACAAATATAAGCAGCTGGTACGCAAGACAAGCTTGGGCTTGTCAAGGTAGTGGACTAGGAAGGAACCTCAAAAGGCTGGGATACAGAAGCGCAGCATGTCCCAGCTAGGATCATCGAGGGTGAAGCTATTCTCGAGCCTTTTTCGGTACATTTGAACAGAGGGAGGAGCCATGTAGCGTGGGGGACAGTGATTGAGTGACTAGAGCGCTGGGTAGGTACTTGCATGTATGAAGACGGGATGACGTTCTCGGCTACCCACCTCACGTGGTGAGGGAGGGTCGCGGATCCTTGAGCGCGGGGGCAACGATGAGCCTGCGCAGGGCGCGGCGAAGGAGATTAAATTGTCGCCACCAGTGGGAGCGGCGATGCTGGTTCTTGTTGCGGTGGTTAAAGGCGTCGAGGAGGACAGAGATGGGTGTAAGCTGGGGGAGGTGGGCAGCGGTAGTAGCCATAGCCACGAAGGTGAGACAGACAAAAAAAAAAAGAGACGGGAGGAGAGAAAGGGAGCTAAAAATAACAATTAAAGAAACCCCAGAGGCGAGGGGCTCTCGTCACGGGGAAAGGAAAAAAAAAAAAAAAAACTGCAATATGAGAGGAGCTTCGGGGGCTAGAGGAAGCTTGTCGTCAAATGATAGGTAGGTTGTGATGATAGACGGGGAGCAAAATAAAAAAGGAAAAAGTAGTTGAAAAAAGTTCCCTCTCTCGTTTCTCTTTGGTCGTGCATGGTGCAGACGCAAGGCTACTGTGCTGCAATGGCGGCGGTTGAAAGATAGCGTATTGCGGGGAGGCCACAAGAGCAAAATGGGCTGGCTCACTCAAGATATCACACAACGGCCATGGCCTTTCAAGTGTGGAAGGAGTCAGACTGCGGAACCAAGGATGTCATAGGCTTGTGAAGTTCCGACCTTGACGACTATGGTTGGTCCGATGAAGAGCGCCCGCATACATAGATGGTTCGATTGTGAGAGCACGATCAGAGCTCAACTCAACGGCTTTGATCTGCACAGCACACTGGACCAAAGTGGAGCTGTCAACTTGAACGATTGATCAATTGATGGTAGGAATTAGGTAATAACATTGGTCTCTTGTCGTTGATCAGTTGGGACAATCTACCGAAGCCGAACAGTACAGGAATAATGGGTCCGGGCCAAACGCATGATGGAGACATGAGTGGTGTCAAGGCTAGCCAATAAAATCGAAATGGATGGAGGCCATGATGTTCATCCCGACGTACAGATAAAGTGATGGGGAAACTCGGGTGCAACTCGGAGTAAAGGCCCGTGGGGAGAGGGATGCGATAAGAGCGTAGGGCGCTTGCGCCATTCACTATCTCTGTTTGCACCTCTACACATTATTTGGTCGGCAACCAAAGACCTGGATGTCACCTCATTCAATCAATTGATGTGACAGGTCCAGACTCGGGTGACGATCTGGTGTAGGTTGTGTGAGCAAAACGCGGCAGAGAGTTTGAATTCACTTCATCGACATGTTCCATTGATGAATGAGGGGTACGGACGGTTACAGCACGTCAAAACGGTCCTCCTTTGCCCCTTTTGGGGGCGCTGCGATAACTTTGGTGGTTTGATTCCAGACGGAAAATCTACGGCCAGACTCCCTGGGCATTCTTTATCAGTTGGCGTTCTGACTGATCCACTGATAGCACCCGTGTACTGATAACGATTACCCCGAAGTGCTTGAAGTGCGGCGCTTCTTTTGCCCACGGCCTTCGCTTGTGCCCGCGTAGGTTATGCATGGATCCATTTGATCAATCTACTATGGATGCAATGGATCAAGCTAGATTATGTACGCACGCCTCCCGAGTTTTCCTCGTGGCCACTGTTGCAACAGAGTATCCAACCTCCCCAAGGTTGAGCAATCCCTCTGCAACACGGAGAGAGACAAAACAAAAGAGAAGCTTGGAGGGAGGGATATTGGCGCAAAATGTGGGAAGGAGAATTTTTTTCTTTACGTGTCTAGGGACACATCCTTGTCCGCGCTGGTCTCGTGCTTCTCTCGCTCGAAAAAACTGGCTAGAGAAAACTGGCTGCGTGACCTAAAATCATTTGTGCTGTCTTCGGCCGTTCCGCCGCGCGGGCTTTGCCGTCTCCGGCGAACGCCGGCTCAAATGCTCCCCTCAATATTCAGCACTTGCAGTGCCTGTACTTGCATCCGTACTTGGAGCCTAGCGTCTCTCTTGTCAGACGAATGGATCCATTCTATCCATCCATTCAATATCCAACGGCCAGGTGAAGGTGCAGAGGGTGCCTTTCCGGTCGGCGGGAGGAAGACCCTGGCCATCGCGGGAGCAGTCAACCTCTGTTCCCTGCTGGTCACAGAGGATCAAACCATCATCCAATCAATCCGTTGGAGTGAACCGAAGACCTCTCTCTCCGCGCAGCCATCCCAATACCTTGCTTCGGGTGCCATCGGCCATGACTCCATGTCTGCCGAGAGCGCTCGTCCCTTCGTGTTTCTCTTTTCTTTTTTTTTGGTCCCCACCATGCTTGAATTTCCGTTTACCACTGGCTACGGCCATGCATGTAAAAATAGGGAGAAGCCAGCCCCTGTATGGATGGCGGTGGGAGATGCTGGATGGATGCAGGACCGAAAGAGTCGCCACAGTTTGATGCACACCTCCCGTTGCTGCTACTGCGGAATGACGTTCAAATTTTTACATCACTTCCGATGGACTAGATATCCCACGATACGCTTACCGCAGTCTTTTGTATCTCCTTACCCACCTCGACCAGGAAGTCTCTACATTGCTCGTGACAAAGAAAAAAATTCCCCGAAGACACCGTGCATCTCCTCCTGCCCCCATTGAAACAACCCAAATCAAAATCTAGCGTGGAGGACAGAATAATTCTAGCAGGAACAGAAGCGGTGCGAGGGGAGAGCAGACGGAGAAGGAATTGAAGGCTTTGAAACCCAGATGTTGGCAAGATCAATGTAGAAGGGGACTAAGATCAAGATCCGTGCAGCTCTAGTCGACTGGACCCTTGGGAAACCTGGTTCTTCCCCCGCCGTTGTCTTTGGATAAGAGCTAACGGGTCCCACCTCTCGAGGACACCCATTGATTAATATTCCGCCCATCATCAATTCTATTTGATCTTAGTGCCCGGTTCTCTGCCAGGCTAATTTCTTGTATTCTCTTTACAAATCTTGTCTCGTCATCATCGCAGCTTGGTCCTCTTCGCTAGCACTTCTCGTCATCCCTCCCAAGCCATGTCCCGTTGCTAGGTCCTTGTTGACACTCCCCTTACCTTGCTCTTTTCCCAAGTAAACTAAGAGATTGAGAAGCCTTCTCCTTCTCTTCCCTAGCCATCTTTTTCTTTTCCCATACACGTCAAGGACCCTAATTTTTTTTTTTTTTTCCTGGCGGCATCTCTCCACGGAACCTTTTTCTTGCCTTTTTCGCCCCTCATTTCCTTGCCATTTGTGAAATTCTCGCTCGTTCGTGCTAGTCCCTTAGAACATCGAGACGAACCGCCAGCCGCGCTTGCTCGCTGCTGCTGAAGCCATGTCTTCTACATCACGTTCCCGGGATCTAACCCCCGGTCGTGATGTGTCCCCCGGTCGAAGCAGCTTACACTCGAGGACCGACGTCAGCGACTCGGAATCTCTAACAAACTGGGTGCCCAGCACCGAAGGTCTGAGGCGACGAAGGTGAGTGTTGAAAACAAGGAAACCAAGCTTCTCTTCGCGGGACACAAGTTAAAACAGACACACTCCTGCATGTCCCAGCGACGGCATGCTGCGACACATCAAAACTGACGTCTATAAACATTCATCCCCCTTTCAGGTCCTTGACGTTTAGGCCCGCCGCACTAGCCGAGCTCGGGGGCGTCAACAGTATCCGATCCTTCACTCAGAGCTGGCGGAGAGCCGCCGGTTTCGTCGAGGTCCTCCCCCAGCGGCCCCCCTCGTTTTCGCCCCGGACCAGGCCCCGCTCGTCCACCCCGACCCCGAAGCAGCCCATGATGTCGCCGGAGAAGAGGAAGAAACCCCCAGCCGTGGACTTCCTTGCTCCGCCAGCAGGCCGAGGCCCGACCTGGCCCCTCTTGGCAGGATGACCGCAACGCCGCGACCGACTTTCGGGAAAGGGAGAGAAAGGCCTACAACGCCGAGCTCGACGGTACCTTTATGCCCGGAAGCCACTCAAGTTCCATATTCGCCGTCCCTCCCAGCCTTGCCACCTCCCTCGTGGGGAGTTACACGAGCTACCCGGCGTACGGCGCCATCCCCGCCGAGTCGGAGCGGAGATCCTCGTTCGCCCACTCGTGGATCCAGCCCGCCGAGGCGGCGGAGCAGCCCAACGACGAGCTGCCCCCGATCCTCGTCAAAGAGGTTGAGCAAGACGGAAAGATTGTGCTGGCGGTGGAGGGCCAGTCTACCTTGCCTCAAACCGTCTTCAACTCGATAAAGTTCGTGGTCCAACCCTTTTCCACGGCCCCTATTCCTCGCTGGAGCTATTTTCTTTTTCCTAACCTACCTGGGTGACCAAACAGTGTCTTGATTGGCGTCGGACTCTTGAGCCTTCCCCTTGGTCTAAAGTACGCGGGTTGGCTCTGCGGCATGGTGGCCCTCTTCCTTTGTGCTACCGTCACCGCCTATACCGCTCGCCTGCTCGGCAAGTGCATGGATTTAGATCCAAGTCTCATCACCTTCTCGGATATCGCTTACATATCCTATGGCCGCAAGGCGCGAATTGCTACCAGTATCTTATTTACTATGGAGCTGATCGCCGCCAATGTCGCGTTAGGTTCGTCTGCCTGTCCTCCGCCTCTTCCCGGGCGAGGAAAGACTGTTGCTCACGCCTCTCTTTAGTTGTCTTGTTTTCCGACTCCATGCAGCTTCTCTTTCCCGATTTCTTGAGTCCCCTGCAGTGGAAGACATCGTGTGTCATTATCCTCTTGCCGCTACATTTCCTCCCGCTGCGGCTTCTCAGCGTCACGAGCGTCATTGGAATCTTTTCTTGCTTTGGTAGTACGTCATCTCCCTCGACAGGGTTGAGCCTCCGCTCCCATGAGAGCGGCGTGCTTTTCTCTTTTCCAATCACCTGTCTTCAAAAGCTAATCACACCAATGCTTCTCTCTTCTATCTAGTCGTCACTATTGTCGTCTTGGATGGGTTGATTAAGCCCACGTCCCCTGGCTCGCTCATCGAGCCGGCGGCAACCTACCTGTTCCCAAAGCGTTGGAGTACACTTCCACTCTCCTTTGGCCTACTATTAAGCCCTTGGGGTGGCCACTCCGTCTTCCCCAACGTCAGTCCTTTCTAAAGTAGCCTCCGCGGCACACTCTCCTTTTTTGCCCTTATTCTTTTGTGTTTTTCTTTTCCATTTCTCTTTTTCCGCTGACATCCTGACCAGATCTATCGTGATATGCGACATCCGTACAAGTATAAGAAGGCCCTCAAGGTTACCTTTTCTTTCACGGTACGCTTTTCCCGCCTCCTTTCCCGGATAGTTACACAATCACTCTGCGCGGTTTTTAGATGCTTACATTCTCTTCCCCATTTTAGTACTTGCTCGATGCTACGACCGCTATTGCTGGCATCCTCATGTTTGGCGATGACGTCCGCGAGACCATCACCTCTAACATCCTCCGAACAACGGGCTATCCCAAAGCCCTCACGGCCTTCATGTGTGCCTTCATCGCCATTATCCCCCTCACCAAGATCCCGCTCAACGCCCGGCCCATCATTAACACCATCGAGTTGGTCAGCGGCATCCACTACCAGCAGCACCTGCACCAGAACGCGGGCGGGCCCGCAGACGGCTCCAGGACCGGAGAGGCTTACTTCACCCTCGTGCGAGTCTTCTCTCGAGTTCTCGTCCTAGCAACTTTCCTCGTCATCGCCATCCTCTTCCCCGCTTTTGACAGTATCATGGCGTTCATGGGAAGTGCTCTGTGTTTTACCATTTGCATCATGTAAGTTCGAGGCCCGGAGAGCGCAACAAGTAGAAGAGCAAGACCAAAGACTCCAAGACACCATGACTCTTAACCTCCGTGCCACCTGGCTGTTGACTGACGACTGACCATGCTAAAACCCCCACACATAGTCTCCCTCTTGCTTTTTACCTCCGACTGTTCAAGCACGAGATCTCAACCCGTGAAAGGCTCTTTGCCTACTCTCTCATCTTCATCTGCTCGATCCTCTCTGTGATGGGTACGGTCTGGGCATTCCTTCCCAAGTCTCTCATCGGCGCCGACTGAGGTTGTTCCTTCTCCTATCTGCTAACGATCTAACGTTTCCGCCCTTTTCTCATAATGCATTGCGACCTGCGCTTTTCGTAGATCTCATTCATGTATTGAGGAACACTCTCAAGCTTGTGTCAAGGTTTTATTTTTATTTCTATTCTTACTTTTAGGGTTGTTGAGCTTTCGTTGGTGGGGTTTCTACTTGTATGAAGGCGGCGTCGATCCTGATTGTTCCCGAGCCTCCTTTCTGGAAGGGGTTCACTTCCACATACTACGGTTCTCGTCTTGAATCGTCTACCATTTGGTATGGGGCATCATTTTCAAAGGGGTTGGTTGACATGGACACGGAAGACAAGGTGGAGTTTACGACATGTTATTGCATGGCCTGGTGTTAGAAGAGCTTGATGTGTGTGGGACAATTGTACTGCTGCCTATTAGATACAGCTTCAGTTCAATCGCTATTTAACTGCTTAGTTTTGTTGCTGAAGAGTTTACGCATAGTCTACCACTTGCACTACGAAAGAAATTGTATGAGTGGGTACTTCTGGTATATTTATTTCATCGGTGACAATATTTTTTTATACACAGAGAGCGAGCTAGGATTCGCGTTAGAAACGTTGTCCTTGGAGCATTTTCCAAAGAAGGCAACGATCTAAAGATGAGTGAACCTAGCCACAAGTGGAGTGCTGCCCGTTGTGTCGAGGGACGATACTCGCCTTAAGCATGTCCTTCCGGCCAAGCCCCAACCCACTCAATATCGCCGAGATCAAGACGCTTTTCCTTGCGCCAATTGCAGTCTCGTCCCTTATTCCATGGGCACTCCTTAGCCTTGATGGTTCTTTGGCTGTTGAGGTGATCCCAATGGCTTGCACCTTGCGTGTGCATATATCCAAAAACATTATTTTGCCGCCTGGGCCTTGTCAACTCTGGCATTTGTTCCATTTCGGGAGTCGTCCCAAAGCCTCGACGACGCTGGCCCAAGGCCGCCCATTTATCCAAATTATTCCGCTTAGAAGGTGGAGAGTAGCGGGCCTGGGTATCAGGCGCACGCAACTCTACCTGCACTGCGGTAGCCTCAGTTGTATCAGCAGGTGGAGTGGGAGGCATATCGTGGAAAAAGAAACCGTCGGCGGCTAGATCCACATCAACATCCTTGACTGCGAGGCCCTCCACAGCATCGTTGTCCTTTCCGGCGACTGTGATGCTCTCACCGACCTTGGTCGACTCGCTCTCATGGCTCCAAGTCCTTGAGTTGAGTGGGAGCTGTCCCTCCTCCTCTTCCTCCTCGATATCCTCGTCCCAGATGTCGCTCCAGCTCTTGGAAACGGCACCCTTACCACGACCACCAAAGGTGAAGGACATCGCGGATAGATTCTTTGGTTTGCCCATTGCGATGGGCAAAGATCCAGGCATGGAAGGCCGTGGTCGAGAAGGCCGGGAAAGCCGAGGGGGTTGCGTGATGGCGAGAGATTGCATGGAGGCGCCCAATGTCGAGCCCAACATCGATGACATAGGTGTTTGAACCGTTGCAGAGCACCAGTCCGAGGTATCTTCTGACTTGGGAAAAAGCTCCTCGTCATAGTCGGGAATGGCACTCAGCTGACGGAAGGCCTGGCGAGGGGTGGCGTGAAGAGCCTTTGCCCACGGGAAAGCACCCTGCTCGACCTGGGGGCTTTGAATCGAAGGTGTCCGCAAAGGCTCTCTGTTGGCTGTCGCGACGGTCCGTCGTTCAACCGAGCAGAACTCGTCAAGCGTCTCGTCTGTTGTGGTAAAGCTCACCACGTTCATGAGAGCCTCACGGGCACCGATCAAGGACCGTTTCATCGGATCAAGATTCATACACTGAACGATAACTTCATACGTGTCCTGAGACAAAGTTGGGAAAACGTCAAAGAGCGACTGCTTATCGCGAGAAAAATCGAGGAAAAGAGGGTCGACCTCTGTTGGGGTCGTGAAAGGGTTGCGCGAAAAGAGGATATTGAGGAGGCAGACACCGATGGCCCAGATATCGGCTTGTGCGGGAGAATATCCGGCCCCAGCCGAGTCATACTGCTCGGGAGACATATAGCGATCGCTCCCCACTGTGGACTCCGTTGACCATTTGTCCGAAGTAGCCAAGCCGAAGTCACCAAGTTTCATCGAGCCTGACTTGGTCAAGAAGATGTTCTCGGGCTTAATGTCGCGGTGGTAGACTCCTTTGGAGTGAATGTACCTCACGGCATCCACAAGCTCGAGCATAAACTGCCTCACATGTTCAGTTTCCAGGGACCATGGCCATCTCGGATGGCCTCGTACAGGTCTCCCCGGGCGCAGAACTCGAGGACGAGAAACTGGTGCGCATCTGTCTCGAAAGCGTGAAGCAGGTTGACGATATTAGGATGTGAGCCCAAACGGCTATGGAGCGCAAATTCTTCCGATTTGTCGTCGATGGCGAAATCGGTTGGGCCTTCCATCGCAGCCGACTTCTTCGTCAAGCACTTAATAGCGACGGTGTCACCCGTGACCAAATCCTTGGCCATGAAAACCATGCCAAAGGAGCCATGGTTGAGGGGGCAATGGTCTGGTATCGACCATCGAGAATAACTCCATTGCTGAAAGTATCCTTCAAGCATGCCATTCTTGAATTCGTTGGGGAAAAAAGAAGAAAACGAGATGATGGATAGCTCACCACCAACTCAAAAGATAGAACGCGAAGAAAAGAAAAAAAGGTCGAAGAGTCAGGGTAATGATACAGCACTTTAGGCTTAGTCGTTTCGGCGATGTCAAAGATGGAGATGAGAAAACAAGCTAACAGAGTACAGAGAGGTGTGTGGTAATGAAGGGTATAAGAGAGTCGCGATGAGGGTCGGTTCGAAGGTCGTTTGGGAGATGTACAGAAAATGCGGAAAATAGTAACAAGAGGCGTCAACTCCAGGTCGTTCGTGTCAGTAGATCGTATGGGTTATCGTCGCGTCGAAAATGGTAACAAAAGAGAGGTAAAGATCGCAAGGGGCAGGTTCGTAAGTGGCGAGAAACACCGGACCAAGAAGGCCGTTGAAAAATACAAAAGGAAATTGTCGTTATAAGAACATTGGATATATAAAGAATGGTGTGTATGCCGGTTTAAAGCAATGTAAATCGGTCAAGGCTTGCTCTAAATGATGTGAGAATCACACCCTTCGAAGAGCACGGGCTTGGTGACTCGGGACTAGATTGATGCGTGGTTCGTGAGGGCTATTTCTGGACCAAGCGAGACCCGAGCTTATCGCTCGCACCAAACGGTCGTGTTGCTCGTGAATAAGCTGCCAAACCCCGAAGCCTAGCTGATCAACTGGTCGGATGTAGCGTCAAGTCTTCAAAGCAGATTAGATGAGGCTGAGTTGTGTAGCTTCGAGATTTGGTGATCGGGACGGGACCGAAGTAATCGTTCAATCAGCAGAGCCGAGGCAAGTTGCAAGATGGGCTGGATTTGTCTGGACGTGTCCTTCTGGTACGACTTGTCAAGTGTAGGAGGAAGGGAGTATCAAGGTCGCTTTCTTTCTCTTCGCTGGAGGTGGTGACTCGGAGGGGAGGGCGGAGTACGGCGTTGTCGCAGGGGCTTCGCCGGGACGGAGAAACAGGCCACGAGAAGAGTTGAGCGTGAGAAGGGAGTTCAGGAGAGCGAGTAAGGCTCGGGAATTATTATGCTGAATTGGAAGACGATGCCGGGTTATAATGAAGGAGAGAACGAGCTAGCGAGAAGAGAAAGAGAGGCCTTGGTGATGACTCTGCGGAAGCAAAAGGAGGAGGGGAGAAAGTGCTGGAATGATGAGGAAGGATCTATTGGAGTAATAAGGCGGGCGTGACCAGCCAGGTCTGGCAGGGTCTCAGCCAGGTCCGAGTTGCTGCACTGGTTCCAACGCGTATCTCCCAACGCTATTCAAAGTGAGGGGTACTCTGAGGTACGAGGTACATGACGAAGCAGGTTCCCTGAGTGTGGCGGGCAAAGAGTCACACCCAGACTGAAGAAACTGGGGAACCTGGGCACTGCCGACGAGGGAGACCGCTCTTGTCGACAAGGGTGGCGTGGTTGGGGGAGGCCAAGAGGGATTGGGTGACCTCTGTCAGGGGCTTGTGCGGAAGTTGAGGTACTTCATAACTGTCCACAGGTCCAAACGGCGCAAGGTGCCCACTACCACTCGACGGAGGCTCCGTTTTAAGCCAAATGGTGTGTGGAGGCGGTTGGGCATTGGCTGGTGATAAGGACAGGATGGCGGCAAGTGGCACTTGAGTGGGTCGATCAGTTGTTTCTCCTGTTTGCGAATGTTGTCATTGGGCTCATCAATTGAAAATCCGCTGCCATTCCTTTGAGCATGACGATCGAATAGCACTGTGTCGCATGCCCCCTTGAGTCGGAGGACGAAAAAGGTACCTTGAGGTACATAGGCGTCATGTCTCTTTATGGCTTCTTTACCTCTGCCTCGTACGTATCACGGGGTTGAAAATTGACTTGAATATGTCAAGGTGCGGTACTCCAATCTCTCCGTCACAACAAGCCTCGAAAGTCGTGGACAACCTTGGCCTTCACTGATCGATCACCAATGTCTTCAAGCCAAACTCTTCTAACATACTTGTAGAATCGATATCACAAGTTGTTGAAGAAAGAAAACGCCAGGTTCTCCTTTGCGCGGGGAGGATCGCCTTGAAACCAACAGCCACATGGCTGAGTCTATGGTTCCAAAGGAGTGGCCCAAATGGTTCTTTCGAAGGGAAGGGGAGGGATCGGGGCGTCGACTGTATGTACTATTTACACAGTGTGAATTGTCATCTGAGTGGCGTTACAGTTTTCTACACCGCCTGGTTCGCTGACGAGGATCGCCATTCATGCAAGCCTGTGAATAACGGAGCCAGGACAAGGACCTGGGAACAGCCAGCCCCAACCCGGAGCTCAACGGAACGGAACACGAGAGTCGCGTCCCTCCCGTCTCCGTCCATACGTGTGGGTGTTTCGTTGACCAAGAGCAACATTTGAAGTCTCCTATTACTTGTATTACTCTCACCCCGCTTAAACCCATCAACCCATCTGTCCTTGAAGATTCCGTTGCAAGTTCCAGCTCTGAAACATCCCCGCCAACAGAGGAGGAAGCTTTGGGAACATGGTGATAGTAATAGCTAACCATGGCAGCTTTCGTATCACGGATTTTCATCTATGAATGCACAAGCAGCGACGGGTCGAATGCGCCGTGCGAGTCACTGTTGGTTCTCGGAGTATTAGCGCGGGCTTTTGCGTCAGATCTTCGAGGGCAAGAAGAGGAGTTGGGTTAAAATATGGGAGGTCCAGCGGCCCATTCTGAGCTGGCCACAAACCCCGGCTGAGATCAAGCCAATCCAACTTCGTGGCACCATTGGGGCCATGTTCCCTTCAAGGCAATGTGGCGCCCCCATGCGTGGTCTAAAATTGACCTGGTGACTGTGCATGCAGGACACTAAGCCCATTCTTGTAAATGTCGGCTACCTCTCTACCTCGACCGTAATTTCCCTGAGCACGCGCCCTGAGTGACAACTCGTTGATACAACACTAGTGGAGAGCTTGCCTCTATCCTCGGTTGCGTTCCCCTGAATCGATGAGTAATACAACGCTATCGCACTGAATTGTCAACTCATGATATCCTACCTCTGAGCCTTATTGTTTGTAGATGGGATCAGTGACCCAGTGCACGGAAAAGTTGAATCTGCTCGGCGGTAAACAGTCAAGTGGAGAAATGTTGCAAGGTCAGACACCAAGTCCATCGTGGGCAATTTGATGAGTTCACGTAACCTGTTCGTTCCCCCTGAGAACGCAGAGGGACTCGGAGATCAGGGGATAAGATACGATGGCGAGCTTTTCGCGGCCCGTCCAGCTCATCGCCAACGCTGGAGTTGAATAAACAAATAAACACCGTTGATCGTCTCTCTGACACTCAGCATGAGAAGGGCCATCATCTCGTGAACAGCTTCGTGCCAATAGTACAAGTCAAAGGACACTCCTCCGTTTCTCGTGAACGTGCGTTCAGGTCCAAAAGTTTCCGTCAGGTTCTGTTTCAAGTTCAATAAACCGGGCCCAGGCAACTGCTCGGCTAATGTGGATGCGCCTGCCTTGGCCTGCACTCCTTTCGCCCTGCAGGACACACACTATTGCTTCAATGTTGTACTTGCGAGGACGAAAAATGGGGGTAGAGAGAACCTGGTGGGCTTGCGCCGATTATAGTTTACTGGAGGTTCCAAATACCTAAACGGCGCCCATGTGTAGACGGCCCCAGCCCCGGACATGAATTGGAGTCCCCTTCGTCCACGTATTGATACTATGTATGTAGTAGAACCTTGAAGTATTATTTCCTATCCGTTGCGGTGCTTGCGCACTTCAGATACCCCGAGGAGGTTACAAGGACAGTTGTACCTCAAAACAGCAAGGTGAGCTGGGTGAGCTTCGAGAGAGGGGAAAAGTACACACAGGCAACAAGTTACGAACCTCCTTTGTTTTGTGAGACCCTGCATTTCCGCTTCGGCATTTTGGGACGAAAATGTAATACAAGAGGAAGTTCAGGCGGCCGGGTGAGGTCTTAATTGATGCAAAAAGAGGAGACAACCTGTCGGAGTCGGCTGCTCAAGCTGCTGGAGCAACCACATCCCACTGAATCGCAAATACTAGACAAACCAACGCAGGCTTTATCAGGCTTAAACGCCTCTCCGCCAGAATGTGTGTGTGAACGTAGGTGTATACTACTAAAGAGTTCCTGAACACGTAAATCCACAAAGCTCTCGAGTCTCGTTGTGGAAGATTAAGACTTATTTACTTAGAGAAAGTTGTTGATAATGTGCCCCTTGTCAAGACTGGTGTTAGACAAGCTGGGCCCTGAGTATTTTGCCCTGTAGGCTCTATCCAATGTTTGTTTTTCTGGTTGAGTGTTTACTTCGTAATAAATAAACAGATATCCTGTGTTATGTCTCGAGGTGCCGAGGACGATGCCTGATGTTGACCGCATCTTGTTGGGCAGCCGAAAATATTCGTTCATGGCAGGGACTAGCCATTCAGATGGAGAGGATTGGTCTGTGGAGTACGGTGTTTGTTGGTCTCCATCCTTCTCTGGTAAGAAGAGATCAAGTTGTTGAAGTGTCCCCAATGAGGCTCGCCCAGCTCATCCTCATCCGCTGCATCAAGGTGGTGGAATCCAATTTGCCCTCACCGCCACTTGCCCACGTTTAACCGGAGAGGATGCAATCATTGGGAGGTATTATTATGTTTTCCCCACCCCTACAAACGTGTCTTGTCCTTTTCCCAATCCTCTCCATCTCTGGTGCCATCGATGCTCAAAAGGAAGTCGCTCCACTCCAAAGGCCTCGCCGCCACCCGCCCTACCCGCCCTCCAGCATTTATCACTCGTTCCCTGCATCAACGGATATGAAGTTGAGCTAGGGCGGCTGGGGCCATTTTGAAAACAGTGCAACACGACTGGGGGTTAGACCCTGGGGATCCTGATCTGCATTAGTTCGGCTCAGCAGGGTTTGGGCATATCGCGATCCTCTCTTCCACTTCATACATGATATCTCTACTATCTCCATCCCAATTTTCCCCTCCTGCTCGGGAGCATGCCTTCGAGCTTCGCCGACTACTATTTTCTTTGGCGTCACACACACACACACACACATACACATGCCGTTCTGCGCGTTCCAATCCTCCAAGAAGCATTAGAACCAATCTAATGTAACAGCTTAACGGGTGTCAGCGAGTGGAGGCTGGAGTTTGAACCAACCTCCACTCCGGGACGAGGTGATACCTAAGGACCCCACATGGACTTTGTAGCAGGTCCAGCCCTTGCTTGCCCGCATGAACCCACATAGTAATGCTATTAGTCCACAAAGAACTTGATGCGACTCCCGTCAACATTCGTGCATGCCCGGGACAGGACCGTAAAATTACTGACTTGTTGTCGCCGAATCAAGAGCCAGAGGGCTGGGGAAGAAGTTTTTCTTTTCCTTTTCGCTGGCGCCAGAATACACCGGAAGAAGGGGGACAGCCGAAAGGAAGCCTTCTTCACACAGACTATCATCAGTCCCCCTTCTCAAACGGTCCCAGGCTCAAAGAGTACGACCACAAACAAACCGCTCACCGCCTCGTTTTCATCCGAACCAGGAATCTCCGTCACAATGGCCCCGTGGGACCTCTCAAGGTCGTTCTGCTTGATATTGGTATCGTTCCATCTCCTACAATTGGTCCACTGAGCGAACAAGAGGCTAATTTCCGCCACCTTTGGACGCCTAAGAGGGGACCGTTTGTCCTATCTCCTTCGTGAAGGATGTCCTGGTAGGTTTGCTCTCACCGCACCACAGTTCGCGTTTCTCACTTTCTCTTTGCAAAATTGCAAAGGGCAATGGTTCCCGACTGCCTGCCACATCGCCTCTGGCCGGGGACGCCACTTATTGTCAAATCAAAGTTATCATGAGTACACCCGGCCTATTAAACCGGGATTGCTGACACAGTTATCCAACTCTTAGTTTCCGTACGCACTCCAGGCGCTCTCGCAGGATCTTGACTCTATTTGGGAGAATCCTACTTTTGCGCAGTATAGGCAGGCTTTCCCACAAGAGTTTTCCTCGGACCAGGAGGCTTTCAAGGCCCATGTTCAGGACCTTGTTGCAATGGATCTGAAAGTTCCGTACCTTAAAGCTCTGCAAGGCTATCTCTGGGAAGAGGGCTATCGGACTGGGAAGCTCCGAGCCCCCTCTTCGACGATGTCGGCCCCGCCCTAGCTTCCTGGCATTCTTCGGGCCTGGATATCATGATATATTCATCCGGATCTGTCCCCGCCCAAAAATTGTTGTTTGGCCATACAACATCCCAGCCATCAGATATGACTTCCTTGATTACGGACTGGTTTGACACAGTAAATGCCGGATCGAAAGTTAGCCCAGAAAGCTACACGAAGATTATCTCTCGTTATCCGGGCATTGAACCGAACAGATGGCTATTTCTTAGTGATAACTTAAAAGAGGTTGAGGCTGCGCAGGCTGCCGGCATGCAAAGCTTGGTGGTAATTCGGCCAGGAAATAACCCCATTGAGGGCGATTCAATCCTAGAATTGGCAGTACTGGACTTCAGTACGCTCAACCTTGAACGGGAGTGAGGTTCAAATCCTAGGCCCCAGTAATCCAAATCATACCAAATTTTCGTCTATCACGTGTGGAGCTTCATCACGCCTACTAGGACGTCGAAGATAAGTGGTGGTGTGTGAACCTCGACTATCAAGAAGCTTCCTGGGGTTGCGGCTGGAGGGGTATCTCAGCTGATTGACTGGATACTGTCTTCTTCAAGGCCATACAAGGGCCCAGCTTATCCTCTGTGTCTTCAGCTATAAATGTAGTCATCCGACCGCCTACTTCTCAATACGCAGCGCATATCATTGACCAATAAATTTCTTGTCTCTTTCCGAATTGCCTTGTGATATCCCATCCATGTAGCGTCAGTGTAGTTTTCTACCCATATATATATCAGATTTGGGTTAGAAAAGCTCTACGGTTGAGGTTCCTAGCTACTATCAGTACGGCCGTCCAGTCACGCATAAACAGCCATTGTGAAGAACTAGTACATGGTAGTGAAACCTATCCAGCTTCCTTCGCCGTTGGGCTAGACAACACCTGGCAAGGACCAAAGGCATGAAAGAAGGCATGTGCTTGGTCAGCAGCGAGGCCTTTTCTTCGGCCCACATGTGGGCAAGAATGTTGGGTGGACGGTTGGAGATCTACAGGTTCGGCGCAGGTGAGAGCGAGGAGGTGAACGGGAGTATTGGAATTTGGGGAGTGGAAGGGTAGCGGGCCAGGAGTAGACTCATAGGGTGACCGTGATAGTGTACTCGGATGAGGAGGGCATGAGGAGGGCATGTGGGTTGGTTTAGAAGGGCGCCTGCCGTCTCTCTAGTGAGGAGGGCTAAAATGCTTTAAGCAAGTGCCTTGCTTCACGGCATGGAATTCATCATAGATACTTTGATAAGCCTATCGTTGTCTGCTTGAAGAAGGTTTGTATGCAGCCGGTTGGTACCGTTGAGATATCAAACTCCGACTGTTTAAAGACTTAACCTTGTCGTGCGAGGTTGATAGAGGAACATGACTGAAGGTGGGATACTTGATGACACTGCTGGAAGACCTCGCATCAGCCAAAAGCGTTACCGAAGAGTCTGTAGCTACTCCGTTACCCTGAGTAGGGTTGAACTTGTCCTTGTATAAATTCGTTAAGACGCATGGACAACCGTTGGCCTCAAGGATGGTAGTTGTGCTAGGCTAGTGGCCTTGGCATAAAGATGAGTGTGGAGTCCATTGACTTGGATTTAGACGTGATCATATCTAGTACATTGTTCTTAACTTTTGGCCAACTTCCAAAGAGAGTGCCCGGTGGTCGGCCTACTTCCCCCAACGTGCCTAGCTTGTAAGCCGACCAGCATATGAAAAGCAATTGTCATCGTGTTAGGGTGGCTCGCAGAACATTGCGTTGCTGAATGGACGAGGCTCAACACTTATGACGACATGGAGTGGGAGCTGCCTGCTTGGTTTATCGTCACTGAGCCGAGTCATTGCTTAGCTGCCAATACGATATGGGAACAGACGAAGTGAGCTCTCGCATCAGCCACCCGCCCCCGCCTGGCCACTGCATCACGCCCGGGTTACAGGCCAGGTAAATCTCGTGGCCCGGCCTCCCACCCCGCTCTCAGTCCCGACATCTCTGTGGTCGAGGGCCTTGATGAATTAAACCTTTACTTGCGGTACCGAGCACAGCCTCGGGTGAGCACACGTGCTTCTCGTGTCGCTTGTTGGAGTCGTGCTGAGTGTTCGACATCCAGTGCCGGCCATCGCATCAGCTCTTCCCACTCTCGTCGAGACTATTCACCACGATAGCGAAATTATTCTTCCCCGGCCCCGGGTTGATTTCTTTCTTAGGGAACCTTTGCGCGTGTGTTTGCACGGGTTTATCTCGCCGCCATAAGGAGTAGAAAAGCTTTCCTGTAACCTTGCGGTTGGTCCGTGAAAACCCGAAAGACGCCATTATGTTGCCAAGCAATTCTTCTGAGCAGTAACGTGAGTTCAAAACACAACTTTTCGGCAAGACAATAAATATGGCCGGGATGACGCTGAGGAACTGATGGTGAGCTCTGGGGATTGAAGAAAAGACGTGGCACGTCGGAGCATATCGCCTCGACCTGCTGGCTCGGGAACGAAATTCAGAACCAGGCTTAGCGATATGATATCAAAACGATCGCCATCGTTTGACGGAAGTGGCCTCTCCATGAAATTCTGTCTTAGGATGCCGGGGGCCTGGCTGTTTAGATCGATCCGCACCGTCTCGAAATAGTCGCTAGAAGAGCAAGCATTGCTTGTGCTAAGAGCGCCAACTTCAAGCATTCGAATTCTCCTGTGCTTGGTCTTCGCTTGCTGAGCTTTGTTAGAGAGAGAGGGCTTGACCCATTCGAGGAGGACCTTTGAACTGTCACCCCACGGTCCTTACTTTGCCCAAGAAGACTAGCTTGTTGATATCGCTCCAAGCCTCCTAAGCTAGATATCTCGGTTGTAATAGCCGTAGCGACGTCCTGATCGCCTGCCTTGAGAGCTTTCTGCCGCTTTTTTCTAGAAGGTGATGTTTATTGATAAGCGTCCTTGCCGTTCGGCGAGAAAATCCAGCTTTCGCTGGTCTCGCTGTTGGCGGCCGGCCTAGGGCCAAGTTTTTTGTCCCTCTGACACCCATAGATTTGGCCTATTTGAGAAAATTGATTCACATGATGAAAGCAGATATATAAGATTTCAAGAGTGAGCCCAAAATTCCGGCCGTCGTTCAAACCGCAACACATAATTCATCGAGGATCCTAGCGCCGTGAGCTACTTTGGTACTTGCAGAATATCGGCTAAACATTGGGTAATATTGGCGCCCACCTCTGACCCTGCAAACCCTAACAAAGATCACAACGATCTTTTTTTTGGGCCAAGAAGGAAACTTCTCTTTTGCTCAACACTGACTTAGCCGCCCTCTTTTGCAACTCTCCTTCACACTAGGAAATTGTCGCAATACCCTCGAAATGGCGTCTTCTAAGGATCAAAAGAAAGGTACAGGATGATTTTACGGACTTTTTTGTTCAACAACTCTCTACCGCCGCTCCCAATGTTGTCAAAATGCATCATGCAGTAGCAGATTTTGCGAGTTCTGTTTCAGGGCGATTGCTGATGCTGTAATCTTCTAGGTGTCTCCAAGACATCCAAGGGCTCCAAGCAGGCCGGTTCGGCTGCGAAGGCTGTCCTCAAGGGTGTATGTACTTGACTTGCTTGCTCGTTGTCCGTTAACTGCTAGCTAACACCGTGAACAGGTTCACTCCCACCAGAAGCGCAAGGCCCGCTACACGACCTCATTTCACCGACCCAACACGCTGAAACTTGCCCGTGCTCCCAAATACCCCAGGAAGGCGATTCCCCATGAGACCCGTCTTGATGAGCACAAGGTGGTCGTCCACCCTCTTAACACGGAGAGCGCCATGAAGAAAATTGAGGAGAACAACACGCTTGTTTTCATCGTCGATGTCAAGGCCAACAAGGCTCAGATCAAGCTTGCATTGAAGAAGCTTTATGACATTGACACCGTCAAGATCAACACCCTCATCAGGTTAGTGACTTGTGCTTATTCAATCGTCAGCATCGTCTAACTTGTAAATAATAGGCCCGATGGTTCCAAGAAGGCCTATGCTCGTCTCACTCGCGATGTTGACGCTCTCGATATTGCTGCCAACAAGCTCGGTCTTGTATAAACGGAGCGATGAGGATTGGTAGTATGGTATCTTGTTTCTGGTTCCATTAAAGCGGTAGGGATATTGGAAGGCGTTCTCTGGACATTATGTTTCCTAGGTATGGGCGTGCAAAAGAAAATAGTACCAAACAATGTGGCCACCAAATGGGGACTGAAGAACAAGACCATTTTGCCAAGGTATCAGTGCAGAGAGCTCTACTAGATTTACATACTGCGTATCGTACATGCGTGATGGTGACATATTTCCCTCCCCCGTAGCTATACGCCTTTTGTGTAATATGGCTCGCATTGGCCATATTAACATGCCTTCGATTAGTTTCGCATCTGGACTGCCAAGTAAGAGTGATTACTGTCTTAGTTTCTCAAGGTGCTTTACGGTGAGGAAGTTGATGTCAAGAATGCGCTCCACGCAGTTTGTGAGGCAGCTCTCCTCCGTCTTGTCTAGTTTTGGTCCTCTCGAGGCACTGGTGATGCATTTCTTCCAGCACACTTCGGTGAGCGCATGTGTATCTATAGAGGAAGAGGAACGATGTTAGTTGAGACTTCTTGTCGGGGCAGCAGCTTTACTGTAGCTTGAAGAAAAGAAGACGCAAGTTCAACACTGCACACATACTAGCCTGAACCTCAGACCTCTTAGACTCAAGGGAGAGGAATTGTCGGAGCTCAGCCTTGTCCTTGTCGTTCAACCGGCTAAGGTCCGCGTCCTGGATGCCTTGGGTAGTAGAATCCATATTCGTATCAACTGGGAGCTGCAACTTCTCGATGGGGCGTGTAAAATTGTTGTTCGTATGGTTGGTTCAGGAAAGCTTTGATATCCTGACTTCTAAGCTTCAAGTTGGAAATTTTCGGCCAGGTCATTAGAGACTGCTTAGTAATCAGGTTAAGAAATTGCGGTGAGCCTGTTCCCTTTTCAAGCACCCGATTTACTTTCCCATACGACGGTTCAGATTTCATATTTACGTCCATTTATATTTTATACAACATAGTATTAGAAAGTTCTAGATGAAAATGATAGCACTGAGGTAGATAGCAATGGATACGCTATAAAAATAGGACGAAAGAATGTAGGTACGTCAACACAATCTTCAGATATACCGCAGTCTTCTTGCCCAAACCAAGCACGCCGTACACACCACGATCATTACACCAATGATGCCGAAGAAGGGCGCCAGAGACTCATTCGTTTGGAACGGCACAGTCACGTTCATGCCGAATGTGCCACTAATGAGGTTGAGCGGCACCAAAACTGAAGCCAGGAAAGTTATCTTACTGAGCGACGCATTTGTCTCGGTAACTTGCCGAATGTTGCTGATTGACAGCTGCGTAAGGTAATTGCTATGCGCTCGTGTCAACATTTTCTCGAAGTGGCCGAGATTGGTCATCATGGTAACGACGTGGTCTTGAATATCACCAAGATAGAGCCCAATATCCATTCGAGGTGTAACCTTGTAGTTTTCGTTGCAGCGCTTCGTGAAGCCTTTAAGCACATCTGCCTTGCCGCTTATCAGACGCATGAGTGCGATGATGTTTTTCTTGCATGCCCTGTCCGACGCAAGTAGTCATTTGAATCGTCCTCTCTAATCATAAAGACGGAGTCTTCGATAGAGTCAACTTCGGTTTCAAGCCGATGGATAACGGGACCGAAACTATCAACGATATCATCGCTAAGGGATAGTGTTAGCAATGTCTCTTTACTCTTGGTCTATAGAATTTGACTTACATCAGAGCGTAGCAGATCCAATCGCTAGACAAAGAAACAAAATCTTTCAGCAAAGCGATCCTCTTTCGCACATTAGACGCATGACTATTGGGTGCAAAGCTGAAGCTGAGCGTTCCTTCCCGAAAGACAATCGCGTAGATGTTGAATGGTTCGTACTCCTCGTAACCATCATCGTCGGGTACTGGGCTGAACGAGCGGAAACAAGCAAAGTAGTAGGAAGGGAAAAGCTCAATCTTCTCACGGGTTTCTTGCGTGGCAATATCCTCGGTTGTTAGCGGATGGGCTCCGAAGGCCTTACAGATGGCCACCACCTCCTCCTTTGACGGATTATTGACATTTAGCCACCACACACCGTCTTCATCCCTAGGGAGAATGAACAAGTTGCGGAGGTCCTCCCCGGGAAGAACTAGATCGCCCAGCTCTGCCGCATGGATCGTGGACTCCCAAGCCGACGAGAAAAACAGATTCTATTGGGATCATGAGAGTGTGGTTTGGGGGTATCCGGTTGAGAGTCGATCGCTTTCCCTTCGACCACCATATCGTCAGAGGTGACATTAGGAAGACTCCCAAGCTCATCTAGCGCAATAGTTCCAGGAGCTGACACAACCGAAGTGGTAGATCCGTGGCGACGGAGATCAGAAAACACTCTAATATCGGATTCCTTATGGCTGCCAATTCGGGCAAGGCGTTGATCAGCGATAAAGTCTTCAAGGTAATCGAAGTCAATGTCAAGTTGATCCTTCTGTCGTTCCTCTTGGGCGGGAAAGCACACATCTTCCTGCGCAGACTGATGGCTCGCCAAGCTTACTGCATCACCATCCACGGTTCGGGGACGGCTCCGTAGACTTCTCCGGCTCGCAACTGAAGCTGCACGATGGAGAATTTCATCGTCCACTTGCCAGTCGCTCCGGGGTTCGGGAAAGGAAGCATCGTGCTCTCGTCGCCGCGCTTCCGCGAAGGCCTTGACGGAATTTGGGGTGAAGCGGTACGGACAGTCCCAAACGTTGGGCGACGGCTTGAAGGGCCCGCGGGAATAACGTCAAAAGTATTATCCCCATCCACTATCGCCTCTTCAAAATCACGCACACGAACTTCGTTCGTGTCCGGTCTTGCGCATCATGCGCTCCCTGAAGTTCATGTCGTCGGGCACCGTAGAGCGAGTCGAAAGTACCCCGGCGAGATCGTTCGTTGGGTTGATTTGTACGAGACTGGTGGCGATGATCGTCCAGCTCAGCAATGGGTACAAAGCCGGCCACAGAAACAACTTCTTCCTGATCCGACATGTTGCTCGTTGGCATGACAGAACTAAATAATAGGCAAGGTGAGATGGCTCTTCTTTGCGCCCTGCGTTTGAGCTCGTCCTAAAATAGCCGTGACTTCCTAGCAAAGTCCGAGGGATTCCGGCGATGCCTCAGGGGGCAGTGACCATATTGGTAGTGTTGACGATTGAAAGAAGGAGCAGAAAGCACGTGCATGTACAGACAATCGTTATAATATTGCTACCAGTAGAAGCCGGCAGGAGCCCCGCCACTTCACTGATATGGTGCAGGCGATTTCCACTTGACGAGATTATGAATGCGCCCGACAAAGATTCAAGGTCAGATGCGAGATCAGCGACTGGGCTATGATCGATAAGGTTGTAAACGGAGTAGACAAAGAGAATATAAGGGCTCTTGCTAGGGCGGTTTGTTCGCCACTCCGCTGTAGACCCAGAAACCGGGATCCGGGAGTGAGTGAAGTGTTGGTGATAGCCGGTCCAGCGTGAGTTTCGCCAACGCGGCGGCCGGTTAACAAGAGAAGGGGTCGAGAGGGCCGGCGGACCACACAATGGCACTATAGGCAAGGCGTTGGGTATTACCTTCTCGATAGGTGTCGAATAATGGGGAAGCAGTCGCGTAGAAATATCGGGCGATTTGACGGGACGGAAACAGACCCAGGATCGTCCCCAGCTGCGGTTGTTAGATCAAGTAGTGATAACTAGCGACCGGAATGGGTGATAACAGGGCTTGGGGAACAAGGGTACAAGTCGACAGACGAGCAACAGAAGGCCTCGCAAGTAGTGTTGCTTGTGGTTTTGGAAGGAGAAATCCAAGCAGGTTGGGATGTTGTTGCAGCTCTTTCAAACAAGCAGCACGATAAAAGGCGCACGTCCGGGCATCAAAGCAAAGGGGTTAGGAGCAGGGACTGGATCGTTTGGATTAATTTCAAGGTTCCTCGATTAGCCGGACCTTTTTTTTTTTCTTTCTTCTTTTCGCCCCTCCTCAAACACGCTGTTCTAGGCTTATTAATGATCGTATTCAGCTTGGGGCCATCCAATTGATCAATCGAGCTAATGGGCCCCACAGCCCTTGGCATGGGCCTATCCAGCAATCACACTGGAGGACACTGAACACCGTCTTGGCCAATGGGAAGTCGACACGGCTGAAGTCGAGGGACGTAGGTTTGGCGCAGAACGACCAGCGACTAGATCTGTCACAAACGCTCGAGCTGTGACGTTCAACACATTCCTCATCAGTTCGATGTCACTGTGATTATTGAGCCGCTTTCCAGTTTGAAGCAGTCCCGCCCATGCAGAGGGGCCAGGTGTAAGAAGATTAAAAGGGACGCAACTGATAACCTATCGTGGCCACTTGCAATTTCGCTCCTTTCCCTCTACCACACCTCATTGTCTTGAACGAGATCACAAGCCCCAAGATGGCTGAGCAACTTCTTGACACCCTGCGAGACGTCGCCGAGGGCCAGATCGTTCGTCTCCTTATCTATCTTTGGTGGTCCAGCAGCAGCTAATGCCATCCGCGTTTTATCTAGGATTTCGAGGGTCAACGTCTGGCAGACCAACTATCCACCCTTTCTCTCAGCACCTGTGGTGTATGGATCTCTCATCTCCCGTCAATACACGAAGCTTTCTACGAGCAGGAAATTCAGCTGACCAGAACTTGGATATAGGCAATCTCATTTATTGTCGGGTTTATCCTCCAGGACATCAAATTGGCCGTGTACATCTGTCTATCCGGAACTGCTCTAGCATTCCTGGGCATCATTCCTCCTTGGCCCTTCTTTAACAAACACCCTACCAAATGGTTGCCTGCGGGCACTGGTTTATAATAAAGTGTATTTTTTTCGCAATGGTCCACTGGTATAGCAGCTGTATGCCCGTTCAGACCATGTAAGCCATGACACATCTGCTTTTCGTGGTCAACTGATCAAACTCGTCAGGCCCGGCTTGTCCCCATCCAAGGTCGATACACCTGTAATTATTTTCGGACGTTTTATACCCCAAGATGTGCGTTTGTGCGTAGGGAGGGGCTTGAACTAGTACTTTCTCCAACGTTCGCTCAATACCACAGCCATTATAGCTACGGTTGCTACTTGTTCATCGGCCGTACTTCTGAAATTCCCAATCCCGATTGTCTAGCGGGCAAACTTGTCGAGCCTTTAACCATCGCGAGATGCAGTGGAAGTGAAATGCATGCTAGGTTCAGCGTTAGATATCCGTGTTTAAACGTCGCTGTATGTTGACCCACATTGCAAATTCCCCATGCGACGGTGCACTCCTCACTCGTCGCGGAAGCTTGGTTTGCTTGGCATTCGATGCCTAGGCCGAGGTCAGCCTTCGCGAAGAACATGGCTTCTAGCCCCTTTAGCAGGTAGCAACTCACATAGATCCATAATGTGGTTTCGGCAGATAGCGCAGTTGTCGACCACAATATCCCAAGCCCAGAGCGCAACGGCGTGTAGCTGCGAGATGGAAGTGTTAATAGGTCAATCGCCTGTACACAAGACCTAAATCGGAGGTGTAGGATACCTTCTTCACTTCGAACTTTTGTTTTCCGTCAAGCTTCTTACTCCCAGCACCAGCTGCCTTCTTGCCAGACGCAGGGCCAGGGGCGTCCGTCATGTCTACATCGGCCATAGTGACTCTAATGTCGTTGATACAGGACTGGGAAGGACACTCCGACAAAGGTTAGCTTGACTAAGACGATTCGAGTGACGATGCAGACAGGCCGGAGAGCATAAATACTAAAATTCAAGTTAAGAAAACAGGGGATGTCCCCGCTAAAACCATAGACTATACTCAGTACCTTAGAAGACTAGGGGCGCAAGACGGCCGAAATAATGCAGGTTATTCGATCGGTCAAGAGGCTAGAATCGGAGGCAACCATAAACCATGAATCCCCCTCTTTTAGAAGAAGAAGGTAGGAGGTTACGGATGAAAAGAGGGTTTAGACTTGAGAAGTTGAGGTGGAGGTTAGGGATAAGCCGGATTCAAATATTCGGTCGCCACGCGGAAGCAACAAACAGGCCAGTGGAAAGAGCGGAGTGAAAGGCGTCTCTGATACCCTTGAGTCGGAACGAGTAGAGAGGGCACGCTGTTCTGCCATCAAGGAACTTAAAGTGGGTACCTTGTTTAGTGATGACCTTCTTCCATAAGTCGTAGCCTGGAGGACGATTTGAGTTGACCTGATGTATCGATTGATGACTAATGTGGTATTCGTGGTATCAGTTGTAGCACCGTCACGCCGTCTGCCAGGAATTGGTTCAATGGCAGGGCAGTGCAAGAACTCGTTCCCGCCCAGCCCCTCCCAGTCGTCATTTTCAGAATCGCTGGAATAATACATCTGACACGTCTAAGTTGACCTCAACTTTCCTCCTTGACTCAAAGTAATTCTTGTCGCTTTCTTTCTGCTATTGCCGCCCTGAACCGACCCAGAAGAGTCACGATTTCATCCCCTGGTAAATCAACACACACAACCTCTTACAGTCAACCCATACATCAGCCCTGCAACCACGACGACTCACCTGACGCCCCTCTCATGAAGGTTGGCCATCACGTCGTTAGCAATCGATCAGCTCGCTCACCTTTGTAGCGAATTCTGGAAGCTCCATCATCTCCAGCTATCCTAGCCGTTGTGCCAAGAGTTATCGATTGCGTTCACCTCATCGCAAAATGCCAGAGGAGTCTACCCGACAGGAACACAAACAAACCCGCCGTCGCGCCCGCCCGCGGAAGCCTACAGCACAAAGAAATTACGCTTCAGAGAATGATGCGTCGAATTCGCTGTCAAACCCGCCTAGAACTCCTCAGAAGGCGACATCCACGGCGTCCGCGCATTTTGCGGAAGTGCAAGACCATGGATCGTTGAGGCGGGGTGCAAAGGATAAACCTCGCACTCGGCATCACCCTCTCTCACCAGATTCAACTAGAGTTAACCGAAAGTTGTCACCTCACCCGCCATCGAGCCAAGCAACGACCAGCGCCCCCGCATTTGCAGGGGCAACGTTCCATGCTTCTCCCGCCCCCTCCTCCCTTCCACTCCCAAGCTTTTCAAGAGCTCAGAGTCCCCTGCTTTGAAGGAAGAGCTGTGCGCGAAGCCAGGTTCTGTTGAGCCGGAGACGAAATTGGCGTTCCCGACACCTCTACGCATATCACCGCAAGCTACGGCCCATGAGTCACCCCTCGAGATTATGTTCAAGGCCGATCGGGAGGAGAGGGAGCGTGCGCGTCAGACAACACACGGCCAACCAACTCGGCATGGAATATCGCTGCCGCATTCTCCGTCCTCGATGTCACCAACAAGGAAGGGTGCAGTACAGAGCCTTCAGGCGCATTCACCTTCACCAGTGAGATATAACAGGTTAGACATTGCAAGATCAACGCCTGAGCTTGATAGCCATAGTCCCTTCAACAATCACATTAGCCCTTCTTTCTCCACACCCTTCCAAGAGCGTATCCGCGCTGCAAAGAATTCCGGTCCCTCGAATCTCAACGGCAAAAAGGCCGGGAACACACCTCAAACAACGCAGAGCCCCTCCGACAAATCAGAGGCGTTAAAAGGTATCTATTCGGGGTCTCTCAGTCTCCCAGTATTAATAGCCTTCCGTCACCTGCGCCTCCTCTTGCTCAGGCAGAACCAGCCACGATAACCCAAACGGGCCGCGCAGAATTCTCGGAGGTTCGTGACGCAGATGTTATCGCCATGGAGAACAATCTCCGCCGTCTGCTTAAACTCGACTCTGCTTGAATAGTGGGGTTGGATGGCATCCGTACAGAACTTATCCCTGTTTTTACAAGGACCCGACTGCCTCCTCCATCACGACTGTTCTTTCATACATCTCTTTGAGTTTGATACTCAGACCCTTCTATTGCTTTGCATTGGCAGGTTTCTGGCGCATACATGTACACACTATATTCGGTCTTGAACGCCTGGGTTGGCTAGGATGAGGTTTGGTGTAAACGGTGTTCCTCGTACTTGCGCGCTGTGCTCTTCCTCCCCTGAGGTGCGGCAACAAGGGCCTCCATGATTTAATGGGGGAGACTGCGCTCGGTTGTTCTAGTCTTGGTTGGTTCTAGGTCCATAGTATAACTGAATGGTTCATTATAATCTTAATCAGTGGAAAGAATCAGCAAATAAGGCGAATTAGTCAACCGACGCCGAGTTTGAACCTGCCACTCGGGGTGCTGTTGCCCAAGCCAAAAAAGCAACTGACCGGCATATTCTACACGAATTGACAGACTTCAGGCCCCGATACAATGGATACAATAAGATAAAAGCCTCTTGTAGGGGAAAAGTTGTATATGATCACTCTGCAGCGTCAGCGTGCCGAGCCAAACGATCGAGATGAAGATATACTAGGATCGCTTGCGCCAGTTGTGCCATGCCCAGAGGGTCCCGGCCATTATATCACGTGATAACGCGAAATCATTGATACGAACGACGAAGTCACTGCATGCTCATCGTTATTGAGCGCGAGAGGTTCAACAACTCCGCGTTTCCACAGCACCACTAAGAAGCTGAGCACAAGTCTATGCCTCCAAGTTAGACACCCATGGACGCGAAAGAGCCACATTTAGACTCTCCGGAGGTCATCGACCTCAGTTCATCAACTGATGACGAAGATGACGACGCAGAATTGAAGAGAGCAATCGCTCTTTCACTTGAGGAGCAGACAACAGCCGGAAAAGCGAAACCAAGGCCTTCCATGCCGCTCAACAGGGATCAAAACCCTAAGAGCCCCTGTATGGCGACCTTCGGTTCGCTTCTTTTAGATCGTAAAACCATGGAATTTGAACGTCAACAAAGGCTAAAAAGGAAGCGAGACGGCAGCAGTCCACCTGCAAGAGAACCGCCCCGTCCAGCTTCAAAGGCTAACCTATCCTCTTTACCCAATAACCCCTTGGAGTCTGCCCCCAGAAGACGAGCACTACCATAAGAGAGGCCAACACGATATCCTCGAGATCGATTCTGCCCTTCCCAACTGGGACAGTGAAGCGGACCTGGACTCATGGCCAGGAACGCCGTGGTGACGATATCAAGATTGAAGAGGTTTTCCAAAGGTCAGAGCTGAAACTAGCCGTTCTTGCCTCTTTTCAATGGGATGATGACTGGCTACTATCCAAAATCAACCTCTCCCAGACGAGATTAATCTGTGTCGCATTTGCCCGCGATGAAGCACACGTGCGTACCAATGTCCGGCTTGGCCCTCTCCATTCTAGCTAGCTGACAAGGCACGTAGAAAGACCAAATGAGGGCGAATGTGCCCTCCAACCGCATTCGATTCTGTTTCCCGAGCATGAATGGGGGTGGCGCAATGCATGCGAAAATACAACTGCTAAAATTCTCCTCCTATCTACGAATTGTGGTGCCTTCGGGAAATTTGACGAGACACGACTGGGGTGAAACGGGAGTTCTCGAAAATGTCGGTATCTCCGCTTCTGTATCCGGTGTTCACTACTAATCGTCAATTTCAGATTGTCTTTATCATTGACCTACCACGGCTTGAAACGGACGGTTCATTTGAGCCGACCCTCTTCAGTCAAGAGCTTTTCAGGTTTCTAGGCGCGCTGGGCCTAGACGAGAATCTAGTCCGAAGTCTAGAGAACTACGACTTTACGGCCACCAAGCGATATGGGTTCGTCCATACAATGTATGAACATGCCATCCTTCAAGGCACTTAAAGTCGCAAGCTAACCCACCAATTTTCGTCCATACCTAGCTGTGGATCACATGTAAAAGACGACTGGAAATATACAGGTATAGCATGACTTCGGCCGTAAGCTAGGAAGAACTGCCATCTAATGTTTCCTTACCAAGGGTACTGCGGTCTTGGGCGGGTGGTTGACCAGCTCGGCCTCTCCCATCACGGTCCAGTTGATGTCGATTTCGTCGTAAGTGTGACTGTATTGCAAGCGATCTCAGCGCATACGGATTCAGGCTAATCATCGGGGTTGGTATTGCAGTGTTCCTCCCTTGGGAATCTAAAACCAGCATACATATCTGCCCTCTATGCTGCATTTCAAGGTTGGCCCGATTCGGTAAATGCTGAAGGGGTGCAAGAATATACACTGATAAGTCATCTTTCTCATAGGAAAGTCCGCCGAGGCACTCTAACTGGCACGAACGGCGACAAAAATTCCTCAGGCGGCGATAAAACCGCAGATTCCCATTTTCGAGTATACTTCCCCTCGCAGAAGACAGTTCTTGAGAGTCGGGGAGGCACTGCAGTACGGTTACTCGCCCGTTTCTCCTGCAGGCTACCAACGGGAGATGCCTTCTCGCTCATACTAATCTTAAGTCCCGCGAGATATAGGCTGCGGGTACGATTTGTTTCAGGAAACCTGGTGGAATTCATCTACCTTTCCTCGTAAACTCTTGAGGGACTGTGTCTGTCAGCGTCGAGGATTATTGGTACATAGCAAGGTTGCTTTTGTGCAACATAGGCCTCCCGGAAGAGAGGCTTTGTCTGCGTGGGCATACGTCGGCAGTGCTAATCTCTCAGAGAGCGCATGGTAAGTGAGAGCGTACTAATGATCCAACTCTCGAATCCGTAACTCTATCTCTTTCCTGAACCAAGGTCAACAAGAGATACATAAGCACCGTCACTACCATGACCCAAGCTACGCCATATTTCCGTTGTACCCGTGCATTTCCTTTTTTATTAATTCGATCTTTACGATACCAGGGGTCGATTTACGAAGGACAAATCAAGACAGCGCCCGAGGCTCACGTGCCGAAACTGGGAGTGCGGCGTTGTAATCCCTCTGCCGGACAATGAATCCCCTACCCATTCGGCGCACAGCTTGGACACCGTGTTCGGAGGGCACATACCAATACCTATGGTAACGCCTGGGGCCGGCTTCGTGTCGAAAGACCAAGGAGCACAGCCCTGGTTTTGGAAGTGACCCGCAGCGCGCAACCCTTTCGCCCTAACCCATCCTATGTGCCGCCGAAACTTAACCTAAAGCACTAGATACCTGTACCAAGTGAGCCATCCGATTTGTCCTAAAGACCCCGCGTTTCTAACATTGGTGACCATGTAGGTTTCGCTCGGTTTTCGTGGAAATATTCGAAGAAGGAAAAAAAGAAGGGGGCAGCTAGGGGGAGGAGTGTGGGTGATAGTAAGAGGCTTTCCGTTGGAAAAGATAGCATGATTGATTGCCAAGTGAGATATCGCAATACAATCATAAATTCCTGCTCTACCAAATGTCGTTGTATCCTCAGGTATTTGAGGCCAGAATATCAACGGTGCGAGGCCCCCTTCGCCACCCATCTCACAGCGGGCTGTTAGTGAGGAATGGCCTCACGACGTAGACCCTCTCATTCCTGACCTCTACTAGAGGTACACATCCGTGGGTGGAATCATAAAGTGCAACCAGAATATACTGGCCACTGGACGCCTCGTCGACGCCAGCGCTAAGAATTTAGTGCTTCTTCCTCTTTAAGCAGCGAAAACTCTCCAGTAATCCTGATCTCAAAGACACACAGTATTTATTGCGCCTCTCGGATGGCCACGAAAGTCATTGATTTATTAGATCTACGGCCTTTTTTTCTTTCTTAAATCCCCACCACCCGAGTATTCCAATGCTCCAATCTCTCGAGGTTGCCACTACTTAGGACCCGGACCTGTATTCGTTAACTTCCTCTCCATCACGCGGTTCGGAGGACCTCCGGGTCAATGATGGGTTCGTGTCCGAGACATTGTTGACCCACGGACTCGTATCTTTCGTGGGTTAGCAAAACGTGTGTTAGCGTCTTTTCAACCTGGACCCACTAAGGCCTGTACCGCCTGATGCTCCGAGCAAGTATCTAATACTGTATCTCGAGGTCAGCCAAATACCCGAACATTCACATGCTCGTGCTCCTTTTCCCATTGGAAAGAGGGGAGGCTCGTCATTGGCAAGGTTACTGTCGAGGATTTTCCCGACTGGGAGGAGATTCCATCTTCAACAGGGTGTCATACTATTCTCACCTTACATCAGCAACCTATTCGGGATTGCCTAGAACCATTAGCTGAGCTTGGTCGCCCTGCCTTCTCCATACCGGGGAGTGGCTCTACAACCAACCGAACACTGATTAGCCAAGCTTCGTTTGAATGGTTGGCCTGCAATTGAGGTTGGCACTTGTAGGATGATATTCGCCCTTTATAACCCTCTTCGCATTCATCTACATCTATGGACGATATATAGAGATGGGGCCAGTCCAATCCTCAGTCGAAAGTGATGTGCTACCATGGTATGTTGTGTCTAGCCGTCCTCCGGACCGTGGCGGCTGGAATGGGAGGTCTGGGAGCGGCGTTTGGGTTTGTTTAGACTCCGGCCGATCCCCGGCCTTACGTTTTTGGGGCTAGCGGGATTGACCGGCGATGGGCGAAGCATTTTTGCCGGATGGATATCAATGTGTGACTGCCTACGCCCTGGTCCGTGCAAACATCTGTCCCAGACCCTCAGCGAATTCCGTGCTGTCCCCAATGGCCGTCTCCCAGCATCCTAAGTACCCAAGCACTCCTCTCGCTACCTCCGCCGCCATCCCCAATACAATTCTTTGGATGTATGGTCCATCGGCATCGCAGCCTCTCTATTCTCAGAGGGGCCTCTGTTGGCCGATTTGGGCACCGGCTAACCCGATGAATATCAGGACCCTGAACAACTGGTTGATGTATTGTTCAAATCACCACAGGGAAGTCCCAAAGGCTCAATACCCCTCCATTTATGGATCACGTTACGAACCACTGGATACAATTGCAATGAAAATTCCTGCAGTCCCGTATGAATCTGTTTCCTTAATTTTCTGTTCTTGTTTTTTGGGCGGGGGTTGTTTGAAGAGGAAGGGGAGAGGGGGCTGACGTGGGCGCTAAACTGTCAACCCTCTCTGTCAAATCGGTTTATAGTTCCATTGACAGGTGTTGGCTCACCACACCTTGTTTTCTGATGGTTGTCTCGGACGTCGTTGCAGGACGCTTTCTGTTCCGAGGGAGAAACGCCTCCTCTCTTCCTAGGATATTGCCCTTCCCTCCCGCCTGTTGACCATCTTCACAAGGCTCCAGCACTTACAAGGCATCCCGGACAAATCATACGAGTGTGTTTATTTCGGAATAGTATGGCGTTTCCGTATATCATAAGACGATGGTCTGTACGTGCTGGAATGGTCGGGAGTCTCATACTTGTTTCAAGATGCGATATTGGCAGCTCTAGAGTGAGTTTATACACCACATCAGGTAAAGTTGCTTTCTTGCAGCACGCACAGGCGTCGATAAACGGTCCCTTCGTGATTAGAAAGCCGCATCAGAGAATGTTGGCAAGGGAAGAAGTACCCCTCCATCCTGTGGCCGTACTGATTCTCATTATAATCCCCAGATAGATGGTGATCCGACTTCCGGTCGTCGATGCACAGCGCCTCTCAGTATCAATCATGAATCAGGAAGCACAGCTTGATCGGGTGAAGATGGGGAATCTTTTCGGTAAAGCGAGCCCGATACTATTCTGTTTATTCAGATCTTCCGCTTGTTGAGGTAGTATGGACGTGTTCCGAGTAATTCTTCCCCGCCGCCCTTGTCTTGAGGCCGTTGTCTGCCGCAATTTTGCCCACTCCACACAGTTTCGATGCTGTGTCTTGCCAGTCCACTTGCCATCGAGACCTTCGTGCGGAGGGCTCAGCGATCGATGACCTTCGGGCTAGCGTATGCCCACCCCTCTTAGCCTCCGCTGGCGTGTTTTCTTGATGTGCTCGTCCCGTTTGACAAGTTTTTAGCGGCCCAAAGCCTCGATGTCACTAAGTAGCCATTATCACTTCACTCGCCTGATCGTGGATGGGCCGAATCGCTTTCAGAGTGGGGGAGGCAGATGTGCATGATGGCAAACCATCGGGACTGACGGCCAGGAAGTCTCGACACTTCTTACCACAGACGGGGCTCCTCGGTCCCCACCGCCCCCAAAACCTCAGTTCTCTCCAGCTCCTTCCTCTTCATTCCACAATTCCACACTACTCTGCTCCTCTTTGCCTCTCCCAGGAGTGCCCCTCCAAAATTCTCCTCTTCCCTTCTTCCCTTCCCCTCCTCCACCTCTTGCTCTCCTTCGCTCGACTGCCTCGGCCGTCCTGCCGCGCCAGTAACGCTCACCCCCTTCACACAGGCACGGAAAGTCTAATCTTAGGTAATTGCGGGTTCTCCTTGCCTGCAGTGCAGATATAGTCTTTGCAAAGTTCGCCTCCGAGGACGCCGACCTTCACCGGATCCAACCGACCTCCTTCCCCGCTGCCAGGCACATACATGTGCATCAAGCTATATCCTCCTAAAGTGCGCTATCGTGCTCTGCCCATCCCTGCCCCCTCCTCTTCGTCGATCAACCCCCACCTAATTCAGCTTACCATCCACCACAAGTTCTTGATCCGGTGGCATCCATTGGCAGATATTCTTTTACTCTTGATTCTTGATTCTTGATTCTCTACGAAGGCATCGCCATCCTAGGGACGACCGGCCCCGAACCACCATCGTCCTAAATTACTTCGCTTGTGGAGCCTTTATTTCTAGCATCCTTGACGATACTCAGCAGCGCTGACCTGCCTCATATCACCTATAACGGCACCGATTCAACGAGTTGCTACGCGTTGCGATATACAATTAGTCAACACCGGCCCGTTATTTCGAACAATTAAAGTAACCATCTACGCTCAGCAAAGAGAGTTGCACACCTGTTGGGGCCATCTTTGGGCATCCCGTCAAGCAGACGCTGAGCTCCTACCTTTCAACAGCTACCTCTTTTTACGCATCTACCCCGAAAAGGCCGGGAAACTTAGCCCCTTGTCAGTTTCAAGGGGTCATCCAAGATGCCTCGGTGCCCTGTTCCACTTCAGCCTACCTTTGTAGGATACATAGGCTCGACGGTAGACGCATTAGTACTCATCGAAGGCTGTTTGAGCGGCCATCTTAACCATGTCCCTCGAAGGCCCCAAGATCGGGAACGACCTGACCTTATCCAGAGCGGCAACATCTTCATCTATGAAGAGCATGCCTCAGGTATTAAGCGATGGACCGACGGGGTAAACTGGAGTCCAAGCCGTATCCTTGGTAATTTCCTTATCTACCGCGAACTGGAGAAGCCGTTCCCTCCCGGCGAGAAGAAAAGAGCCCTGAAGAAGCAACGGAAGCCACCGGCTAACGGCATTGTGAAAAGGCCTTCTCAGAGTCCCCTCCGCGCGTGGGAGCCGCGTTGGCCATGGCCAGTGGTGCCTCTTCAGAAAGCACGATGGACAAGGATATTGAACGGGCCTTGGTGGGTTCCCTTGTGGATTCATATGCCTTTAAAGAGAGGGGTCTTGTCAAAAAGACCATCAGTGTCAATTACCGGGGTGTCCTGCATCACGTAGTATCATACTACAACTGTGATGACGTGTTGAAAGGAAACTTCGTTGTCCCTCCGAAACGCCCGAGTTAATCAGGGACTGCGTGCCCCGTACAGATCTCATCTCAAGACAAAACTTTCGTGCCCCTCTTGAGCACGCTGCCCTCTATAGCCTCAGCATGGCGGCACCCATGGCTGTATACCAAACCGAGAGCCAGTTACCAACCCAGAACAGCATATCTAGCAATGTACAACATCAATATCGCCCGCTGCCTTTGTCTTCAATACCACCACCAATGCCCTTCCCGGACCAACCTGAGTTCTCATGGCATCAAATGCCATCATTCATGGACGAAAGCTTCCAGCAAGGTCCGCAGCAGCATATGGGCAATGTACAGTTTGGCCACGCTACTTCGCAGCCATCTCTATTGCCTTTTGATCCCTCAATGCCACAAAACGTCAATCCTCACTCGGGTAATCCACAGGTTATGTACCATATCGGAGGGTCGGTATAGTCGGAGCGGTTAAGTAGCCAGCACCGGGATCGGTTCACGAGCTCAACCGGGTCCTGACAATTTCGGACAACGTGGCGGGTTTCGCCACTACCGACGCAGTCTTGAATATCAAAGGACGTTGGTAAGAAGTTCACATACGCCACTAGGACGGCCCTTTAATGGCTTGGCCAAATGGACTCATGGCCAAATTCTAAGGCCCACCAGCGCTTCGCCACTCTAGGTAATGGCAGATGGGCGAACCGACGAACCAGAGTGCAGTTTATACTGATAGGCTTTCGCTAGCAGTATATCTAGCAGTTTCACATTACAGGACTTTGGGGAGCTTTCTAATAAGGAAAGAATACGGAAACGAAAGGAAAAGAACTTTGTCTCACATCTTTGCAGAGTGCTGGCAGCGAGACGCAGATCACGGTCGTTTGGAATCTCCTGGCCTGGCGTCAGGATCGGAGTTTTATAAATAGGCGTTCTATCACTAGAAGTGTTAAGTTGGGTTCTAAGGATGGTACCTTAAAGGGAATCGGATGTCGGTCATCTGGGAAATAGGACAGCCTCCACAGGGTTTGATTCGCATCAATGGAACAATGGAACAATGGAACAATGGAACAATGGAACAATGGAACAATGGGTATAAGACTTGGTAGGTGGGAATCGGCGCAAAGTGCATTGGGGGTCCGGTGGTTAGTTTCTTTTGAAAGGGACGTGGGAAAGGGCTATTTTCAATGTTCGCCAGCTAGTCATACAACACAGGCCGTCACTGGGTTAGTTGGGATAGTGGGAACAGGTTTCGCTGGCATACGCTTGTTTACCATCATCTCTTGACGTGTTCTTTAAGGGCATCGTTTTGCTCCTCCCACTCCCCCAGCTTTGATAACTTTAGTGGTGTGAATCTAGTGCTATTCCCTGAGTAACTTAGAGTATGTTTTTTACAGAACATATATCTTGATCTCGATATATATCTATGGACATACACGTACACTTTGGTTCGAATATAATGGATTTATATATAGATCTATATATATAATCCCACACTCTACGAAACGGTTCACTTTTCAGTCTCTTTTTCATCAATATTGATCCCCGTAACCCCAAATTTATTAAAAATGCCTCTTAAGTGGTCTCTGTTACACCAGCATGTACATGTATTGAGGTTTCCTTGCACACCTCGTCCTTTCTTGGGGAGTCCCCCATTTTATGTTAACGACGCTCGGCAAAACTGGCAGCTAATTACCAGCGGGTGGCATGTGCGCACGTGCCGGGCCAAAACGCGACTTTTTAAGGCTGATTGATTGATCATTGATGTATGTAATCAGATGCTTCGGGTGCTGTTCCATGGAACGAAAATCGACGCCGCCTTTTTCGCAGGTTTGCAATATGGACGCCAACTGACGCGAAAAGAGGAAAAAGTATATAGAGCATTCCTCGCTTATAAATGGCGGGTACAGACGCCCAGTGAGAGTCCTCAAGGACTTGAAACAGTCGAATCACGCTCTTGGCTCATATCCAGATCCTGTCACGAAACCAAAATGCTTATTCCTGCCATGCGCCGCGCCGGTTTGACGGCCTTCCGGGTATGCCAAACGCCGAGACCAAGTCAGTTGGCTTCCTTCCCGACGACCATCCGCCGCGACTGCTGCCGGGTCAACCTGCTACTGCGCGGCGGTGCAAACTGTTCCTTTTCCTCAAAGCCGGCAACCTTTGAGAAGCAACAGCTCCCTACGTCTCCCCAAGTGTCACCAATGCTTCTGCAACGCCGTAAGCCTTTCTCCCCGCCCGAAGCCCAAGCCTCACCCATTATGCGACACAGCATCGTCTAACATGCCTGCCTTGTAGTACACCACCCTCTTCTCCCGTGCCGACGCCCCTTGCCCCAACGATACACGAAGACATCTACACTGTCCCCAATATACTCACATTTTCGAGGCTTGTCGCTGCCCCTTTCGTCGGCTATTTTATGCTTAATGATCAACATCTCTGGTCAGTAGGCTTATTCGCCTACGCCGGCCTTACTGATCTCCTCGATGGCTATATCGCTAGGCGGTGGAACAAAAGAACGGTTGTGGGCACCATTATCGATCCCATGGCGGATAAGACCCTTATGACTATCCTAACTGTCTGCCTCGCCATCAAGGGCGGCTTGCCAGGTACGCTAAACCCCTGCATTTCCTTCTTGCCTCCCCTACCAGTGGCTAGCTACAGTGACTGGCTGTAATAACCAAGAGCTTATATCGGCCAACAGTTTGGGTTGCATCTATCATACTGCTTCGTGATGTCGGCTTGGCAGTTTCCGCCATTTACTACCGCTGGATATCCTTGCCAGAACCCAAGACGTTTTCTAGATACTGGGACTTTTCCCTACCCTCGGCAGAGGTCAGGCCCACAACTATCAGCAAGTATAATACGGCGCTTCAACTCCTCCTCGTCGGCCTCGCGACGGCCAACCCGGTTATCCCGGCTGACATATCATCGGTGCTTTCCGTTCTTCAGTATGACCCAATCTTTATCTTGCAGAGATTTGTGCTGCCCACTATCCCTATCTTAACTTATTTTATTCTAACTTAACATCCCAAACGTTAGTTACGTTGTTGCTACGACGACAATATGGAGCGGTGCGAGTTACATATATACTAAAGATGCCGTCAAACTCCTCCACCAAACCAGCAAAGATGGAAAGAGCCAGTAACGCCTTTCCTTCGTGTCGCGAGATCTCACAATGAGGTGGGAGCTATCTTTGTAAATCAAATTGGTTTGTACAATTACGGTAGAATACATAGGTCTGGATAATTAAAATGTACAGTATCATGTCACAGCCAGGACGATCCTGTGCCTTCATAGCGCTGATCCTCGCCTGCTATTTCCAAATGATAGCACCCGGCAAGCGAATGAAAGTGCTTTGAAAATTTTCTTCCTCATGCCAAATCCTAGGCCGCAAGCGCGTCGCTCGGCCGCATGGACTTGCGCTGACGCCGGACGTGACCCAATAACCGGAGGGCTCCTGCAGGCGTGATACCTTCCATGCGACGAGCCTGCGCAAGAGTCTGGGGCCTTGTGGTTTTTAGTATTTCTCGTTCATGCGTGGATAAGCCGAAGATGTCGTCATAGTCGATACGAGCTGGAATCTTAATGCTCTCGTCTCTCTCGAAAACGCGGCGCTCAGATTGCTGCATTTCTATGTAAGGATTATAGATCGCCTGGAGCCTCACACGGGCCTGGATATGGTTGGAATAGTCCGTCAGCTCGGGTATGAGGCTCGCGAAGTCCTTCATCTGAACATCAGAGAGTCGAAGAATATCCAGAGCGGTACGCCTTTTTCCGTCGATATTAACATGGAAGCCGAGCCTTGACCAATCCTGGGAGCTTAATAAGGTGCTTGATAATGCAGACGTAAGAGCTAGGATCTGCTCGCGCTCATGAGTGAATTTCTGCCACCTGGCAGCACCAACAACACCGTGCTCTCTACCCTTTGCCGTTAGGCGGAGGTCCGCGTTGTCCGCCCTCGAACTAAGCCTATATTCGCTTCTTGTTGTGAACATACGGTAGGGCTCCGTTACGCCCCGAGTGACTAGGTCGTCAACCATGATGCCAATAAACCCATCGGCCCTTGACAAGGTCATCTCAGTAAGCCCTTGAGCAGCACGCCCGGCATTGATTCCAGCCAGGACGCCTTGCCCGGCAGCCTCCTCGTAGCCCGTTGTACCGTTAACTTGACCAGCAAGATAGAGGCCGCCGATAGCTTTCGTTTCTAGGGTGTACTTCAACCCCCGTGGGTCAATATAGTCGTATTCAACTCCATAGCCTGGCTGGAGCATAACCACGTTATCAAGCCCGGGAATAGTGCGCAAAAGTAGCTCCTGGGCTTCTTCTGGGATGGTCATAGATAGTCCATTCGGGTATATGACATCACTGTCGAAACCTTCGGGTTCAAGCCAGACGATATGTCGCTCTTTGTGAGGGAATCGGATGATTTTAGACTCGAGAGAAGGGCAGTACCTAGGGCCCTTGACCGTTTCTCTGATGTGTATCGTATTTTTAGGTTTTGGCGGACAACATCATGGGTTAAATCGTTCGTATAGGTGATTGCAGATGTTAGTTGTTTCTCGGGAGGTACGGCGACGGAGTCACTGAGGTAGCTGAAGGGCGTTGGCGGGCTATCACCGAGTTGTTTCTCAAGGATATCGAAACGAATGCTATCCTTAGCAAGGCGCGGAGGCGTGCCAGTCTTCAGCCGCCCGAGGTTAAACCCCGCCGACTTCAGCGACTGACTTAAGCCATATGTTGCTGCTTCACCCATGCGCCCAGCCGGATAACTTTGCATGCCAATGTGTATTTCGCCTCCTAGAAAAGTGCCAGTTGTGATTACGACGCTTTTCGTAGGGATGATATCGCCAGAATCAAGCCGCACTCCAGATATTCTTTTGCCATTGGAACCAGCCGTGTCGATATTGCCGTTTTCAGCCAATACGATATCGGAAACTGTGGCGGGAAGCACGGTGAGGTTAGAGTACGACAACAACTCTTCTCGCATGTGCCGCTTGTATAAGGTTCGGTCTATCTGCGCTCGGGGACCCTGGAAAAAGATGTTGGTCAGTCTTCCGGAGCTAGAGTTACCCGCCGAAGAATTTCTCGTGGTTCGAGACATACCCATACCGCAGGCCCCTTGTTGCGATTCAATGTCATAAATTGAACACCTGCTTTATCGATTATGCGGCCAGCTAAACCATCAAGAGCGTCTATTTCACGCAACATCGTTCCCTTCCCAATACCCCCAAAACTAGGGTTGCAGGAACAAACGCCTAGGTTTTCCACGGAAGGCGTGATGAGAGCTGTGCGAGCGCCTGATCGTGCAGCGGCGGCACTTGCTTCGGCCCCGGCGTGTCCGCCGCCAATGACTACTACATCATATCTAGAACCCTTTAATTAGTTCCGGCAGTAACGCGTAGTTCGGGAGCTAAAGGCCATACCCATGTGAAGCCTTAGAGGCGGAGGCAAGGCACCGAGTTGGTCTGATAAAGCGGGAGCGCTGGGTACGCAAGGACGGAGATATTGTTCTTCGTAGCGCGTACATACTAAACGCCTAACCAAGCACGAAATGATAAGCAAAGTCTTCAGCGATCAAAGTCCTCAGCGATCTGCCGTACTCCGAGCGCGCATTGAATGTTGTTCGCGCCTTTCTATTGATGCAGCGCCTCGACCCAGTCCCTCTTTATTTTTTCCGCCCATCCTTGGTTTTGGTTTTCGCGCTTGGCTTGGTGTTTGGGTGGGGTGTTTTTCAGGGCCACCCTGGTGTGAGTCTAATACTAATTTGATGACTGTTGCACGGAGACACCCACACTTTTAGTACAGCAGGTCTGGCTGAGAGAGATAGAGCCAACAAACACTACTTGTTAATCTTGCCAAAATCCCGTTCATCAAACCAATAAGCCTGGAAGCTGGAAGACATACGGCCGTACATGATCGTCGACATTCGAATGGAGGAGTTTTCCATTATCCCCTAGGGTTTCCGTTCTGTACATATCCATACATCCATCAACAAGGAGCCATTACAGTTCTACCTTTCTCCCCCAGCTCATTGCCTAGACTTTATAGTCAAATCCTTAGCTATCTACCGTCCCCCTGGTCTTATTCCTGGCCATGACGAAACTGCCTCTTTGACCTCATTCAAAAAGTTTCTGCATTGTGTATGGTAGTGCCTCCGAGTATAATTCGGATGCCAGGGGTCACAGCATTCATACTCGCGACACTCTTGGCTTCTTCGTATGTTGCGCCACCAATCATGAACACAATGATATCTTGAGGTTTATCTCGCGTCGTATTACCCCCTCAATAAACGGGTACTGCTGCTCTCTCAGCCGTCCTTTTATGAGTGACTGTAATGTGTTCTCAAGGACTGGCGTATGCTGGGTGTAAACATTCTCTACACCTTTTAGTCCCTTAAACCGATCCCTAGCACCAGAAAAATGCTCGCAGATTCGAATATATCGGATATTCCGGCTTGCGTCGATGCCTGGCTGAGCGAAGACCGGTAGGCTTGCACTTGAGCTACAAGATCTGCCCGGTGCTGGGAAACATTTCCAGCAGCCACCAGGAGATCAATCAACATGGAGACCGCCTGAGATGGGGATTTTCATGGCGTAATGCGTAAAGAGCAACAAGGCAGACCTTCCTATCCTCAGTAACCTTAGGGGACTGGATAAGCTTTTGTATTGTCTGTAAAAAACACTGTTAGATACAGCCCAACGCTGAGACGACGCACGATTGACTCGATGTGAACAAACCTTCAGGTCCGCATTGTGGTTCTCGTTGCACGCAAGACTTTGCTCTAGCTCGCTGACTTCTAATAGATTCTCCATGCCAACACGCCGGCTCAGTTCGGAGACTAATGTGACGTGCTTGCTCACATTTCCCGACAGCTTCCGGAACTCGGGGTACTCTTCGATGAAGCGCTTCATATCAGATATAGACTCGATGTTGGCGTTGTTTTTGGTTTTGGACTGATACTGCTCCACGTAATCCTTGATATTGCCACCCAAATCTCCAAAATTCAGAAACATGTTCTTCTTAAAAAAGGGTCTTGATCCTGTGACAGAACAATCTCTCTCAGTTCTGGTCGAATTTCCGGGACATCGCTCAAGTCAACGCGACCATTGTCAATGCCGATGAGGTGGTGTACCATGGCTTGATATGTCCACTGTGTCAAAAGGGGCGTGACGGGGTCATCTCGTCGGTCTAAGATCAAAAGTATCGGCGGAGTATCTACTGTACGAAAATCAAACAGCTGCTCCTCCTGAGTAATATGATGGCGAAGCTCTGTCGCCAGTTTTTTGGCCAAAGAGCTTGTTTTCGCGTATCTGATAAGTGGCTTCTTCTTCAAAGAGAGCAATACCGCCATGATGCCCTCAGTGCTCCGCTGCAACACATTGGGATTCCAGGCGTCTGGAGTAGACCCCCATAGGCGATGCTGCGGCGCTGAAAAGCCTAACGAAAAGAGGTCCGGGTTGATAACGATGAAGTCCGCGAAGTGCTCTTGGACAACCTTGACGACTTCGTTATCATCGGCCTCTGCCAGCCTTTCAAGCGAAGACTTCTTCACAATATTTGTAAAGAACAGATAATACTCCCCATAGAGTGGATTCCGCAGTTCGTCAATCAAAAACTGAATAGATTCAGGTGACGGTCGCACCAAGCAAAGGCATCTCAAGTGACGCATCTTCTCCCTGTTGGTGTTGTCAATACGGTCGATAAGATAGACCTCGTGGTTTAAAAGGGCTGATTGCGTCGTTGCGGTAGATACAATAGACACTGTCTCCTTATCCAGCAACAAGATCTTCATTTTAGCGGATGTTGTGGCTACATCACCAGTTGTGACGACTTTCGTCAGATATCCAGATACAACCTGAGCGATGTCCATTGCAGCAAGGATGCCCCCGTCCGTAGATCGGATGGTTAGACAAAGGAAGAAGGCCTGAGGAGGCAAATTACAATAAACAAAGTGAGGAGGGGAGATAATAGAGCCACCTCTGCACGCGGTATTGAAGAGTCGAGGTAAGGCTTTGCCAGGCTCGCTTGAGGTTCGGCTGAGGGAGGGTGAGCGTGGTTGACAGGAGACATCACTCTATTGCTATGGGAAGGAATACCACAGGAAATGTCACTGATTGGTCAACCCGAAGAAAGCACACACCTTTGGGGGAGACTCTCAACGATGGCCTATGATTATCTAATGAGAGGACGACACCTAAACTGAGCGAGGGGAGTCCCCAAAAGCTTTCGACCGCCATTGTTTTATGTTTTGCTACTAGCCTTTATCAAACTCCCAATTGCCTTCTCGTATCTCAGATGGCGTTTGCGGGAGACGCTTATTATATCATTTACGGGTCTCGGATCACCACCTGCATACAATCTTTCATGCGAATGAATTTCATCTTTCACCGCAGCGTTCAATCTTAATTTATCTCCACCTACATCAATTCAATCTCTAGTATCGGACTACCAGCCAATCTCTCTTATTTTCAGGGCAAGGAGGGCCGATACCCATGCGCTGGCTCAATATAAACCAACATCTCGTGACCCAAGTAACCCAAATATCTCTCGCCAGTACAAATGATGGCGACCCAGGCCTGTACTGACAAGGCTGAGCCCACGTATGTTTTGTTCTCTTCCTCAAGATCGTCACCTTGAAGCTGACTCGGGAGACAAGACTATCGTTTACTCAAGGTCTGGTCATCGGCCAAATATCTGTTGTTCTGATTTTGGCCGCTTTCATCAAATTTTTATCTTTGGTGATCCTCCCTCAGCAGATGTTACGGCGACATTAAGGGCAAGCGAGCGACGATCAAGAACATTGGCCCACAAGCGATCTTTGTTGAGCTTGCGTAGTTCAAATGTAGGAATGCGACCTGGTCAGGGCCAAGGGCCAACTTCTACACTTAAAAGGAAGAAGTCAACTGTCCTACGGACATCCCCGACGCTTACAATGAGCTCAATCTTGTCAAAAACGTACTACAACGTAGAGAGCCATCAGCCTGAGAGCCTGGATTGGTTCAATGTGTTGGTTGCGCAGACGATAGCGCAATTTCGAAGCGACGCCCAGCACGACGATGCGATTCTAAGTTCACTTACAAAAGCTCTAAATGGAGCATCCCGGCCGAGCTTTCTCGATGACATAAAGATAACAGAGCTTAGTTTAGGAGAAGACTTTCCAATCTTTAGCAATTGCCGAGTTATACCTGTGGATGAGGACGGGCTCGATCTTGGCAGCGGACGCGGACTAGACTTCGGCACGGCTGCGAGGGAAGGCGCCAGGTTACAGGCGAGGATGGATGTCGACCTCAGCGATGTTCTCACCCTGGCTCTGGAGACTAAGCTGCTCCTCAACTACCCTAAAAAGCTTTCCGCCGTGTTACCAGTTGCACTCGCTGTGTCGGTCGTCCGTTTTAGCGGGACTCTTTCCATATCGTTTATCCCTGGGAACCCTGCGCAATCCACCCCCGCAACCATGTCCTTCAACTTTCTGGATGACTACCGGCTAGACCTGTCCGTCCGTAGTCTTCTAGGTAGCCGATCTAGGCTGCAGGACGTTCCGAAAATCGCCCAACTTATCGAAGCCAGGCTGCACAAATGGTTTGATGAGCGCTGTGTCGAACCTCGCTTCCAAGAGATAGCGCTCCCTAGTCTCTGGCCGCGCAAGAAGAATACAAGAGGCCCAGACGACAGTCTAGGAGACATAGGAAGCACATCTATTGGTAAAAGCCGAGGACTAGATCTCAATCACGAGCCAGAGGAGGATGTGCGACATGCAACCGAAGCCAATGTTGAAAGGGAAGACGAAGACACCTCGTTTTCGTCGTTGCGTATGCGAAGGCGTGCGGGAGGGAACTCAGAGTTCTCCATGCCTGGTGCCCTGCCCCTCTATGACATGGGCTCTCAAGGCCCTATCTCTGCACCCCTACCTAGGTGCATGAAATAGGCGCTTCTATTCACCATGCATGCCACGGGTAGTTTTTGTGAGGATTGCTAAATCAGATCCCTCAGAATCCTGTGACCTGGGTGTATCTTCATGCTCTACGCTAAATTATGCTGTGGATATATCTATCCCCATCCGACAGCTGTGTTTCTGCTTTCAGTCAACGGCCAAAGCTGCTGCCACCATATGTAAGAGCCGGCGACTAGGAGGGAATAATACAGAACTGTCCAGGTAAGCGGTGACTGGTTAGGGGAAGCCAAGATGGTTGAACCTGGCCCCAGAGCCGCGGTAAGCCCATAGAGTTACAAAATGCGTGTACGATGATGATAGAAAGGAGACTCCCTGTCCTTAAGAACAAAAATGTGGCGTATGCTCCAAATAAACTCGTGTACGCGAGCTGAAGCAATGACCTTGCAATTGCAGAGGTGATGGGAACGTGAGGATGAGTTAGGCGGAACTCATAGAAGTGGTGAATATGGGCTAGCCCGAAGATGATGGGTGTCACAAATATTATGTTGTTCAGCTGCATGCCAGAGAGAACGAGAAGTGGAACAGCGGCAGAACGAAAGATGATCTCCTCCGTTATAGGGCCCTGCATAATAGTAAGTATGCCAAAAACCGTCGAGCAGCGCCGTCAAGCACTTGATATGCGAAAGCACCACTTACAGCTACAATGTTCCTCCATATTGTCCACTCCTGCCAGAGGGATTTAAGGTATGTGAGACGGGTCAAGTCTTTCCAGACCCCATCTAGGAGAAAGGTCTCATAAAGCGGACCGGCAAACAAGAGTGCTACAAGAAGAAGGCAGTTGACAGACTCTCTCATACCGACTGGCCATATTCCCATGATCCAAAGAGCATCTTTCAAGCTCCATTCGGGCTGTTGGCAGATGATCACTAGGGTGAGGATGGAGCACAGGGCTGTCGAGACAGTTACAGCTCGGATGCGCGCACGTATCACTAGTGGCGAGTCTCTTGACAAGCTCGGAGATGGTCTCGACGATTTTAGAGCATATAACGGGAGCACATACACAACAGTGTAGAGTAACTCCATGAAGTAGTCGGGTTAGCAACGCGGAACTTTGAGTAGGGTAGCCATAGGTAGATGACAAGGAGGGATATTAGTACCAGTAGGGAAGTAGCGACAACAAAGTTAACAGACACATCAAAGCCCATCCTTGAGGTTGACAACGGCACAGATGAAATTTCTCGCCTATCCAAATAGGACCTATCGTATATCTTATTATCAGGACTAGGCATCGGAGGAGATCGGCCTGGAAGCAAGGCGAGGCTTCTGGCTATGCTGAGGGACTATGTTGGAAAACAATCCAGCATAGAGGAAGCAAATTGAGGCTGAATATAAAGGAGGTTGAGTTGCACGCATCTGGGGGTGAGGCAGCGCAGACTAATACATAGGAATACAAGTATTTCGAAAACTTCGATGTTGGAAGTGCAGGGTTGGTTCAGGATCTCAAAGGGGTTGGAGGGGTCCCTTCCCCACCCCTTTACAAGGACGGACATAAGTTAATGTAATTTAACCTGAAGAGGAAAGCGTTGGAATTGATAGATCCATTCTTTCTTTCATTGACGAACCCCTCTAAAAATGAAAAGAATATCCCCCGACCCATGCACTCTTCATCCCCCTCTTCCTCCCAAAATTTAGCCAGCGCACTGAACCTAAACCTGTGTCCTGCTTTTGAGTGAATTTATTCATGTTGGATAAATAATATTATCAAGGCTGGCTCTCAACCCTGGAATACCCTCTTTGATATATCTAGTGTATATATATTTTCTTCTAAGGTTCAGGAAGTATACCTAGAAAGCAGGTGAAAAGGACGCTGGCCAACTAATAAGGATTCGTACAATCGCGGGTCTTGTCCTCGACATTGCCTCACCAAGACTCCCTTAGAAAAAAGCCTATTATCAAGGTACTGAGTACATGGTTTAACACGACGCGTGCTTGGAGGGGTTCCTTCCAGCGTGAAGTGGGGCTGACGCGAAGGAAACGCGAGGCTGGTGGCGCAAAATGGCTCCAAGTCACACAGCAAGGATGGATAGAGAGTGTTAGTACAGTACCGAGGTACATCGGTACAAGTATTGTAATATCATTGAAGCTTGTCCCTCGAGCTGGCTCCATGTATAGTATAACCCTCAAGCCCCTCTTGTGCCTCCTTAAAAGCTTCTCCCAACCTTCGTTTTTTTTTTTTTTTTTTTTTTTTTTCTCTCTTGGGTGGGGGTTGGGGGCTGGGGTTTGGGGAGGGGAGGGAACATACTTGTAGGCAATAGGTTACTGGGACAAACCGCTGCGGCGCGAAGCGCTTTTCTGCATCCCATGTTTCACCCCGTTTTGTTGCTTGGGCTTGGCCAATGTTGATGATGATGTCGCTCCATTCCTCCGGTCGACTCAGGACGATTTACGCGCCCGCCGCCTGGTTGCCGCCCGATGACGATTGCTGAATCGCTCGAATGAAGATTTCTCCAAGAGCCAGCCTCGTATTTTCGAAGGTGGAGGTATCAACCCAATTGCCCCTTTTCTAGCCGGGACATTGAATCATCAAGATAGAACCACGAATGGGGACGATGTGCGTGCAGTCGGCTTTGCTATCCTCCCAATAATAGTCGGTTCTTGAGAGACACCTGTCTGCCTCCCTAATGTACATGTAATCTTTAGCAACAGAACAATCTGGACGCGTGAAGACGAAGCTATTGGACGAGCCCCTGCTGTTCTCTGCTTCACCGCTCTGTGTTGCTCATTAAAGCATGCGAACTCCTGCATTGGCGTGCTCAGTGTAGTAATGAAGGTGCACCTGTGCTAGGGTGAAAGAACGATCTCTTGAAGCATATGAGGCGAGCTACAAAGAGTTACCTCTCACTTTCCCCCTGAGAGGATAAAATCCACTTTGATTGATGACTTTGAGAATGACAAGCGAAGTACTTATCTATGGGTGTGCTGATAATTTCAGTTGTCCCCCATCCACCTCGGTATTGATAGATCTTTCACCTGTGGTCTGAAGCCTTGAGGCAACAAAGTCGCTGTTTCAACCTTGCTCAGAAACGGGGGTGATTACTGGCTCAGACAATTTCAGCACAATAAGCCCTGGCTAGCCATGGCCGGCCTGGCTACATACATGTAGTTTATACTGCAGTTACACTCTCACAACTTGAACTGTTGAGAGCGCTCAAGGCAATTTTGTGCGGGCTACGGGTGGGTGTCATCCTGTAATCTCCCTTTATACGCAGTACATGCTGCATGTGCATGCAGCTTCAGCGCTTCGACGCTAGACGCAAGCGCGACTGATAACTGGTTTTATTCCTCTTTCCCTTCCCTCCCTAGAAATATCACCGATCGGCTTGCAAAGTGTGTCTTGTCTTGTAAGTTGTATTTACCTCGGAGAAGCGCGAGTATGTCGGGTTGAGTGATAAATCCTCATCAGCCCCAAAGGCCACGTTTCGACCGCTTCTTGAGCTACACACTTCAGGAGATTCAGAGAGCAAGTGAGACGTTTATGATAAGACAGAGCAACCCGCCATCGAAGAGTATTATTGCCTATGAGACGGTCGAGGAATATTTTTGTCTTGGAAGGAGAAAAAAACGGGGCTGATATATGGATACTAAGGTTGTAGATATTTCAACGAGGGGCAAGCTGTTAGTAGATCAATTCTCCACAAGACTCGGCCCTTTCTTCATTTGACCTGTCCTCGCAACGCTTTCGCCCCTTTGCGGTCTCAGTCTTAACCTTTAGCAAGATCTGGAATCTAGAATGTCACTGGCCAGCACGATAAACGTTCAAGCAGCGAAGGCTACCAATTGGTGAGAGCTATATACACCGTCGATCAATTGATCTATTGTCGATCGACCTAGTGGCTCCTCACACAGATCCAACCAACTGACGTTCTCTATGAAGTGCGCTATGTACCTCAGTATTTTAATAAAGTTTTTGCCCGTCACTCGTCCTCTGAGCGCTGCGCTGACAAGGTCCGGGGCGACGGAACGAATGGGGAACATCGTGTTGAAAGGGTAATAAAGACAAACAAATGCAACAGATCCATTGCTAAGCAATTGAGAAGTCAGTACCTCCGTAGGTACCTCTGTACTGACGTAGGCAAGGTAGGGTTAAGCTCTGTGGGATCTCAGGGGAAGAATGATTGTACCGAGGTAGATACTTGTACAGATATGGAGGAGGCAGGGCCCCTTGACGCGACCTGCAGGTCGCTCCACAGCAAGGAGCGCCTTGGCCTAGAAGGAGTTGGCAGGTCTCATTTGCCAGTCAAATCTTTCTCCGGCCGCTGGCTTGTCTCGTAACTAAGTCGCGGAACCTCAAGACCAGGAACGCGACTTTGAGATTTGGGCCTAACGAAACCATTAATTGGTGGTCAATTTTGCTACGCGCCACCCCTCATGGAGACACACACCTTTCTTCTTATACCTTTGGATCGAAGCACACCCTCGTGCAAAGTGGTCAACGTCTATCCCCTTCCTTCTTCATCTATGAAAGATTGTGGAATTGGGCGGTCCGCTCTAATACCAAAAGTGGTATCCCGATCCTGAGGGGTTGCTCCAGCATCACACACTTCAGCATTGAACAGGAACCGTTTACCCGCGCAGGCTCTTCGACTTTTGGCTTGACTTCCTCAGTTGGACATTCGTCTTGCCTGCTGGGGTCTCCTCTTGAGTGAACCATGGTTCGTTCCCTCCACCTCGCCTACACATAGCAAGCAGTCATCTCCCTCGACAATTTGCCTCCCGACAAAACCTCAGACTCTCCCCGTTGACCTTCCGGCCCTTTTTCCTCTCTTCCCCGTTTTGACATGCGCTGTTTACCTCGCATGTCGCTTGAAGTCGAGCCTTCAACTCAATCCTCCTGCTCGAAAGCGGCCCTTTCGCTCAACCAGCCATTGCCTTTCCTCCCTCCCAACCTACGATGTGCTTGAACGTTTCGATCTCCTTGCCGTTGGAACCCTAACCCGGCGGGGTGGCTCTGCCTGCCCCAAGCGTTTTCGCGACTAAAAGTAGAGATCGATCTCATAACATAAGTCTGCCCTGCAGTATTGTGGCCCTGGGAGGCCCGACTGGCAGCATCATGACTCCACTAGCCAGCTCGCCACGAAAAGGTTTACATGAACGGTCTCAATCGCAGAATAATACTCTCGCCATTCGCGTCGTCCCCTATTCTCCACCAAGGCCGAATAATGATGGTGCACCGACGGTCGCGCTCTGCTCATCTCGAACCCCAAGTCGCCAATCAAGGTTCGCTGATGATGAGAACGCCGGGGAGAAATTAATATCCGTGGCAAAAAGACACCTCCCCACTGCCTCACGAATCCCCGTCGCCTAATTTGGATTTCCTTAATTCTCCAGCCCTTTCAAGGTCTCGGCAACCTCGTGTTTCAGCACCGCCTGGCCCCGCCATCTCTGGCCCTTATTCTGGTACCAATCTCGCCAATATCCCTGCCATTAATGCACCCTCAGTATCATCTCATATCCGTTCTCATTATGCACCAACCCAACAAGAAGAGGAACCCTCTGCTTGGGCTGCTGTCCCCCTCCCAAGAAGGCGCACTTTTATCACTATCCACTCCGACAAGACTTTTTCATTAATTCCCCAGCCGCCGGAACGAGATCTTAGATCCCCCAATTATCCCTTTCAACCAACTCCGTTGCATCTGACCCTTTCACCGATGAATACCCGCCGAGCTCTCCCTAACTATACTCCCGGAAGATGACCGCGATTTGACAACCTGTGCTCTAAGCTCCTCGCCGTTACCTATCACGACTCCAGATCGCACATGGACGCGGCCCGTCGACGATCACTCGCCCTGGAATTATCGAATGGTTGGTGGTCTGCGTAAGGTACCAAAGACACCCAACTTAAAACGGATTCCGCCCTCCACGCCTACGCTGTTGCAGAGCTCCCCGTCCACTCTAGCGTACGACCCAGCCCCTCTCCCTCGTCAACAATCTCCCCTTCAGAAGCATCCTCGGAATCTCTGAGTTTCGAGTCTCCTGCGTCTGAGAGTGTGAACTACAGAGTTTATGCATCTAGTCTGCCACCCTCACATGCACGATCTAGCCCAACGCCCTCATTAGACGAGTCTAATTATCAAATCGTGGGCTACTCGTCCTCCCCAACACCGTCGGTCTACAGGGAACACCCACCCTCCGACGGGAGCGACGACAACTACGTTGTCCACGCGCAGTCCTCGCCTTCCTCGTCCATCGCCACAGTGAAGAGGGAAGTCCTCCATCAAGAGTATTCACAAGAGAGCCTAGTCGTCCGACCCTTGCGACCTTGTAAACGAGATTCCAATGAGAGCCTAGGCTACTACAGAAAGATCTCCCGCGAGTCACTCCGTCGTGCTGGGTCGCTAAAGTCAATCTCTAGTGTCCTAACGCAAGAGGTGACCCATTCTATCCTTCTTGCATCTCCTGCGGCAGTATACCTACAAGGGGGTCCAACCGCTTTTTCGAGCATTTTACAAGATTCTCGCACATCAACAAGGAACGCATCGAATCCAAACTCGTCACGGGCTCCCATGATAGCCCATCCCCACCAGTGGAGCTCCCAGCTGTCGACTGTCTTGTCGGAAAGTGAGGCTGGAAGCTCTTTCGACTCTCGAGCTGTATCAGCGGCCTCACAGTATGCTGGGAGGAGTATTGTGTTGGGAAGTAGCCACAGCCGCAACATGCTTAGTGTCTCGTCCTCCGTCGACTCACGGTCTATGTCTCACTCCCGCTCTCCTAGCGATTCCCTCGATCGACCAACTCCCTCTTATAGCCGCTTTGGTACCCGCGATGCGCATCAAGTTAGGGACCAGGATGAGCATGGCGACGGGCTGACAGAGCTTCATGTTCTTCACCAGCGCCCATCACGCACACGACTCTCTGGATTATTCTCTGGCATCTCATCTGATAGAAATCTACATTCATCATCAAGTTCCTTCACCAACAGTCTGCCCTCATCATCACTTCCCACTTGGGCTAGGTAAGCCGCGCTTTAAACCCAGGTTATCCGGTGCAGTGTGCTGAGGCTAATACACTTTTTTTAAAGGCTATATTATGGTAGTGGCGAGCGTCGATTCCTTGCCCAATCTTCTGAATCTATGTTTTCCGACTATAGTGAGAGCAGACCACCAAGTTCTTTCCGAAGCGGCTCCCCCACAACCGAACATTTTCCTGCCCATGTTCAAAATCACCGTCGTAGGCCCAGAGACGGAGAGCGTACCTGGACACAATCCCGGCGGCAAGCAGACGCTTCGTCTGCATCAAACTACATGTACCGACTTGGCGGTGGTTTGCGGAAGCAGACATCGAGCATTTGGTCTCCTCACCTCCGACAAGATCAGCGGGCTAGCCGCTACAGCATGTGGGAGCCTCCAGCAACCCGCTGGTCTGAAGATGGCGGTGCGTTACGTCACCGCAACACCCAGGTCGTTCTCTTCGTCGTCGGCTTCGTCTTCCCGTTCGGTAAGTTAGGCGTTGAGAAGGATGAAGCACCCGAGGTTGAATAACGGCTAATATCTGTCTTCGTTGGCATACTAGCCTGGATGGTGGGTGCGTGTCTTCCATTGCCCCGAAACCCCTCCCATGACATGGAAGAGCGAAATGCCAGCACCAGCCACCTCGATCTTGCAGCGCCGCGCACTAAGCGAAGTCATCCGTATGGTGGAACGCAATCCGAAGGCGTGCGCTGGTGGCGAAGACTCAATCGTTACATGTCAGCTGTCGGGCTCCTAGTACTTGCAGCTGTAATTGTCCTGGTCGTCTTGGGCGTACGGCAAGGCTGGGGCTCTTAAACACCTGCGCCTCCCTCTAAACGGCCACACACGGTATAGCCATCCACCTTTTAGTCTCTTGTGAATATCCTACACCACAACACGCTCACGTCACCTTTTCATATGTATCAACACAAAATCAACGATGCAGGCGAGCCCGCGCACCATCGAACAATTTACCGGACAATGGTCAAACAATTTGGGGGTTTCCACTGCAAGGACATTGTTTTGTTGCTCTTTGCTTCCCGGGAGAGGATTAAACGGCCTATGCCTATGCCTCGATGTTGATTTTAACATCAATTTGAACAGCTCCCTTGTTTTCATATTGCTTATGCGTCCATTCAGATGTGGGGTCCTGTCCTTTCACAATTTCGCCTTTTAACGATCAGCCATCATTTGTCACGTATATTTAGATTAGAGATGTCCACGACCTTTACGATAAACTAATATCTAAAATTCTAGATTACTAAAAATCTAACAAAATGTCTAATTCAAAAGCTCAAGGACCTCGTAGGTTGATATCAAATCGACTGTTAAATTAGTGAATTCACCCTATCGATTCGAACTAGATAAGTTTGACCGCAAATCATAGTTTCAGTTCATGTTGATTATATATCATACCCACTAAGCCTTTTTACTCATCTCCGTTTTCATTTCACTCATGATCTCAGAAAAGTCACGTTGAGGGTCTGAAGAGAGCCCAAGAATAGGGTCCCTTGATGCGAGGCTGTCTTGGCTAGCAGACCGAACCATTTTTACACCTGTTTTAGCCTGCCTTTGGTCAAGAGCCTGCTTGAGCAACCCCTTCACTGGTGAATTAAATATCACCATTGAAATAGCAATGCCGAAAAAGGGATAGAAGTACATTCGGGACCACACCTGAAGCGAGCCGGAGAATGAGAGCACAAGGAATGGCGCCGTGGCAAACGAAAATGTGAGCTGTGTGACAAACAAGGAGAGGATATCGTAAAATCTCTTGCTTTGAGTTGGTAATCCTGTTGCTGGGTTGAGGAAGAAGGGTCGCAAATATCGTCGGTAGTCTATGAAGATTAGCCTACTGAATATTAGAGCTGATTCAGGCGTGATATAAACATACTTTTCGCTACTGTCTGCACAAAGCTAGCGAAGACGAACGACATGTAGTACCCCGGATGGAACCCGTGCCAGAGCGCGCTGGTGCCGAACGTAATCAGGCTTGCGCGAAAGCCTGGCTTCTTACCCCGTGGGGTAACGCGGAGGTAAACATAATTTCGAAGCCAATTGCTCGTGTTAATATTCCAACTAGCAAGGTAGCCTCTTGCATTCTGCGCCAGTTCCACGCCCCATGGATCTATATTGCTAAGGCGATCCCAGGATACTCGGCCTGTCGATGGGTCAACACCGTTGTAGCCGAGCCCGGTGAGAATGCAGGCGCCCTCCGTCAGCGTCCAGACGCCGTAATATTTAAGCCGTGCTGTGAGCCCAACCATGTAAAGAAACCCAACCCTTCCAATGAAGTTGCGAGTGGTAAAGTCGGTACTCAAAAGCGCGTTAGGGAAATACCATTTAGAAAGATATATGAACGATCCAATCCAGAGCAGTCCGGTCGCAGCCTTCCATGCCGCGGGGGCCCCGCTCCGGGGATCTTTCGCTTCTTCCGAACCGGCGGGCGCTTTGAAGGCTCTACTTGAGGAGAAACCTGAAACATGGTAGTGTTGATCCACCGACGATATTCGGCAAAGTCAAATGACGGACCTGCAAACAAAGACGGGAAGAACAAGACGTATGCGGCATAATCGAGAAGCCCGGGATTTCCTCTAGCATTCTGTCTTTCTGGAGTTGAGATAGTTGATCAGGAGGGAGTTGGCCGTCTGCAACATTCCAACAAAAAGCACTTAGCTTCATGACAAGAACCATGTGCGCGCCGGTGATATCAATTGTTGCAGGTCTGCTATTCAACTGGTGAAAAAGGTGGTTGCTTGCCATATGTCCCATCACAAAGAGAAACCCTGCCCATGGCATCCAAGGACTTGACCGAAAACATTTCGCAAGAAGATACGTACCCCCTGCGCTAATAGCGAGGGTTCGTAATCCCGCCCAGAAGTCAAACAATCCTATAAGATAGAAGGCTGAGGTTCTAAAGAAGGGTTTTGGGTTAGCGAAATAGCCGTTCTGTGAGGGTATCGTGTTCTAGCATACCCAATGATAAAGATATTTTTAGATCCGGCCTGTTGTCAGGTAACCTCTTTAACGCTGCCGCCAGAGGATACGATAGAAGGAAGGATGCCACGAGCTTGACTATTCAATATATCAGCCAAGCCGGCATTTCAGGACGAGAGCGGATTCCGAAATATAGCAGTGGGGTAGCAAAACTTACGTTCATCTGGCGAGGCACCCACAACCGGGGCCAGAAGCTCGAAGACTATTCGGATTAGCATTAGACGTGGGTAATAATAGATAGGGGCCAGATTTAGGGTGAGCAAACCTCGATGCACAACTAGGAGCATAGTCCAATCATGCAAGGTAAGAGATAGCTCGGCTTAAAGGTGAATATAACTTTATCTGACGGGGATACGATTTCTGAGGGGATACGATTAGGACAGAAATCCAAACCGTCTTAGAACTGAATCAAAAGCTTCTAAAGTTACTTTAGCTGCCAGCCTTCTAATAACAAAAATACAGGGATTTAAACGTGTCAGGCCATCGCTATATCGAGGTAGATACCCTGGGTAGATACCCTGGATAAATTGGTTTATGGAAATATGGGTTATTTCGTCAACACATGAATTTAGGAGGACCTGAGCTTCGGATAAAGAGAGGGAACTGCCTGAGGGGACACACACAGAGATGACATCACTCTTCCCAGGGGTTGTTTGCTGAAAACCAATTAAAATTCGAACCGTCCTAGGATTTCTACCTTGAGAATTCCTTCACCTAAGAAGCAAGGCTAATCTGGGACCTCACCTGCAAACCTCGTCGATGAAACTCCAAGCAAATTAATCTTCTGATCTCACTAATCTTATCTGACATGACCGTCTAATTTAAGGTTTATCATACACGAAAGAACAATGCCTATAGCATTCAAGAAACGCAATCATTACAATGAATCCCTTGGGTTGAGTAGAGATACAACCCTGAATTCAACCACCATAAGTTATGCCAAGAGTTGCAATCACGAGTTGGCAGCATCTCGGTTACTGAGAGAACTCGCGCTCATCGACGGCTGCTTGGTCGGCAAAGATAACTTAGCCATATCAGATTGGCGGATTCTTGCCCATGAATATACAATACCACTGACGAAGCCGAGGAAAATCGCCGACACGCTGCCAAACGTGATGGGCGCAGAAAAGAATATCAGCCCACTAATGGCGATGGGAAGCTTATTGAGGGCCCCAACCATGGAGTATGTAGTTGACGACGTGACACGAATACACCAGGCTGAGCAGTAAGATATGAAGATAGCGGCAAACCCTGAGTAAACCATTCCGACAAGAAGGCTATTGCGGCTCTCAATCGGGAAGTTACGTTCAAGATTAGGTCGTGACCAGTCTTCGGCAAGTAGGGAGAGCACAATTAGAACAGGAATGGTGAGAAGGTTGTTGTAGTACATGGCTAGTTGGTGTTAGAATTGTGGTTGGCCTAGGAAGAAAATCGTAGGTGGTTACTTACTATCCCAATCTTTGAAGTTCATCTTCTTGATGACTTTCTTCATTGCCAGAACGTATGAGGCAGAGCAAAAGACATTCAACCCCATCCAAGCATAGCCGGCGTTTAACGTGGACATTGCGCTCACGGCATCCCCAGTTACAGGATTACTGGTAAGGGCGCTTTGGATGTCGGCCCAGGCCGCCACAACCGAGCTTAAAACCATCAAGCCAAACGAGAGCAAGGCAAGCGGGCTAACACTGCCTCCAAACCAAAGCACTTCCCCGTATGCAATGACAATGATCGTAAGATTCTTGAATATTGTGTATACAGGGACGGAGAGGTACTGCAAGGCCTTGGTACCAGTATAAATCATACCAACAAGAAGGACAGAAATCGGGAACCCTATAATCGAGGTATTAGCGCGGGTGGGTCACCCATACGTCACAAGTCTATGAGAACCTCACATTTTCTCGCCTTATCTTTGTCAAAAGGCGCAAGATCTCGAATTAGGCCCATTTGCTTACATAGCGTAATCGTTCCCGTACAGACGATCGCCTAAAACGCGTTCAGTTAGAATTGAATGTCTACTTAGGTATGATGAAGGGATATGATGTTTGTTAGACTGACCTGTATCGCTAAATAGAAAAGATTGAGATTCCACGAGTCGCCAGAGACGACATACTTGTTAACAACTGTCATACTTATTGAAGCCAGACAGTAGGCTAAAATTGAAAGGCCCGGACTGTTGTCTATCTTCGAAATAGACACATGTGGAGAGGATCGAATAGGCCGCGACGACAGGAATCCCTCCTTCTCGTCCCTAAACACCGACTCGCCTAAGCGAGCCTCCGGATCATCGATCTTCTTGTCTGTCATTTCGACAAGATAAACACGTCCTAGGTCTAAGGTAGGCAGTGCGGTCCCTATTTGGCAGGCGTAACCGTCCCGTTGGATAAAAGACGAGCAGATTTGAGGAAAGTTCTGCGTTCAGATGGCAACAGAAAGTGGATGTGCGACAGAAAGGGGTGGGAAAGATAAAAATTTATTAATATCCAGGGCGACACGGGGAGAAGTACGAGTATTCAGGGGTCGATTAGTCAATAATCAACAAGTGTCCTCGAGTGGCCGTGCATTTAATATTAAGTCGATAGGTATGTACACTGTGTCTCAGCCACCTTTCCGTAGCCACTCAACAAGCTCTCCTCCCTCTTGCATCAATCGCCTTGAGTTCTTCCAAAACAACAACAGCAACAACAATAGCCACAACAATAAAAAGAAAGAGGGACCGGTTTTACGAAGATGCGCAAGGAAAGAAATTCTTTACCCAGAAAATTTCTGCGGCCAATCGATCCTATAAGCGGCGTGGCCTCAGTGATACGATCCAGAACTCCCATAAATTGGAGATTCAGCATCATTGGTCGGCAAATTTGAAAAGCTTCAACCCGCAGCGGGACCAAAGGCTTAGTTCTTGTCGCTATCCTTCGAGTCCAACAGTGAGACAGTACTAACTCAGGCGGGATTGCTTCGAGAAAAGTCGTCTTGTAGTTCCAATCCAGCCATTTCCACTGGTTCTTCATCATGCTTAGAGGCTTCCTTCTCTTCTTTTTCGTCCGTCACCGCATCAGGAGCTGCCGGGAAATTCAGGTGTTTCCAGTCTTCCAATTCTTCAGTTACGGAACGTAACCTGTCCCTTATGCTTTCAATCGCGTAGCTGCCTAACAAAAGTCTCAAGGGTGGGTAAGAGCAATGGGCTAGCTGCCAGACAAGCTCAGCGCATTTGACTACGCTCGTGGGCTGCCTATCTCAAGCCACTGAACCATTCGCTTTGCGTGGAGAGCAGGGGACGTCGCATGGGCATAGGCTTCGCTGCTCGGGTTGATGAGAAAATGACCCCAGGTTGGCAAGGGGTTCGTGATCGAATCGGGCTCATCCCTTCTAACGAGGCCAGGCTCAACCAATGTAGCCTTGACATTGAAGGAATCCGTCTCATACAACATCGCTTCGATTAATCCCTCGACTGCGTACTTCGTAGCGCAATAGGGGCCAAGCCCAGGAACACCGAGAGCCCCAGATGTAGAACTAAATATTAGATATCGACCAGCATTTTGCTCCCGGAAATACGGCAACGTGCATTGGATAATGTGTAGTGTGCCCATGAAATTTGTTTCAAACTGATTTCGAACTTCGTACTCGTCCTGGTCCTCACAGGCGCCGATGACGCCGTAGCCTGAACAATTCACGACCACGTCGAGCTTGCCGAAGTGGCTCAAAGTCCTCTGTACCACCTGGGCCACAGAATCTCTTGCACGAACATCGCAGTATGCCCGAAGGAGCATCTCTTCTTGGCTCACCGTATACTGTGGTCCTGTCTCAAAGACTTTGCCCACAGACACGACACGATCGCCACGGGCGAGAGCACATTTCACGAGAGAGCGACCCATATGACCGGTTCCTCCAAAGACCTTATAACACAATGGCAATGTCAGCTTCCGCGCCGGTGTTATGGAGGTTAATAAGACTAGGCCTCACAATCCACACTAGCTGCCGTCTGCCATTAGCGAGTGGTGGGTCACAGCTTGCTGGTAATTGCAATTTCGATTTCAGAGTCGCATCGATACTATGCACGGTCGGTTCTTGATCAACAAGACCCTCCATAGGTAAGAAATTTGTAGGGTTGAGAGATGCGGGACGTGAGTGATGAGAAGAGGGACGAAACCTGAAGTGTCGGGCTGGATTGACAAGTCAAAACTGCCAGGACCAGGCCAAAGATTTAATAGAAGGAAGAGAAAAATTGAGGTTCTTGAGCGAACTTGATGGTCATAGTGGAGGGGTAACCTGCCAGCTGGCAGTTGACAAGAGCCGGTGCGCTAACCCACCCCCAATCACGCAACGGCAGATTCTCGATAAGTGAGCCTAGATGATGTCAAGAGTGATAGAATAGAATCCCTTTCATCGTCTTCGTCTTCAGTCCTCCGTCTTGTTTCACCATTCGCCTTTGCTATTTGGGCTCTTCCTTAGGAGCTCCACTGTTTAAACCCTTGCATCTTATCCAGCCAACAGGTAACACACCCAGCTCATCGCGACCCCTCAAACTCCAGCAAGCGAAGGTTGAATTCCTAGAACCAATCACGCTTATTTAGGCATTTAGGTATTGCGCGATATAGCCCCTCCTGTGAAGATTGAGATCTACTTGAGGATCCCGGTTCAGGGGGTCCATTTGGGCTCATCTTTGAAAAGCCTCATGGCGACGATGTACTAGTTGTAGTCGATCATATTAGGCGATAAAACCAAAAAAAAAAAAAAAAAAAAGGCGGTGCTTTCAAACCTACATTGCTATCATCAGTAGTGAAACGGTGATAGATGCCGGGGGAAGAATCAAGAGGTCATTCTAACAGAGATGTTAGCAGGGATGGCAATCAAGGCCCATTCTTTCCGCATCGAGTTTACCTTCTCGACACGAATTCGTATCCATTCATCTTGTTGTCCGCGAACATCAAAGTACCCATTTCCAGCACGGATGTACCTGATTTCCTCATCCTCATGGATATGTTCACAGAAGAACATTTGTATTTTGTCTTCGAAAGCTGAACCCATTGCCTGCGGTGATATCGTCACCTCATCACGATTCTTATATCCGCGAGAGTTCGCTAGCTCATCTACTCCACCAATATCTTCTAGGTGATAATATTTGACGCCGAGAGCTGCCAACGTCTGCTCGTCAATCTCCCGGCCAGAGTCATGAGCTAACCGAGGGTCTCCCTAAATCACTAATTAGCAACCATGTCAAGCAGAACGGACCGTCTTTAGCCTCACAGGCGCATCGTCAAAGATGTATGCTTTCATCCTGAAGAATATTTGACCCTAGTTGGGATCGTTCACAGTTATTTTCCTGTACCTTCTTTGACCGCGCCAACAAGGCGAGAAATTTCACCTCTCATTTATCGAGTGACAAGCTAAATCTGCGATACTTGGCTTGGAAGAAAGAATCGCCTGAACAAAGAATGGAATACCCCGCCGCTTGCGCTATTATCCCGCATTACATAATCCGAAATTGCACAATCATCCGCCATGATGTCATCAGGCCGTGTTTTAAGGACTGCAATCCAAAGGTGCCTCTTGGAGGAAGACCAGGGAGCGAGAGTCAAATGATAGATCCCGAAGGCAAATACTATGGGCGCAATTGGTAATTGGTTTATAATCAGACTTCAAAACGCCAGTGGAACGACAGACACACCTACTTCCCCGGAAACGAGGTAGAAATAGGCATACAATACTGCCCGTAATTTTGTAGCGTTGTTTCAACTCAATCATCTCGTTCTATCAGGGGTCTCTTGCGGCGCGACCTCCGGGGCCCCGCAACAGCAAACTCGCTCGCAATGCCATCCGCCGACTGATCTCTGGCTGGTCGATCAAAAGTCTGCACCACCAACTGGGTGGGTCTAGGGGACGGGATCCGTTATGTAGTGGAGGATATACATCATTAAAAAAGTACCAGACATGGCCGATAAGGACTCCCATAAGTTCGTCCTTTGGTATTGTGCCATGTAGCACAAGACTGAACCCCATGAGCACCCAGGGCAAGTAAGGCGCAGTGAAGACGAGCAGCCCCAAAAGCTGAGTCGAGTATCGGGGTTACGCCGCGACCATATGTAAACTAGCGTTGAGGAGAGGGGCTGGCCGAGAAAGGGCATCGAGACCAAGGGAGACATCAAAGAAGGCTCGCTGTCGCGTAAAAGAAGCCAAGAAAAGAGTGCGGGTGAGCGACCGGATGATTCTTCGAGAAGACGCGCATACCGTTGTAAGAAGTAAACATGGAAAAGCAGGTCCAAGGAGAAAGGACCGAAGTAGAGGAATGTGGTTAAAAGCCTCCAGTACTAGAGCAGGGGCTGAAGGTCAGCTCGAAGAAGCGGTATGATCAAGGAGGGGCACCAGCGAGCCGACACTGCGAAGAAGGATACGAAACGGCATACCTGGTATTTGTGAAAGACTGCACGAAAACTGTAAAATAGCTGGAAGGGAGTGAGGATTTGGCACTGCACCAAGGCGCTGGTGAGCAAGGTTGCAGTAGTCCACCACCGTGTACAGAGAGGCATCTCCCAAAACCACGTTTCAAGAGGCAGCCTTGCTCCATCTCCCATCATTTGATCCATGTCGAAATCACAGATCCTTGGGCGTTGCCAAGTTACCGTATACGCTTTCGGGGGCCTGCATAAGGGTCGTTTGGGTTTTTGCTCAGACTCAAGCTCGGAGTAGATGGACGTGAGGGGCTCGAGGAATATTGAAAACGCTGCGGCCAAGTGAGATGTTTTGGGCGAAAAAGAATTAATGACAGATATGGATGGATGCACAGTGCATGCTGTGTTGCAGTGTAATTTACACTGTATCATATTAACGAATATCTAGCCTTGCCCTCATAAAAACCACGGGGCTGGGAGACTCGAGCCTGCAATTGGTTGGCCTTCAAGCGCGTCTTGTCACGTCCCTCATAATTTCGCTACACCCTTTTCCAACAATCGCGGGACTTCCAACGACCCTCTCACGCCCTATTGACAAGAACCTTCATTCTCCAAGTTTAGAGTCCGCAGAAAGATAATTAATATCCTCCACCCCATTTTTCTCGCCGTGATTAACTCGGCGATGCCAAAATCACCTGCGAATGGTCGTCGCGGGGGCAGTGGTGTCCGTCGTAAGTAACAGCTAGAATCCGAAAATCTAGACTATGATCTAACCTGTCAAAGCCGGTGACCCCGTGCCTTATAAGGCCAAACGGAGATATCGGCCAGGAACTGTCGCGTTGCGGGAGATTAGACACTTCCAAAACAATACGAAGCTACTTCTTCTTAAACTCCCATTTGCAAGGCTAGTAGGTAACCAAAGGCTTGGATTCTCCGATATCAATATCTCTGACAAATGTATTGGCAAGGTTCGCGAAATTGCACTGTCATTCGTGCCGAGAGATCAAGAGCTGAGATGGCAATCTCAGGCCATAATGGCCCTTCAAGAAGCAGCCGAAGCGTTTCTTGTCCATCTTTTCGAGGATACAAATCTATGCGCGATACACGCGAAAAGGGTCACCATAATGCAAAAGGATATCCAGCTTGCAAGGAGAATTCGTGGAGCCTGGGGCGGCCTCGGATGATAATTGATTTCCGAACCAATTGGCGTAGATGGAGTTGGCGTTGAATGTATGTAAGTATATGGTCTATTTGTTACCCAAGCTTGATCTTGGATAGCTTAATCTTTTACCGAATTTGGGGAGGTCTTGATGGGGCATGGGAGCTTTATATTTAATCCTGTATCTGAATTCATATCTCATCGCCCGCTCAGTTCACACAGATAGACTTCGAGGTTTACGGAGGTACTTCGATACCTAAGCGGTATGCACATGTGACGGGTGGCGGCCTCGATTTGAAGATGACGTCACCTCCCCCACCAAAATGCGTGCACCATTTCAACACCGAAGACTTAAGGCGAGCGCAATGAACACCCTGCACACCTATAATGCTCATCTCCCTCCCCGTTCTATTGTGATTGTCCCAAGTAGCTGGGGAATGTCTTCCGTCGAACAAAATTTGAAGGTTATCACGAAAAGATGCCCAACATGTCAAGGATCGCAAGGATGTCCTGGAGGCATCTACCCAGCCGAACTGTCCGTGGATTGGGCGCAGCTTATCTATTTTGCCACATCAAGGAGTCATCATTAAAGTGCGATAGCTTTGGTGAAAACAGGCCCAGCCGAAACCTGGTTCCGAAACGGCAGTCCCTTTCAGGCCCTTCGGTTTTCAGCCAAATAGCCCTCGGAAGTCTTTCAGGTAGTCCCAATGCTCACCAGCTCGTTCCTCGCTACTTTTCTCCAATGGCCACCTAACCCTCCACCCGAACTAGGCTTCGGTATTGGTCTTGTCCTTAGCATTTTTCTAAGATCTTTATCCTGGCAGCTGGATTCTGCGGAATACTTCTTTTGGTGCGTAATGTTTTCAATTATATTGACTGCATCCCGGAATCTCTAACGCATACCAACCTTGGATCTCGTAGCTCTCAAGGCGGCTCGGTGTTGATTTCGCGGGTGTCCAGCATATGGCTAAAAGCGCGCCACTAAAGCATGTGCTTGATATGAAGAAGGAAAATATCGCGTTCAGACTTTCATTCAGCATAACACTAGTCCTTGCCGCCCTCGTACAGTTTTAGCGTTCGTCGGCCAGCTCGAAACGCCTTTAAACCGGGCGCGTCTGTCGCTCAAGCCATGCCAGTGCCCGCAAGTCGCCTTTGACCAGCTCTTTCATCTTTCCCAGTATTTCATCATTGTAGTTGTTCAACCAGCGCTTCTCAGATTCGGTGAGAAGGGCAATATCAAGGAGATTCCTGCAAAAGGGACCATAGTAACATGTTCAAATCCGAGATATGGCTTGTCGCCAAAGGACCTACTCGTTTCCACCTCATTAATAATGGCAACATTCTCAGTTCTTATCCCAAAAGAGCCTTCTTCATAATACCCAGGCTCTATCGACACTACATTGCCTGGAGACAATGCAACCTCTGTGTATTGAACACGTGTGCCAATTCCGATGGGCCCTTCGTGCACGTTTAGATAGGCCCCAACTCCATGGCCAGTCCCATGACGATAGTCTAGGCCCTCGCGCTTAGCGCAATATTTATTTTAGTTCGATTGATTAAAATGGTAGAAGATACGGATTTAGCACCTACCCAAAGATGTTGCCGTGCCAGAGTGTCCAATGCAAATCCGGTTGTACCTTTCGGGAAAACTGCGGTGTCGAGAGATATATTTCCCTTCAACACCAGAGTGTACGCTTTTCTCTCGAAGTCGGTGGGCTGTCCAAAATGAAATGTTCGAGTAGTATCTGTGGTTCCATCAAGATACTGTGCCCCCGAGTCGCAGAGATAAATTGCCTTGGGATCAATAACTGCACAACTTCCTGCTTTGGGGCTATAGTGTATGATGGCGGCGCTAAACGGAGCAAGTTAGATACTAAAGGCATATGGGATGAAACAGAAACCACTTCTACTCACTTGGCTCCGGTTGAGGAGATAGTGCTAAAGGATAAGCCCACATAGTTGTCTTGTTCGCGCCGCAACTCCTCCAACCTCGTCGCAGCATCGACCTCGTCGATCTCGGCTCTTTCATGAACTAATTCGTTCTCCAACCAGGCGAAAAATCTAATGAGAGCAACGCCATCTCGAATATGGCAAGCTCGCATACCATTCATTTCGGTGGGGTTCTTTATTGCCTTGGCATCGGTTATTGGGCTGCGAATCTCCTCAACATGGTCTTCGCCACCAAGGGCAAGCTTTAAAGCCCACGAGGCTTTCGTGGAAACGTGAAACTTCGAGGAGAGCCGATCAGGTGGTGAATCGCAAGGCGAGGACATTGCACGAAGTCCCCTGATATCGGTGAAAAAGGAATCATATTCTTTTACCGAAATCCCATTGGCGTCCAAATAGGCGAAAACTGGGTCTTCCAGTTGCTGTTTGTTGATATATAAGGTAGCGATAGTAGGTGTGATGACCGCATAGGAGAAGAAGACGGGATTGAATGGAATATCGGAGCCTCTCAAGTTAAAGAGCCAGGCGATCTCATCTAACGCCGAGACGACGAACCCCTTGAATTTTTTTGCTAGCTCTCGGCGCAACTCCGCTAGCTTAGCCTGAGTATCCTTGCCACTGAATTCGATTGGAAGAATCACAATTGATTGGCAGGAGGGTTGGGCCGATCGGAGGTCCAACAGAGGTCAACTAAATTTTCATCGAGGGGTAGAAGCTTAGATCCTCCATTTCGTTGAATTCTCTCCGAAAGCCTCTTTGCAGAAGGTGCTGATATCAGAGCAGGGTCAACGGCAACCACTTTCCCGCCAGAAGCCTCCGTAGCAGTCCACTCTTGCCAGGTGGGGACTTCTTGGGTTCCTTGTTTTAAGAGCTCCCAGTTGGAATCAAGTTCCTGTGACGCTTGGCTAAAGTATCGGCCATCTGTTGCTAGTATCGCTTTTTGTTGGGTTACAACAGCACAGCCAGAGGAGCCAGTAAACTGACTGATATATTGCCGTCGGGCGTGGCAGGCAGCGATGTATTCAGAGGCGTGGCAGTCTTCCGACGGGATTACTAGATTGCATAGATGACTGCCTTAGTAGCGATCCTTATAATGAGCGGAGGCAACCGTACCATACACGTCCACATTTCTCTCCCGCATAAGCGTCCGAAGGGTCTCAAGACGGCTCGTCGTTAGACCTTTATCAGGATTCAGGGGACGAGCCTCGGATCTCAAGTCGGATCCAAAATCAGGTGCCTGCGACATCAGAGATCTTAAGTTCGGGACGAACTGTAGAACTCGTGAGGTAAAGATGTGATGAGACCAGCTGATGGCGGGATGGGTTGGGCCAAGAGGCGTGACTCGTAGAAAGAAACCCCGTTTCCCGGCACGATGAAGAGTATTCTGTGCTTGCAGTGACTTCATGAACGCATTCGTTTCTAATTTCGTTCGTACTTCCTCAGGCCGTTCGTTCATCTAGTTAGTTCAAGGAAGTTCTCTTTGGTCCCCCACCACCTGCGGGGTTGGTGCCGTTAAGTGGACCCGATAGAGCCAAAGCCCCGATTGAGGCATTGATATTGGTTCTCCAGATTCGGCACACCGACGACTCAGTGGCGGAAAGGGGGGTTGGAGGTTGGATAGTGGCGATTACTTGCTTTCTAACGTCGAGCTTACTATGTTGCGACTCGCTGCTTTTCCCTCAAGGAAACTGATGATTTAATACCAGCAGACAGGAGCATTTATTTTACCTAGGGGTACGTCTTCCAGCTAGTCGACCGTCTACAGCCGTGGATACATCAATATATCAATTCGAATTATGGGCCTAAATTATTCGGTTACTTGATACCGTGCAGCCTTCTCCTCGATCCAATTTCAACCCACGATGCCCCAAATCCGCACACGCACACTTTATCTATATCGTAGTCCACTCCCAGTTAGCTCATGAACTACGCACACGGCTACCCCCTTGTTCTCAGCGAAACTCAATATTCACGCAATATTCTTGATGACAAGTATTAAGGAACCAACCTCACTTACCGAGGTTGAGGCTGTGAGTACCATCCCACTCATCACAGCATTTGTATAAGCTAACACTTGAATCCTCCCGCCCGCGCTTCCTAGTTGATTCATGCGCTGTACAATCCAGTGCCACCTTCAACGATCTCGCAAATCCAAGATGTACTTCATCGTGCTCAGAGGTCTGGTCAAGCTTGGGCCCTGGCCCGCGACCTATTGGAACGTCCCGATGAGAAGGTTCGATTTTGGAGCCTTGACTTTAATAGTTAAGCTTAATACAGACAGGTAAGCTCCCGCACGGGAGTACAGCACTTGCAGCCCTCTGGCTCTTCATCATTCCCTAATTTGCATCAATAGCTCGTCTTTGCGAGACGATGAATTGGGCGAACTCTTTATCAGCCTGATGCATTGGTTTGGGCAATCGGCGTTAAGCGGCTCAAGTCCGCTTGTCACGAGAAAACTCTCAACAGCCTTGGTCACTTTCTTCTTACACTTCCCCAAACACTGCCATCCGTGTCTGCAGCAGCTTGGAAATTATCTTTCACTGCAGCAGCATGGCCCAAGCGACAATTTCGCTGAGGGTTTCGGTTTCATATCAGGGCTAGAGCCACGAGCACTTCAGGCTGCCCTCATTTTTGCTACTGATCTTGTTGAAGAGGCTGCAAAGGTTGACCTAAACTCGGCAAATCAGTGTGTCATGAGTCCTAAGGTCCCTTCCCTCTCATCTTTCAGATGGTGCTAATGGAAACCCGTTTAGCCTGGACGTTTACGAAGGAATCAGGGCTTCAACCGGCGACGCCATTACCCTGATGTCGGCCGGGTTGTGTGTCGAAATAAATGTCGACTCTGATATGTCCTTACGAAGGACCGCGATCAAATGTCTCCAGGTATGTGACAAGCCCCCGTTGGTTTGAGGATACATGTGTAGGCAATCAAAGGCTCTTTTCTTTCGATTGACAATGATATAGCCCTGGATATCTTTCGCGCACCGTTTCTTTACTCGCAATGATCCGCTCCTAGAAGGCATCCGTGGCCTCATCCCCTCGTCATTAATAGTCTTACCATCCCGGATGATACAATAGCCGTAGTCTCTATGGAACTCCTCTCTGAGACACTTTCAGGGACGAGTGGGTTTCTTACAACACAGCATCTCCAACAGTTGTTGGAGATATGCATCGGGCCTGTAGGTACACGATACTATGGTCAGCTACTTCAAGGGTATCCTGAGTACGAAACCCTTCAATTTGGTCTCCTTTTGATCAGCTTTGCGGATTCCCAAATGGATGTCTTAACTGCGGGAGACCTGAATCCATCGTCCCAGAAGCTTCTTGATATGCTGTGTGGCATTTTGTCTGCTCAGGGGTTCCCTGCAGTTGAGGATCGGATCTTCGTACCAGCTGTTGAGTTCTGGTCCACGTACGCTGAGTTGGTGGCTGATCTCGTGGGTTCCGATGGTGTGACTGAACTTGACATTTCCAAGCGGCGTTCGTATGCCATTGAGGCAGTCCAGTTTGCATGCCAACGAATAATCTTTCCACCAACAGAGGTCATTTCGGACTGGGACTCTGCGGAGCGAGAGAGTTTCGTCGATGCAAGAAAAGACGTGGCGGACTTTCTACAATCAATCTACGCCATATCGGGCAACAAATTAGTCCAAATGTTTGGGGAACTAGTAGTCACAACCACGATATCTCAACAATGGCTGGAGTTAGAGGCGGCTGCTTTTTGTTTGGGTGCGCTCTCTGACTGCACAGCAAGCGAGTCTTCGTATGATAAGATCCTTCGGTTGGTTTTCTCACCTGCTCTTTTCTCCGTACTTGCCCCGAGGAATCGAGACGTGCCTTCGCGCACAAGGCAATCATGCATCTCGCTCATCGAAAAGTTTGCGGAGTTCTTTGAGCGGGACATGCCAAGCCTTCCCAATGCCCTCAACCTTCTCTTTTCCGCTCTAGATGACCCGTTGCTGGTAGGTCCAGCGTCAAAATCGATCCACAAGCTTTGCTCCTCCTGTCGAATAATGCTTGTGCCCGAGGTTGGTACCTTTTTGACAGAGTATCGAAGGATCGTCAACGATTCTCAAGTGGATTGTCTGGCAAATGAAAGAATAACGGGGGCGATTGGCTCTGTTATCCAGGCGTGTGAAGATGTGATTGCTCGACATGCTACTATCCACCAGCTTCTGGATATTCTTTCTCAAGACCTCCAGAGATGTTTGATGGCCACTAACAATCTTGCTATTCTGGAAACTGACGCTATATTCTCTCGTTGTGGCCGTCGGTGTTTGGCGGATGTTCCTCAAAATGAGATTCCATTGCACATATGCCTTCGCGTCCTCCGATGTCTGGCCAGCCTTGGCAAGGGCATGCAGGCACCCGTAGAATTGGCTATTGACGTCGACCGAGAGGCCGTAAGCCCAGTTTCCGAACTTGAGGCCCTCGGCTCCGTTCATTCTCGGATCATGGGGATGATCGTGGAGCTACAAAACACCTTCCCGTATAGCGGGGAAGTGGTGGAAGCGATATGCAGCATCTTCAAAACCGGATTTTCGGAAACAAGCCCAGGCCCTTTCGTATTCTCTTCTAATGAGATCACCGGCTACTTAACTCGACAGCCATTCTCTACCCCGAGGGTCGGGGTACTTGTGAGCACTGCCTGCTCTTTTGCGAGCTCCATGACCCCGGATACCTTAGATTGGCCCGATGCTATGGGACGAGCTCTAAATTGGGTAACCAGTCTTGTTCAAGCGCTTCCAAGTACGTGATATTCACTGATCCCAAGAACCCTAGCCTATCTGTTAACGATATTAAGGTGTTGACGCCGACCCCGAGCTATCTCAACATTCTATCGATTTCTATTGCCGAGTCTTCGCCAAAGACCCTGGGGTGATCCTCCAGCTTGGAGATCAGGGTAGGATCCGTGACATCTTCTCCTTCACGCTTAAGGTCTTGGATAGCCAGGAACCGTTACCCAAGGCGGCTGCGGCAGAGTTCTGGGTAAGCTAGGAACTTCATGCCCAAAGCACGCGGTGTTGCTAACAGAGAGTAGGCAGTATTTGTCTCCCACAGGGCAACCCGTTCGCAGTACCAAGACCTGATTCAGCAGATCATGCATGAGCTAGGACCTCTGCTCATGCTATCATTAATGAGAAACATTGGAGGTAATGCTTTGCGTAGCGAGCTCGATAAGCTCAGCGAACCGCTCAAAAGACTCGTGTCTCTTTACCCAATGTCACAAACTTGGATGCGAGGGGCTTTGTTCCACCCGCACTTCCCTAGCCTAAATGTGTCTGACGAAGCCAAACTTACTTTCATGAGAAAAGTCATTAGGTAAGTGCTTCGCCCACTAAGGTGTATCACAAGCACTCCGATCTCTAATTCCTTCGATCAGTCTCCGAGGCCGCCGCGATACCAATCAAGTAGTGAGGGAGTTTTGGCTTGCGTCACGGGGAAGCAAGTTTGCCTATGTTGCCTGAAACTTGTTTTTCCTTGAAATGGGCTATTCTATCAGAAATCCTACATGTGCAAGCCACCTTGTATTACATTACGCTTATCTTACAGGAAGGGATTGTCTATGTCTAGGTCAAGGTGACGAGAAATCACCCGGGTCATAGACCTACTGCTTGCCTCACAAGTTCCATTGTTTCCGAAGCCCTCGCGCGAGCCTTGGCGGCGCCTTCCCTTGACACTTCATCAATGAACTTCCCATCATCCGCAGCAAGGATCCGGATATACCGGTCGCGAATACCACCCAGGCCGCTGGCGATCGATTCGGAAACACGCTCTTTGAGGCCTCTGAGATCTAAATTTTCCTTGGAAAGCATAGAACCCAATTCCTCAGGTGTTCTCTTGGTCCTGTCGAAGCATGCCATAAGTCTTAAGAGATTTGATACGCCAGGTCTCCTCAAAGGATCGTAAGACACATAATTTTCAGGGTCAGTCACCGCGCCCATAATCTTCTTGCGAATTTCTTCAGGTTCATCCGTAATTAGTATACGCGACCAAGCGCTTTTATGTGATTTTGACATTTTTCGCGTGGGATCTTGTAACGACATGATGCGCAATTCGGGTGCTATGTCTTGTTAGTATTCTCCATCTCGTGGGAGTGAGCAACAACTAACATGAGAGTGTTGCAGGCGGGATTAAATGCTTGCCGTAGAGGCTGTTAAAGCCGTTGGCACACTCCTCGCGAATTCAAGATGCTGACGTTGATCATCTCCTACTGGGACATGGGTTGCCCTATGTAGAATCTGTTTTAGCAGCTACAAGGGGGACACAGAAGGGTCAATCAGATAGTTACCTATACACGAGTATGTCGGCTGCCTGAAGAACAGGATATGAGAAGAGGCCGAGCTTAAGCGTCGACTTAACGCCCTCTTCGAGGACTGAAATATCTTGAGGAAGTGACATCTTAGACTGGGTCGGATATTAGTTTTGTTGACTGTTCTGTACCTAGGAGCTACGGCTCATACCTTCCACTGTGTCATTCGCGAGAGGTAGCCCATTGATGCGTTGCAGGCTAATATCCACATTAACTCAGAATGAGATGCAACCTGCGTTGCAGACTATTAGCCATACTTTCTATGAGGCGCCTGTCTGAGTCGGCATAGAATAGATCCTACCGACGACTGGTAAAACAGGGACGAGCGGCTAGGTTCTATCCCAGCAGCAAGTAGAGCGGCCATTGTCTCTCTGCGACGTCGGCGAAGATCTTCGGGGGTTTGGCATGGTCATGGCGTGGAGGTCTACTACAGAATATAGTAACTCTGACTGTTCAAGCGGCTCACTCTGAAGGGCTACCCATCGCTGAATGGCCCCGACGAAGTTCCCAATGTGAGGCGTCCCTGTGGGTTGGATGCCTGAAAAATAACGCGCTTGGTACTACTAAGGAAGCGCGACCTTAGTAAGAGCGGTGATCGCATCACCTTGGATAATCTAGGGTTACGTGAAAACATGGCTAGTCTTCAGGGTGGACAGAGAGGCGAGCATGTCCGTGATCCATCGAATTCTCTTGGACGGGGTCTCGGAGGATCAACATCAAAACCACTTTGAAAAGCCAGGGCCTTTGTTTGCTGACTCATCAGATCGAGGCTTCGTCGCCATCTCAACCCAAGCACTATTATTGAAGCCGACCAGCTGTACGAAGGTGCTATACAGTACTATACACAATACTATCTATCCCAATTCCCTATAACGGAGAAGATAGCCCGATCCACTACTTCTCATGCACCCATGGTGTTTGACCGGCCACTTCTTAGCAAACTCTCAACGATATCAGGAGACTCAAACGAGCGATCAAGACCCAGGTGAGACCATTTATCCTCTAGCTCCTGTGGTATCCTTGCCGCCATCTTGTCAGATGGAGCTGAACAAATGGTGTTAGTAACTTCACGCACGTTGGGAGGCGGGACCAGATAACGAACCCAATTTTCCAAATTCCCAAACATTCGCCTTCATACCCACCCCAGCATAGGCATATTTTTGCAGAAAGCCTAACCATATTTGCACGGTTTCGGGATTCCCGTCGCGGATTTGTATCAGCCGTCGCATAGTGATTCTCTCGAAATTTTCTTGGGACTTCTTGAAAATAAAGCTGCTCCTAGGGACAGTCCATCGTTCCGTGATGCGTGGCAATGGGACGGGTCCAAAAGCCGGGAGATTGAGGTAATAGGCCGCCCTTAGAGCGAAGTCCGCAAAGAACTCTAGACTCCGTACGCTATAAGAACGCAATTGAAGGTCGCATGCCGGGATACCGTACTCGGCTTCCCTACGTAAAGGGCGAAGATAGAGCCCCTGAACACTTCGCGGGTACCGTAAGTCCTGCTCGTTCGAAGGTATAGTGCTTTCGGGAGGAAATTTTACGCCATCTCGGGATCTATGGACACGTAAGCCAGAATTATCAGGTCCATTACCATCAGAGTACTAACATTGGTGCGTATAATTGGCGGACTTGCGTGTGGCCTTGGCCTTGAGATTCTATCAATGCTCGAGAAAATGAAGAGGGCTAAGTCTTTTAGCACTCCAAAGCGTGGAAATAGGGGCGTCATCAATAATACCTTCACATGGCGCAGGGCACCGCGTAGGGGTTTGGAGGCCACCCCGAGGTAGTTATTCATTGTTCATAGACTGGCGGTTTGACGACCGTGTCGCATGGAGAATTTATTTTAGCTCAGCAAGCAAAGGAAGAGTCGGATGGCCTAAGAATTCAAGGGGTCACGTGGACATAGGCAAAATGCCCATGCTGGAGACCGGGCACGGTCGACCAAAAAAGTTTGAATTTAGAACAATGACAGCTCAGCCTTCCTTATATAACCTTGCCCGATAGTCGAGGTCCACATCCTGTCTAAAGAGGATTTGCAATCAACTTGGAATTAAGAGTTCCTCTTTTCTACAGTGGGGGAGTTCTGAGGCCCCCGCCTTCTTATAAGTAGGCGATCATGCCAGGTAGCCGACATGGACGCTACAAAATAGTCCTAAATGAGGACTGAACAACCATAACCATGGACCTGAATATGACCGACGAGAGGCCCTATCTTAATCTATCTATCTATATGTATACACGTGTGTGTGTGTGTGTGACATGGGTATCTAATAATAAAAAATAATAAATAAATAAAAAGAAGAGATCCATCCATGATATGCTGGAGCGAAATTCAGTCAGTAAGCTAATGAGCACGGTCTATGATCACTCCTGAATAGCATAGCGGATATAGCACGAGAACTTGCATGGACCGATCCCACGCTAAGCCCGCAGCAAGCAGTGTTGACAAACAGGTTGGCATTTTTCTGTTTTGGTGATTCGTGTATCTGGCGACTTGCCAGAGGTAATGGTGAGGCTCTTGTAGTCGTTTCCCCTGTCCAACGTAATAGTATACGTCTTTAGGTATAGGGTAAATATTTTCCATCTTCGTCATATATCGAGCTGCCCGAAGTCGCTGTGGATGCGAGCGGGATACCAAAATACCTCTTCCTGTGAGAGGCGCGGCCCTTATGCAGCTTGCAGAAGAGTCATTCAACGAAGTCCACGCGATAGCAGTCTAAGCCCTTTCTAAACTGCTGTTACTAAAAGCCCACTGCTTCTGTAATGAGAGGAAAAGGGAGGGGCCAAAAATTCGGGAGAATTAGCGGGCTGGATGGCGCCTTTTGCTTTTCAGATATGCCTTTTTCCCGTTCGTTTTCTTTTCTTGGATACTGGTATACTTTAATTTTGACCGGGGCTTTAGGTCGCTCACGGAGAGCACCTCTTGCGCAAACGTAGCCTTGCGCTCTCGTTTCGTTAGCCGGCTAGAATAAAGTCTGTCGGTCCCTCCACAATCTCCCCAACATGGCAATATCGAGGGACAAGTGATTTCGTGCCCGATTTCTTGTAGTGTATTTTGGGATTCAAGGCCCCGCGCAGTCGCAACACCTGAAGGTCTCGTTTCAACTCTGGCGTCATCTTGGCTTTGGGCAGCCCGAACCATGCGGGACCCGCATTGTCGGCCTAGACATTGCCATTTCCGTTAGAGAAAGCACTAAAGCCAATGGCCGATGAAGTGAAGAGCAAGGCGAGGAAAAGGATTGTATCAGAGTAACTATGATATGAAGACATCTTGAGGAAAGGATAAGAGCAAGCCCAAGACGGGCGCAATATACCATCAGATGCGAAGTGTTTCGTCATCAAGTGCGATCCAGGGAAGGAGAAGAGGAGAACGTACAGTGTTGGTTGCGAGGGCCGGGAGCGCCTTGAGATGAACCTCAGGCGAGCGCACGACGGATCTGTTCGCAACAACCGAAGGGCCTTCAATAATGGTAGACTTCCTCAGGGGCTGATCGTTCAGGTGCTGCTCTGCGGAGATCAGCAGCTCCTCAACCTGAATATCGGATAAGGACATTGGAGGCTGTAAAGCGTTTGCTACGCCAAGCTGTTTTGGAGTAAACCTGCAAATCAAGGTAATTCAATTTGGCCTGGAAGGTCGCCTTGGAAAAAAGTTCGTTAAACAGGAGGTAGAAAAAATCGATGGGAGAAAGGTGAGGGTTGCCTCAGTGAGGGCGAGGGGAATTTTCGAAGAAAGAGAAGGAAGAAAAAAGGGAAAAGGGCTGAAGTGCTCTGCTTATGTAACCATATCCCAACCCCTAAGGTTATGAGGTGGCGGAAATCAGCCTGATTGCTCTAAACCAACTTCATCCATCCATCCATCCATCCTAGGAAATTCCAACGTCACCCATCACGCCAACCTCATTCCACAAGAACTTTGTATAGTGCTACCAACAACCACACGTGATGGACCCTCAACATACACAGGGGCCTTCCCATTCCCAAGACAGTCGCCAGCAGCCTGTCTATGACACCAGTCAAGGCGGCCACTATGGTAATGCTAGACCGCGTCCCTGGATGTATCATTGACCTTTGCTAACACCCTTGGATAGGCGCTTGTGCGGCAGTAGGTTTTGTGGGATCTTAGAACGTAGTTTATGCTGCATATATTGATTATTACCCCCGTAGCTTGCAGCCAAAGGCTTTGCCCCAGCCGACCTTTACACAGGACCTTGGGCAAATGTATGGACTGCCCCGCAACCTAGAACCTTCGCGATCTGCAGCTCCTGGTGCTAATCCTACCATCACAGGTCCATCAGGGCCTCACGGGCCAATATAAAGACATCCTCACAACCTATTGGCAACACACAATCAACCACCTGGAGAGTGATACTCATGATTATAAACTTCACCAGCTTCCGCTTGCCAGGATAAAAAGGTTATGAAAGCCGATCCAGAGGTCAAAATGATATCAGCCGAAGCACCAATACTTTTCGCAAAGGGCTGCGATATCTTTATTACAGAGTTGACAATGCGGGCCTGGATTCACGCGGAGGAGAATAAACGTCGAACTTTACAGCGGTCTGATATCGCCTCGGCCTTGAGTAAATCAGACATGTTTGACTTCTTGATTGATATCGTGCCGCGTGAGGAAGCCTCCTCACATGCTAAGCGCGCAGCCGCGCAGTCAAACGCTGGCGCACAAGGAATCCCAGTTGCTCCACCTACCGCGTCTCAACTTCCTGGGCAGCATGGCAGTCTTGCGCAAACTCCCAGCCACGGGCAAGGATCACATCAGATAGGCCCAACTGATTACAGTCTTGCAGGTCATCCTATTGGCCCAGACCAAGATTATCGCCAACCGGGCATGTATACAGGACAAGTTCAACCCGGTCCCTCTACAGGTTACGGCCAAGCCCAACCCCCATGTATGGTGAAATTGAGGGCATGTACGGCTATTCGACAATGCAGCCGCAACAGGTAAGATCAACATGGCGATATATCACGTCGCGGCTATCAGACTGACATTTGCTGTACTAGGGTCCAATATCCTCAGAAGACTTCGACTAATATCAATGAGAGATTTGTTGCATCCCTACCTTCGCCCATGTGATCTAGATTTGCCCCTACTTCGGACTCTAGAACGAAAGATCATGATTGGAAGGATTGTTACCAGAGCCATGCTAGTGTACCCTTAAGACTCGAGATACGTGTGCCTACACATGGCCCTAAATCGTATAGCTACTTCATACCGAAGCGTGATGAAAAATTAGCAAGGGCTGCTGCTCGACTTGGACCTTGTACCGTTGAAGTGAGTCTAGAGATAGTGGTCCATGATGTCAGTGAGAAGCTTTCAGGCTTGTAGATGCGCATATCACGTACTTTTCCAGTAATATTGGTCCATTCATTGCATCTACGCGTCCGTATTTCTTATTCCGCGTTGAAACGTCGAAGAATTCATCATGATTGTCAGATTGCATCAGGTTGATGGTTTGCTGTAGTTCATCTAAATTCTCTTTTAACATTTCGCCATTCTCGAGGTGGTCGACAAATGCCGTAAGATACTGGACGTCCTTCGCTAATGCCGCTACACCATGGGGGTTGATGTGTTTCACCTCGGGCGATAATGGGAGAGCCTGAAGAAGACGTAAGGATACACGAACGGGGTGATGCTACAAGAGGTTTATACGCACTAATATCTTATTTGCCGCATGACTCAGAGCATCAAAGTATATGAGCTCCTTAATTTCTCGGGGCAGCCCCAGAAGGGTTGAGTTCATGATGTTCTCTAAGTATACGGTTAATGTGTGCATGTAACCACTAGTCTCCGTCGGAGCCGCTATCGCCAGCCTACGATCTGTTAGCATGATATGATGAGCTTCAAAATGCCAGAACACTAACCAATCATATTCCGATGTATCCACAAGATCGTCAATCTTCGAGTTGACGAGTTCAAAGATTCGCTTCTCAGCGGTTTTTTGTTGTTGCGGAATTGCTCCGTTGCCTCCAATGTAACTGGGCCTCCTGCAGACGTTGAAGAGCGCGCCCGAATGAGGAGTTGCTCCAGTTCCTGGCAAGCAACCTCAAAGTGCTCCAAATTTATCAAAATCTGGACTATTTGCCCAAGATATTGTGAACTGAGCCTCTCTACAAGCGATTTGCAGACTTTGTCAACTAGTAGCTCGTCCAGGGCCTGAAGCTTCCATTAGCAATCAACTCCGAGAATGGTCCCAATAACACAGTCAAGGGGGTGATAGAAAGTAGAAAGAAACCCAACCTTTCGAAGCGTCTCGTCAATAGTGTTGGGGTGTTGAAAGTGGTCATCGGAGAAGAAATAGAACTGATTGAGAAAGTTGCGGATGTCGATGCAGCACAGCGGGTACATCTGAGAGAAGGGTAAAACACAAGGGAAGCTATTGCGATGTCGTATTAGCGCAGCCACGGACAGTCATCGACGAAGATCAGATGTACCTAAGTTCACTTATTGGCTTCTCTTGTGCGAACCAGCTTACATTCACCACCTTCTCATATTCACCTTCGGACTGGATAGTCATGGGCATGTAATCATCAGTCGAGACGATCTACGGCCAAGTTAGCGCCACGCGTTTGTCTCCTAAACCACAACTATGAGAACATACCTCTTGGAAATCTTCACTAAACCTTCGTTTTAGGAGTTCGGCATATTTGCTAAAAAGGGCAAGTAGGAATGTGTCAAGCATTGACACGGAATAGCCCCATCCCTACGGTACTGTTAGGGGCAATGAGGCGGGATGCAGGGCGTTCAAGAGGGGAAAGTGAAGATAGATACCTCCATTGTCTGAATGAACAGAGATATGAAACCCTTGATCTTGAGAAGCACCTCCGCATCGGTGATATCGTTAAGTGCCTTCGAGGTGAGGTGAACTGCAGCCTGGCACATAGAATCCCACAACTCCTCCACCTAATACATGAGAGGAAGGTTTAGTAAGATTGACAATACGCCACCCACAGATGGAACGGGAGAAAATTGCTCAGCCAATGGGCGTGCAAAGGAGCGAAAACCAATACGTACGTCCACCGCAGAGCGAAGCTGAGGAGCTCGTCGCATAGTTGCCTTCTCAATGATAGCGAAACCGGCAATTCCTTCTAAAAGACTACTCAGGGACGCCTCGTCATCCTCAAGCAGGCTCACACTAGTTGGTAAGAGCAAATCTTTTTGCTGTCGCCGAGTCGCCGAGTATTCTGAGCGAAATTTATCACTTTGGCCAAGGGCCTCATATATGTGCAGGCATTCGAATAAAGGTGTAAAATCAACTTGGAGTTCCTCATTATCAATGACATCGAATTCCTCTGACTCATCGGAGACCAACCCGATCGCAGAATTGAGTTTGAAGTTCGACATGAAGTTATCCTCGTCGACCCGCTTTCGCTGCCTCGTTCTTCGTAACTCAGTATGATAAAACGCAACTTCCCCAAGAAACTGTGACGTTTCTCTTATTCGAAATAGCCAAGTGTTCAAGTCCGTCATTACCGCCTCTGAAATGAGTTTTTGCGAGACGGGGATGGATTTTTGAATAATATCAGCCAGCTTTTGTTGCGTGGCGTATTTATTCTGAATCGTAGGAAGAAGATGCTCGTTCTGGAGATCATCCAAAGACTTAAGGGCAGCATAGTACTTCTTCTTCCTAACCAAGTCATGGGCCTGGTTAACAGCGTGTAGAATACTCAGTGATTCTCGCAGAGCATCAGAAGCGTCAATGATATTCTGCCTAATGGCTCGTGTGTTTACAAGCGCCTGTTTCTGTTCGGCTAGTTTTTCAGTACTAGACTGTATTGACTGATTTAAATTCAAAATCTCATCCGTCAGCACGAGGGTGTCCTCCCGGATACGCTGGAGTTGGTTGACGGATCCGAGGAACTCTTCATGCCTTGTCAGACCGATCCTCTCGATATCAGTCTCGCGGCTGTCAGAATACTCGCTCAGGGCCTGGAAAAGGGTTGCGGTTCGTTTCGTGTTAGTAGCGTCCTTCAAAACAAGGATCAGCTGGTCGATGGACTCGGGGTCTGAGCTTGGTGATATGATCTAATTGAGGATTAGCGAATATCGAAGAAAGCCTCAAAGAGCATACCTGGTCTACAGCGAACATGTAGTCCTCGTAGTTTACATGATTCCTTTGTGAGACTGCCATGGTCATTGCTCCCACTTCTTGGCTTTGAACAAGCTAGACTCGCAACCACAGGCTTCCACCGTCGTCAAAGAATCCATGGGGTTAACATTACCTTATCCGCTTATTCAGCATGGGCGTCAAACAAAGGACGAGCGCCCAGACACGGATGAAATCACTCATTCTTCATTCACTTAACAGAATGGTAGAGTTCCTATAATTATTTACGGTGAGTAACATCTTCACAGATTATCTTTGGTTATTTCTATATCCATCATATAATAAGACCATAGCCGGCTAGCAAGTCATAATGAATGATTAGCAAGCATTAGATATCGAGTATAGTTTGCTAGACTGGGAGCTGCTGCTAGACTGGGAGCTACTGCGTATTACCTGGCAGGTGGCGACTGCTAAGGCATACCAAGCAGGTTGAAGAGGTACACCGATTAGGAGGACTATACAAAGAGGATATTGAGAAGGTTGGAAGGGTACCTTGCGCCATAATCCCATTCTCTGCCGTAGCCATATAAGAAAGAAAATGGAAACCCCAAAAGGGAGGTAGGGAATGTGGTCGCCTATGTAAAATCTTAGCTGTCGTAAAAGTGCCGTCTGTTGAGAAATTCCGTGTGCCCGCCACTTCATATGGCCGCCGTCACTACGCAGCTATTACCCCCAAACCTCAAATTGAGACCTCACTGTTATGGATACGTTAAGTTCTCAAGAAACAAGATACCGGTCGATCAACGCCGACGTATGATTATTGATTATAGTCACTCATCTAGTCGATTAGACAATATGGGTTGGGTTGGTCTCCATAATATCTATATATACATATACATTCTCTCGAATATACCGAGATATCATTATGATCCCTCCTACTGTCTTCTCTAACCTAGCAACGAGAGTGAGAATGGCGGGAAGGGAAGGAAAGGCGAAGGAAGTGCCCTTTTTCATTTAAGGAAGGTACATCTGGGCCCAGAGATCGAGGAAGTCACGATGCGAACGCTTTTACCGGGCCATGACCTAGGAAAACAAATACGTCGGTGTTGGGATTTGGTTTTCCTTTACTTCCTCATAGTGAAACTCCTGGGACCGCACTAAATTGACTCACGGCAACCTTATCTTACTGAGCCAAGAAACGCACGATATTGACTGACAAGAAGTAGTATCGACTAAGTTCCCTGTACTATTTCGAGATATCCAGATATAATGGAAGCGCGGAAGATGCAGAACAAGGCTGCGCCGTCCATTCCCTTCAGTGGTAGTCTCGAACTACCAAACGGGGACAACTCGCGGAACAGGTTGAACCCCAGAAGCTCTCACCAAAAGCTTCTCCATTTCTGCCAACCTCTAGCTTTGCTCTCCTCCCTAATCAAAAACCATTTAGCCACTCAACTCTCTCGGTCACCCCCAAGTACGGCACAGCGGAATCTTATTCTCTAAGTGCGGAACTCGGCATCTCGCGGCATCTATTGTTCACCTCGACTGTTGACAAAATTTGTCCAGCAGACGTTGATATATTCTTGGACGTAAGTGTTGAAATCCAACGTATCAACCTACCTATATATTCCTAGACTCAAATTTTGTAGCATCTAGGTCAGTTGGGTTTCCAGTGCCAAGGCACAAGACTATGTCAAGACCTTGGGGCCTCCACCTCTGTGTACTTCGCAGATATCAGAGATGCGTGCCTTGTTTATGAGAATTCAAATGTTCTTCATATGAACTGGAATGTCCAGTATGTTTCGAGGACAACGAACTCGAGCTCAGGTTACGAAAGTATCGGGTTGCCAGAAGGTCAACTCGTCATAACCATGTCGTTAAACCCTGGGTTTCAGCACACCAAACTCGGGGGTGATGCTGCTCTGCACCGTTTCATCCATTCACAAGGCCGCGTATTCTGCATTAAGCAACTTTCATCCATTGAGAGTGGCACATTCAGGGCTATAGTCGAATATTGTGATATGAATACCACGTATAACGCCATGGCCGTTATGCCGCAGACTAGCTTCGAGGTATGGAAATCGATCTTTACACTTGGGTTTTTCTGATGCCTGTCAAAGGGAGTCCAGCTGGACGTGAATATGCATCCCCTAACGTTCCGAGAATATGCAAGCGGTTCCGAGAGAGCTGTTTCAGTAGGTCTTCCCACCACTTTAGTGACTGGGATTCCGTTACATGCGGGTATGTTGGGTCAGGTGGGGAGCTTGGATACAGCTCCGAGCCAAAATCTACTCAGTGGCGGTCCAGGACACCTTTAACTCATATTGGTACCACTCAACCCCCATGTGCAACTCATGAGTGCTTTCGGTCTCCATGCAATCCCTCCGGATCCGTTCACGAACGTACGGGTTTAGGCAACGTTAAACCCAATAAGATAGTGAAAATGCATCACCAGCCCCAGCGCGAGCTCGGCCTAAGTCAATATATGCACCATCAAGACAAATCGCGACTGTACCGGCAAAGCCTTCCATGGCACCCCAAAGACTCGCAATACGATTTCTCCAGTAATAGCAATCATGTGGACAGTGACCGGATTAGAAATGGAACAGACGTTCGAACAACGGTAGGTGCTATCTGTGTTGCAACCTCTTGTATATTCTATAGTTATTGATATCAAAGTCAGATTATGCTTCGAAATATCCCCAACAAAGTTGAGCAGGCTATGCTCAAGCAGATTGTTGATGAGTCAAGCTGGGGCAAATACGACTTTATGTATTTAAGGATTGATTTTGCGAACGATTGCAAGTAAGTTTACCAACACGAGTATCAGAACACCATCATCAAGCTTACTTCGGGCCGTGTTAGTGTAGGTTATGCCTTTATCAATTTTGTAGACGTAAGCCTCTCGTAATTATGCGCGATTTCCTCCCCTTCTCACGAAACTGACCTTTCCAGCCCTTGGACATCGTCGATGTACGTAAAGATGAAGGTAATTCCTCCTTACCCGATTTCGGCTTACAATATGTAGTTTATGAAAGCTCGTGGGAATCAAAGATGGTAAGATGTGTGCTTGAGAAGTACAAAAGAGAGATTCCGCTGATAACCTGGTAAGGAATTGTTTCAAGAGTGACAAGGTGGCCGAGATCTCATATGCAAGTAAGTCAGAACTGAGAGACTACGGTTCGTCCGATGAATATGTTTGGTTACTCAACAACCCTAGCAATCCAAGGCAAGGACTGCCTTGTGCAAAAGTTTCGCAACAGCTCTGTCATGCTCGAACCCCCTCACTATAGGCCGAAGGTGAAACTTGAACACACAAGTTGGTTGGCACCCAAGGACTAACATGGGCATAGCTATTTTATACCTCAAACGGACCTGAACCTGCGCTTGCAGGCCAAGAAGAACCATTCCCTCAACCAGACAACCAGTCCAAAATGAAAAGGAGTTGTGAAAATGCCGAACATGTTGGTAGGTGCTGGAAGACGATTTTATACGTCATACACCCATGGCTGCCAGAATCTAGTATTCACTTTCTCGGCTCACATGTAGGTCTCTTCACCCCAAATGCTGGTCAACATTTCCGAAACGAGCAACGCCGTCGCCGGTCGCAGTATGACCGAGGCACAAGGCTAGCCGCTATCGAAGAATTCGATTACGAGGTTTCTCTTCAACAACGCCAAAGCCAGTCCGATATGGGGTTGTAGTACCCCAAACAATCTTATTTGCAGGGCAGTTGTAGGGCTAGCTGGATGTTATACGGTGATGTAATAAACTAGTTTTGAGAAACCGCAGACTATTCCGGTAAAGGAGGCAAAGGCTTCCTAGCGCGAGTGGCAAGTTTGATCATTCGCATATTATCGTCACCCGCTGCATCTATTCGCAGACGCTCATTGTCTAGTGGTAGTAATGAGTCACCTGTTACATTGCTCCAAGGGAATTTGTTTCGGCGCACTTTACAAGGGGCACTGTCGAGTGAGTTGTGGTGATCTCTTGATCGGGCGGCCTGACATTGCTCAAAGTGAACCTCTTCTAGAGCAGTAGTTCCATCTCCACCGCCATGAAGGCAGACAGGCAGCTCAGCTGGTGGTGTGAGCCGTGGATTTAAGGATAGCTGTGACGATTTATCATAGCTAAGCTGATTGACTTGAGGCAGCGTGGACGTATCAATGCCTGACTGCGACCCGCTTGGGGCTGAAGGTAATGCCATCGATCGGGAAAAATGATGAGGACTAAACATGAGAGTAGAAGGATAGATTGGCCGATTGACATGCGTTTCTGGAAGACAACTTCATCCGCAAGGACGTTTAGTCTGGACGAAAGCGCTACAAGTTCACTCTGGGATTGTTCTCGTTGAGTTTCCAAGGCAAGGATGGTTGACTGCCAGATCTGATCGTACTGCTGTCGCAGGGTTTCGAGTTCTGCGCGTATTGTATGATTGAAGGCATCTGTGAATGACTCCACTTGAGGAAGGAGACGCTCCTCCATTCTGAAAAAGCATCGTGTATGAACCTGGATTGATCCTCAACATATTTGAGGGTCCACGTCACATTAGATTCTAGGAGTTGAAGACGCCTCGTAACAGTCTTGAAGAAACTATCTTGGACGATGGGCGGCGTTGGTACGGATGCCCCAGCGGTCCCCGCTCGATCTTTCTGGTGGATGGTTGCGGTATCCGGTGGTTTAGGCTGGGGTGACGACCCTCCGCCACCAGGACCTAGTCCATCATAGGAGATCATGATTGTGCCGTTGGCCTGAATGCTGGAGTCGATTATCGACGTATGTGGAGTAGCCACTGGAATCGAGACGCTTGGTGTGGAGATGGTGCCTTGTGGTACGTTGATTGGTGCCCCGGTGCCAGTTTGAGAGGGGTCGCAGCTCTCGGGCGCCATTGAGTTGGCGGAGAACCTGTCCTGTTCGTTGAAGGTAGGTTCCACGTTGATGTTTCGGGCAGTATCGGGCAAGTTGCATTTGCCATTTCAAAGAGGTTTAGAACGTGAGAGAAGTTCGGTTCGCCACCCGACGAAAACGAGTAAACCGACTCTTCTTGGTGGGCTGCAGCTCCAATCTCCACCGGTATGCTAGTGTCCAGAGCGTCTTCTTCATCTAGACTTGGCTCTGCGTCCTTCCATGACTCCATCATGCGCGTACCATGAACCCGAAGGAGAGACACGGGACAATAATATTCGTTGCCATAGTGTGTCAAAAATTCGACCTTAACATATCTCGCCCAAATCTTTGGGTCTTCGACTAGGAACGCTTGGATATCCTGGAATTCTTGGCCTCAAAAGTGCCTACAGAATGCCATTTCTCGGCTTTTACAGGATATCGATCGCTCAGGCTGGCTCGAAAATGCCTAACCATGCTGGAGAAGAACTCAAAGTTCGCTAAGACAAATGTGTCCACTAAGATGTCATCGCTGAGTTCGACAATGACATACTTTGCCTCCGTTTGGCACTCAAAGAGCATATATGAGTCCTTATTTTCAAGAAGGATAGCCTTCGCATTTTTCGTCCCAGGACTTGTCTTGAGGATTGTAGCGCCAGCATCGAACGAAGAGTAGGAAAACCTCTCTTTACATGTTTTCCCGGCATCCTTACTACGATAGTATTGAGTTTTTCCATCATCATAGAGAATCTCTACAGATTCTTCATGACTAGCTCGGTGTGGTGACTCGAGGGGCTCGTCATATTCGCTTAAACTTTGTGGATCTTTTCGGTCTTGTAAGTGAGGTGAGTCACTCTCATCCTTAGATATATCAGCACTAGGTTCTGAATGAGCGTCTTCGCCTCGTTGTGTGCTCCGTGAATTCTTCCACTGCGCATCCCGCGTATCCTCGCCATGCTGTTGGAGCATTAATGCCTTCCATTCTTCAAATGAAGGGATCAGGTGCCCATGACCTCCACGTGGGTCGTGCTTATCGAGGGAATCCCGGCCCTGTGAATGGGATGGGATTGAAGAGGTAGAACTTCGTGTCGACGGTGAATGAAGGGTAGGTGACACCCAGTTCGTTCTCAAACACTGTTGAGGGAGGGTATGAGTGATATAGTTTATTGTTTTGAATGGGCATAATGAAGTTGGTGCTTCATCAGTCAAGGTTGATATAGGGGACGGACGTCCATAAGAAACACCAGTAAGGAGAAAGGAGAGCAGTAGACCTCTACATATCTGCAGGTGGTACATGATAGGAATGAATAGGGAAGAGATTAAAGAGACGAAGGCATTGTGCAGGTATTAGCGATGAGGCCAGGATTTAGTTAAGAGGCGATGCTAAGGAGAAGGCTGATCAAGGTGGGAGGAGAATAGTGATATTTAATAAAAATATAGTTCTCTATAAGGAAGACTTGTATATAAGGGAATATAGGGAAAAATAATAATAAAAAGAAATAGTTTATATATCTATAAATAAATTTAGTTCTTATTATATAAGCTTTTAATAGATAATATACTATTTATATTATAATATTAAATTATCTTTTATCTAATATAAATATTATATTATAACTCTTTTTATTATAATAGTTTTTCTTATTTTTATATATATTATTTATTATATAATCTATTATCTATTATTAACTAAATTCTCTATATTCTTTATAATATATATTCTAGATCTAGATCTATTAAATTTTAAAAGAATATTACTTTAAAATTCAAATTTATTATATTAATAAACACTTACTAAATCATTATCATATAGAAAAGTCCTAATACCTAGTAGCACTATTAGCATATAAGGAAGAAAGAAAGCTAGCTAATATAGATAATCAACTAGTAACCTAGATAGCTAGTATATATACTAGTAAGTAGATATAAAAGATAGTAGATAAGATAGAACTAGGAGTTAGAGAAGATATAAACTTTACTACCTTACTAATTATACTATAGTGAAAATACTATATATGATTTAAGGTAAATGCTAACTACTTATAATTAATAAATATTCCTATCTATTAACCTATTAAGGAATCAGTTAATTAGATAGTCTATAAGTTAGTTATTCTATAGCTATAGGAACTAATAATAACTAGTTAATGATATTAGTATATAGATAGGCTAAGAGGCCTTTTACCTCTAGTGAACCCCTATTTACTGATGACACCTAGTAGAGCTAGTAAAGTTATAATAACAGTAAATACTGGTTAAGATAGTAACCCCTTTAATAATAAGGGTATTCTACTTTAATAAATAATCACTAATAAATAATAATAATAAGTAATTACTACTATAGCTAGTAATCTATAGAAGAGATTATAATTAAAAAGCTAATAAGTAAAAGTTAGCTAAGAGGATATTTAAAAAGATAGTAATTAGTTATCTTAAAGGTTATCTTAGAGATTATCTTATAGGTTATTTAGAGGTTAGTTAGAGAGGTATTAACTATTATAAGGTTAAAGTCTATATTAATACTAAAGGTTATCTTTCCTATTTTACTATCCTTAATAGTAATAGTAAAAGCTATTATTATAATACTTCTTACTTTATTATAGACCCTAATAGTAGTAATAGCTAGGTCTATATTAGTAAGGTCCTTATTAGAGGGTCTAATATATATATATATATATGTATATATATATATATATATATATAAATATTTATCACTAATAAAGTTCTTTATTTAAATCTATTTTATTTAATTAACTATAAGCTTAATTACCCTCTTTTTCTCTCTATAAGGTCTTAATAGATACCTCTAATAAATAGTTTTATATAATCTATTATAACTTAGATATTTAATTATAAAAGTATATTATATTATATATTATATTATTATATTATATTTATATTATATTATATTAATAAATATAGGTTAGGTAAAAGCTATAATATTATCTATATTAATAGATTAAAATCTTTTTCTATTTTTCTTTTAAAATTAATAAAGTATAATAGTTTTTTTTAAAAAAGGTTAAGAAAATAGTCTATTATAAATCTATATCTTATTAATTATAATTATTATATTTCTCTATATTAATTAAATCTTATCTTACTTCATTTTTATTTTTCTTAGATAATCTAAATAATAATCTTATTTATATAATAATCTTTTAATATAAGAAGAAAGCTAATAGAGGTTTTATAAATACTATAAATTAAATAAATAAATATTATTATTATTATTATATTATAGATTTTTTATTAATATTTTAAATATTATTATAAAGGGATATATAAGTATATTTAAGTAGAGATAGGGGATTATAGAGTAGGTATAGAGAGAGTTCTAAGTAGGTTTACTAAATTATAAGTATAAACTTTAGCTTATAGAGCCTTCTTTTCTATTCTAGCTCTATATTCTATACCTCTCCTTTATATTATATTTCTACCCTCTAGATAATATCTATCTAGATCTTAGATTACTAACTTATTCTAAAACCCTATTAGGCCAACAGAGGTCGCCACCTGGCCGGTAGCGCAAAGAGATAAGCCCACAAGCTTACGATTCCAACCGCCAGGAACCATGACCTGAGCACCAGCTCGTAATCCTAGCTTAGTCAGTGAACACTGATAAGTAAATAAGAGCTACCCTTCCTCATGAGCTATCCTTTAAGATAGTGATCACAAGTAGAACTAAGGGTAAGCGATTATAAGCAGTAGATAAGGGTAGACTAGATAAAAAGGGAAGGAATCTCTTACTAGCTAGAGAGAAGAAACTAACCCTTTTACTACCTTATATCAGATACTATAGCTTCTATTGTGACTATTG